ATGTATTTCGATGACGTAAATAGTATTGTGGCCCTTGCAACCTGCAGTAAAACATATTCTTTACGTCAACGCTGTTTTAAGATGTGACGTTGTAGATAAATTACATTTATACATCTTTAAAAGTTTTCTAGCTCTGCAATTCATTATAGACTACGACAAAGACATACTCACATCGGGCTGGAAAAATTGTAACCATAATAAACGTCGTTGTATAAATTACATTTATACAGTTATCTTTAAAAGTTTTCTAGCTCTGCAATTCATTATAGACTACGACAAAGACATACTCACATCGGGCTGGAAAAATTGTAACCATAATAAACGTCGTTGTATAAATTACATTTATACAGTTATCTTTAAAAGTTTCTTAGCTCTGCAATTCATTATAGACTACGACAAAGACATACTCACATCGGGCTGGAAAAATTGTAACCATAATAAACGTCGTTGTTATCGTTTGTACGATACACCAAAGTCATGGAGAGATGCTAGAACGACATGTAAAAAACTTGGTGGAGAATTAATTTCGATTGTTGATAGGTATGTCATGTTGTTGATGTTGGGGACGCAGTGAGCATGAGGGAAAATTAATTAAAAGTTCATAAAGCTAAAAAATGAGTTTTTACATTCCCAAAATAAAGTCCACGTTATGTTTTATGGGAAAGAACTCCTTCAAAAGCTTGTTGGTTCTATCATGAGATCAGTTTTTTCACGAGACGAAGTCATGATGCGGCTACTTCAAGGTACTTGACAGATTGCACTTTTAAAGCAGTACTTGGAAATTTTTATTATTTAGATTCGAGCAGTCTTATATTACCAGTCTTATGGAGCGAGCTTGGTACCAAAATATTTGGATTGGTTTAAACGATTTTACTTCTAAAGGTGTGTACGAATGGTCAGACGGTTCTGAAGTTTCTTGGACCAATTGGTATGTTGGTCAACCTGATGAAAGGCTCCTTCGAAGTAGTTGTGTATCAATGAGTCTACATCGTGGAAAGCGAGGCTGGATGTTTTGGAGTGATGAAAATTGTACAAAAGAATATCCGTTCATGTGTAAAATTGATTTAAGTAAGTGATGCCACCATACTGAGAGTTTTAAACTGTTGTATTCAACTTTGAGATGGCCTGGTTAACAAAGGTAATTCCATGGTTGCCTCATTTTCTATTTCTAGTAATACGACCTTGCACGTCGTCTATAAAGGTAGTATTACTAACAATCCCAAATTTTGAGCTTGAAATAATAAAATTCACCAAATATTCTCAAAAACACGAAAACGTTTCATTTACACCATCGTTGACAGTGTGTAAAGCACTGACTTAAACATTTCGGCAATCATAATGTTACAAAGTAAAACCATACTTAGTGAGGTATCTTGAGAACCTCCCTCGACTTTCGAGTACATTTAATAAATAAGTAACCTCACTACCATGGTTTTACTTATAATAATAGAAATTTCAATTGAGTATAAAATAATTTAGAATTTTTTGTTTATTTTTAAGCCCCGGTGTCAAATTCAACATTACCAACAAGAGCATCAGGTATGTACGTTTGTATTTTTTAATTTTTAATATTCATTAATTGATAGAATGACTGAGATCTGATGAAAGTGCTTCCACCATTGTGTTCTTCTCATTTTCTTAATTTTATCTCTTCAGACAGAAAGAAAAGGTGTTATAATGCATATGTAAACAATAAAATGGATTATTGCTACTTTTTCGATAGTTGGGTCAGGTAAACACATAAATGATCTTAGGTGGTTTTAACATGGCAACCATCTAAAATGGCTTTTGTAAGGTTTATAACGCATGCATATGATGAAACTGGATTTGGAATAATTAGTTTTCAACAGTTTGTAGGCAGTGAAACTAATGAGAAAAGTGCAAGCACCAACAGCTTATTATGCATTTGAACGCTAACGTGGCATCAATATAAATGCATTGCGTTGCATTGTAAAATATACCACTTTACATTAGTTTCAACTTTTAACTGCAAAGTTCTATGCTTGCTGTTAAGTATGTTTTTATATTTTTACATTTACGCCTATAACAAAAATGACGTTTGCTATAAACTATTAGAATATTAATAAACATCACTAATAGAATAAAAAGATATCCTTATTTACACGAGTTATCTTAGCTTTGCCGTCGGGCGAATATGATCAAATAGAAAATAGTTGTTTCTCAATACGCATGTGGTTTTTATTTTATTTCATTTTATGACATTTTTCATGTTATTTAGTAAAAACTGGATCGATGCTAACATTTACTGCCAAGACAAGCACAGAGCAAGTCTTGTAAGTGTTCATAGTGATGAAGAAAACGCGTTTGTCATGAAAATATCTAGGGACTCAATGTGGCTTGGTTTGGAGTCGAGGGGTGTATTTCGAGGTAATTTACATCAACACATAGCCATATCTCGATAGCAGTTTTTACAAAGTATAATTCTTCATTCACTTTTTAAGTGTTTTTTAAGCTCACGTTTATGCATAATTTATGATGATTACAAATGGCCTTTAAAATCCAAAATAACCTGTGATTTGAAAGCTATTGGCATTCTCGTACGCATTAATGAATTTTCTGAAAATCTGCTAGCTTGAACAACATGCGCCATTGTGTTCCAATTGCTTTTTAGCTGTGTCATTTTCATGCGCAAGCTATTTCGAAAGAGCTTCTCGGTAACACAATTTTCATTTTAAAATGTTTATTATTTGCGACAATTTTACTGTCAGACAAACAATTGGAAGTCCAACTATCTATTTCCACAAAAGTAATTTAAAATCCTGCGCGCTGATCACTTTTGGGACGTTCACCTAACTGTTCAGTGTTTTTTTCATACACCCTGTTCTATGGTGTCTCTGTCTATTACCTTTATCTATCCTTGTCCATGCTTTCCAATATTTACTGTTTTGCACTCATCGATACCTTTCATAAAGGTGACGGCAATGTACATAATCAGCCTTACACCGCATGATCACATTTAAATATAAGTATATAATGTTTTATACTCCTGTTTTATACGTACTTCGTAATGATGAATGTATGACGTCGAATTGTCGTAAAATTTCTGGAAAATTAACGCCTGTTGTCATGGTACTCTGCAGGCAATGCTTGGTCGGATGGTACGCCTGTTAGCTATACAAATTGGGAAATTGGTCAACCAGACAGTTATAATGGTCTTGAAGCCTGCGTTCAAATTAATCCGGAGTCTGGAAGATGGACTGATCGGGATTGTAATGAAAAGAAGAAATTTGTTTGTAAGAAACGCAAAGGTAAGTAAATTAAATTTAATGCATGTAATTTTTTGTTTTTACACGTCAGTTACTTTGAGTTATGATTGATGATTTTCAACAATTGTGCTACATTAAGAATATTCTTCAAAAAATGCATTTGTTCATTAGAAGATTTGAAATAATGACAATGTAGAGTTTATCAACATAAGTTTGTGTTTAGATGTCGTTTCAAAGACTCGTCGAAAAAAGCCATACCCAAAGCCAGGTTAGGAAAGGGTAATTCCTTTCAATACTTTGGCATCTGTTAATTTTTTCTCTTGTATTTCGATATTTTGTCAGGTTCACCTTATTGTCGCAAAGGCTGGACTTTGTACAAAAGGATGTGTTACATTGCTGTTAAGGATGACACGGATGAATATGTCTCTTGGCATGAAGCTGAAAAACGATGCCAAAAAATGGGAAATGGAGGACATCTTGTTAGCTTACACAATGATGAAGAGGATGATTTTATGGATCATCTGGTGGGGTAGGTTTATGTATTTATGAAAAGTCGTGCACTCTCTGCCCCAGGCCAAGGTGCCAAAACCCTTCTCTTGATGAACAATAGCTCATTACCAATTTACCATGCATATTATTGAAACTTCAATTTAAGGTAAGTGTCAATTTTAGTTTTATTTTTAAGACAATAACTCCTTTCGGAATGAAGAGCAAAAGACCATGAACACATACACTGGCCACGATTATGATTATAATATTGTATAAATACTATTATAATTGTGATCATTTAATCATCTTAAACTTGGATGTGCAATTTTCCTAAAACTGCGACCGTTTGCCAATTATTTAGGCTGTTTCTCACCTTTTCTTTTCGCTTGTATCAGACTTTTCTGCTTTCACAAACGTAACTGTATTATCACTTTACTTTAGCATGCATTGAGAGAATCATAAGCAAATTACCTACGTTCCCACATGATAAAATATTTTTATGTTTATTTTAATCACAACACGTCTTTATTCTGACGTCATATGAATTAGAATTTTGTTTGATGTTAGTTGCAAAATCTGCTGGAATTCATCCTATGAGATTTCAAAATACTTTTCCCCTTTTAATGTGTAAGCTGTTATTGTCTGCGTATTGCTTTCATTATTTGTTATTACGTTACAGGTACACCGACTCCTCCAAGTTTTGGATTGGCTTAAATGATCTAAGTACTGAAGCTCAATACAAATGGTCTGATGGATCAAATTATAATTATGCTAATTGGGAAGAACGGCAGCCTGACGATAAACATCGACAAGAAAATTGCGTGTCGACATCCCTATACGCATTTTCGGATAGACATTGTCAACTAAAACTGCCCTACATTTGCAAAAGTTACAACGGTTAGCATATTATGATTACTGTGACCCATACTTATTTATTTGAATTTTCATATGTCGTTTGTGTTAGAAGTAAAACCATCCAGCAGATAATTTTATGAAGTATAAAATAAAACATGCTCGAGAATATAATATTCATGCCTCTTTAACTGAATATTCATTTAGTGTGAGAATGAGTGTAAATGCGACAAAGTCATACATTCAAAGTGCTTCACCATGTGTGCAGAATTGGTTGTAGTAGTTTTACAAAAAATTTACCACAGCTCGTGATTATGTAATGTTTCCAACATCCACCTTTGTACTTTATACTTGGTGTATATCTTGGTGTGTTTTTTAGAGTCCTATACACCTCCAGTAAAGCCGACTGAATTACCTAGACCGAGTGTTGGTAAGAAACATTGAAACATAAAAGCTTAAATTTCTAATGAAAAAAACAACTTTAATGCTTACTCAGAAAATTCTTCTTAAAAAGTGATCACTATTAATGTTTTATCCAGTTTGCTTTAATGTACTGTTAAGTGGATGTATATTGTGTGCATAAATGTCTAGATGAGTATTGTCCTGATGGTTGGGTGGCTCATGCGCTGTATTGTTATGAATTTCATACTGATCCACGTGAATACAGAACATGGGAGGAGGCCAGAGATGCTTGTGAACTTGGTCACAATTCAAGTGCTTATGGAGAGTTAGTCAGTATTCATGACGAGTAAGTGAGGCATGCCAACGTATTTGCGAAAAAGAAACAAGCATTTTCAAAATGATGTAAAATTTATGTTTTTCTATTTAAAAGCTAATGCTTATTGTACTATATTCTATGGTATTTTAGTTTCTTTGTTTGGATTTTTAGTTTTATTGTTTGCTTCCACACATTGTACTACTGACATCGGCCAATAATCTGCTGCATGCTGTATATATTTTCATTAATACCCACAAATTTGAAATAGCTAGAAGTCACGAATCGTTTAGATACGTTTCCCTTATACAATTGTCAGTTATCTTTTTTCAGCCCAAGCTCTTAGCAATATTTAAAAATTAAAACACCCGAAGAAAAGTATGAAAACAATCAAGCTTGTTCAAACTACTGAAAATCCAATAATTACAAGAAGTCATTTGTGATTTTTTAGATTTGAAGAGGCGTTCATCACACTTCATTTAAAAGGACTAAAGCAACCGTTGTGGATTGGCTTAAACGATAAATACCGTCCTCGAACCTATTATTGGTCAGATAATTCACCCTCAGACTATTTCAAGTGGCATAAAGGAGAGCCAAGTTTATGGTTTGGAGGTAGCGAATGCGTAGAAATTTTACCTTATCGCTGGGCTGCTGGAAAATGGAAAACAAATTATTGTTCTAGTAAAAATGGGTTCATATGTAAAAAAGGTAAGGTGAAGATTTTTCATTCATTGATTATTAAGGCAGTTAACTACATTCATAATTCACACACAATATTACGCATGCAATTCAAAACTTTTAATTCCACATTTTAGCCGCTCAAAAGACAACAGTACGACCACCTAAGAAGCAAAAAGGTAATCTACTTACCAATTGCTGTAGTTTATTTTCAAATTGGAACATTTTAATGTCATGGATTATGACAGATATTATAAGTTTACTAAAATGATGAGAATTTGCGCTGAAAACTATGTACGAAAGATCGAATATATTCAACTTTTAGGCAGCTACATATTCTGCTTTGGTCACTGTAAATTTCGATTTTTGAACTATCTGGCTTTTCAACAATCTTCTAATGTTTTTTTTCTTTTTTCTTTCTTTGTGCTAAATAGAAGGTATTTAGTCATTGAACTATCTCAGATTGTTAAACAAACAGTGGCTTAGCCAACCCGGTTATTTAGTCACGCTAAGTAAGGTTATGTGTTTGCTGACTCTGAAAAAATTAGATTTCGAAAAAAGTTGATTATAGAAATGAGCTGAAATTTGCGTAGCAGAACTAAAACTTGCTGGTTGGCTTTGCTACTGCAAAAATGTTTTTGATTTTTCCATAAATAAATTTCATGAAACATAAGTCCAATTGAGCCTGTGTTCACACTCATATTCTCCTGTGTTTTAAATCAAATGACGTGCTTTTGTTATCTTATTAAAAACGTTTATCGTGTGTTGTATATATATTTAGCAAATCATTTTATTATTTTTACTAGATCCTAAGTGTAAAATTGGCTACAAAAACTATCACAAATCCTGCTTCAAATTTGTTTACTCACAGCTAACATTTTTTGATGCAAGAAAATTCTGTCAAAATGATGGTGGAGATCTAATGATAGTTGAAGATCAATTCAAACAAGGTAAAATGTTTACATATTCAACTCGCTTTGTTGAGGAGAAAACGTATGTAAAAACATCATTTGCATTTTCAAAAAGCCTTATCATTTATATGATGTAATCAAAGTGCACTATATAGATTGGCAATCTACTAAGTAAAGAGTGAAGTAAACAATTCCTGAAACTGTGTGGTATAAAAATATATCAGATCTTGCAAAACTGGAAGGACAACACTTGTTTACTATACTTATATTTATTATTTATGTGTACAAATGATGATCATAGTCTGCAGAACCCCCATTTTTTGCTAAAACTTCTTGCTTGCACCACTGCATAGCGTATTAATTTTGACTATTTTGTGATTGTCATTTTTGATAAAGACTCATTTATGAGCGTGGTAATTTCAGTTTTTTACACATTTTACTTGCAGCTTATCTTACTTACCTGCTGCAAAGATTTGTGGGGATAGTCTGGATTGGTTACATTCACGAACCTTACTCTGTGTTTAAATTTGTGGATAACAGTTTGACGGCTCATACAAATTGGGGTCCAGGCCAACCAAATCGCCAACTTCAACAACAATCATGTGTACAGGCAAATTTTGCCGGCTTAAATATCGGTTTCTGGGACGATGTAGAATGTAGTACTACCAATTCATTTGTTTGTGAAATATACAAAGGCAAGTGTGAAAAATGTGTCGTTGTCGTGCTCTTCCTTAAATTCTTTGAAAACTATTTTTTTCTTGACATTCCACACCGTAAAAAAGGAATATCAAGAAAAAACTCCTAGCTGTATAGGTTATTTTTCTTAAATATGCATTGAATTTAAAAAATATTTGGAAACAACAAAGGAGAAAGAGACAAAGAATAAGCAGCCTTTTTATAAACAAATAATAAATAAACTTGTTCTTCGTTTAATTTCACGCGGCAAAACGCAAAAAATTCAGTTTTTTGATTCTTTGCTTTTAAAAAATTAAGAAGTCAATTGTGTCGAATGCTGCAATTAAAAATACACTTTAGTTGTTGTTATCAGATGCTTTTTACCTGTTTAGCTAGATTAACTTGTTGAAAAAAGAACTTCTTAATAACTCCTAAAAATCAAATGAAGAAAAGTTCTTAAACGCTCCTTAAAAAATCCTCAGTTTTATTCAACCCTGAAATTCCTGCATTGAACCCTGTAATTTTCCCTCCAAAAAACTATGATAGATTAGCATAAAATCTACAAATTCGAATTTAAATTCGTACAAATAAAATCTTTTGAAACCCACGGAAACAAGTGCACTACAGCTTTTTGACTTACTGATAATATTTTCGATGCTATTTATTGATCACCTGACATGGTTTTGTCAATCTAACAAGTCATACATTGCAGACTTGTATATGTAAATTTAACGACATGCAGCGGGCAGCTTTTTACGTTATCTTGACCGTGGTCCAAAAGTGCTTGTTTTTTGTAATGCATTTGTTTACAAAGCGAAATTTAAATTTTTAAATTGATTTAAAAGCCTTGAAAAATAAGTATATATTAAGGTTGTTCGGCCTTAAAGCGTCCCTATTTTTTCTGTACGGACCTACCAGCCGGTATAAATAACATTAGTATATTATAACAACTGATGCACTGAAGGCAGCTTAACCAATCAAGTTGTGTTGTCATGATATTAACATTTGTTGAGAATAAATGCGAAGAATGTTATTGTAATAATAATGAAGGTAGCTAATAGATCTTATTGAGTTTAGTTTTATACTTAATTTACTAATTATACTTTCTCTTCTTTTATAGGAGAGCCAAAAGTTACGATTCCATGTAAGTATAAAATATACGTACTACAACCCACAACATATTTTACCAATAAGAATTTATCCAGCAATGCATGCACAAACTACCGAAATTGCAAAAACTATTGAAGTTAGTTTCATACAGGAATTTTTTCTTCTTTGTTTTTTAGTAAATGGAACCTGTCCCAGTGATTGGAAGTACTTTAACAAACATTGTTACAAATACTTTACAAGTGAGGTTCAGTGGTCAACTGCTCAATATACCTGTTCTAAAGACGGTGCTAACTTACTTAGCATACATGATGATCGAGAACAAGATTTTCTTATCTATTATCTTCAACAAAAAAGCCCAAGATGGCTTTGGACAGGTAAGGTATAAAGTCGTTTTATAGAAAGTTATTTAATTGATACCGTGGCAAAATCTTTCATGAATACATTGCAAAATAATAACACTAGAGATAATGTGTTGCTGTAAGTTGTAGCTATCAGATTTTTGTTTTACTAAAGCGATACAGTTTTGTTAAAAAATATGATAACTTCTGTGTTTTGCCTCACTGTCACACACATTGTTTACAGTATAAGCCATGATTTTAGTGGTGTTCAATAAGTTGGTTTACGTGTAAAACACTAGTGAAACGTTTACATTTCACATGAGTTCGCGTGATGACAAAATCCAGGCGTTTTGCAATGAAAGAGGTGGTCCACGCTACTAGTTTCAAAACAATTTGATGAGAATGGTACGCAGTTAGGAAAGAATTAAAGAAAAATAATTAATCATAAAAGAGACAGCCAAAGACTACTAAAGAATTAGGTCGCCATACTGACACTATAAAAAGAAATTTCAAGCGTCAGCTCCAGAAAAGCTTACACGCGTGATAGCGAGGTAATAGAAGTTGCTTCCAGGCTAAATATCAATCATATAAAGTGAAGCATGTTCAAACCATCTTGAATAAAGTGCAAGATCTTTTCTACATGCTGGTGTTGCACATGTTGCAAAATACACGTACAATTACCTACCTCCTAGAGATATTGCTGCGTTTGAACACCCAACAAGCCTCACTCGAACAAAGACACGTGGGGTTGAGGATATATTGGGATACATATGGACTTTATGAAAACAGATATGACATAGTACTGAATGGTACATATTGCTGGTTAAATGTTAGGTTATAAATGTTGATAAATATCACGTGCACGTCAAGAATTAGACGTCAAATGAGCTTGAGCTTCTGCTGATGCAATTTTTTTGTTCACTTTGTGAGCCAAATGGAGTAAGGTTGAAGTATTTTCTGTTTTAACGAAATGTATTGGAACCATTTCTGGAGCTTAGATTTACCAATGAAATTAAGAAACACAAAAATTAGGAGAATTTTTTTACAAAAAGATGAATGAACAAAACCAATTTAACGTGTTATATGTTGCTAATAAGTAATAAAGAAAGAAATGAAATTTTTCGCTCATTTTACTAAAATAAAAGTATGTTTTATTTAAGAAATAAAAGATGTTTATTGTATTTACACAGGCTTATGCAAACCGAGGAGACCTTTGGGAGAGCTCGAGAGCAGATCAGTGCAAGGTCGAGAGTTGCACATGCTCGAGAGTTCTCACAAACGTCTCCGAGGTTTGCATAAGCCAGTGCAAACACGAAAAAGATCTTTTATTTCTTTCATAAAATAACAATAATGCGTTAAAGACAAACATTTTAATTTTTCCTCTAGAATGTATTAATGACCGATTAGCAAATTCTCTTAGACTGATTGATTGTTTTGATTCATTTGATTGGTTGAGCTCAGATGTGTTTTGCACAGGCTAATGCAAACACGGCTCTAGACTAATCACCCACGCGTTAATTATTTTATTTTATAATTTTGCAACAAAGTACGTTTGCAGCTTTACCATTGTCTTATGAGTTTGTGTTTTATATTGTTTCAAGGTTTGAATGATATATCTGTTGAAAGAGGATATGAATGGGAAGACAAGAGTGCATTGGATTACATCAATTGGGATGATAATAAACCAGATAATAATTCAAGGTCTAAAAACTGTGTTGAAATGAAATCAATATCTGGAAAATGGAAACATCAATCCTGTTCCAGCTGGCGCAGTTTTATTTGTAAAAGAAAATTAGGTATAACTTCATCTATCTTTTTCCTTTCTGTAATTTTTATTGTTTAGCTCACTCCTATGTTCCCATATTGATAGAGTGCATGTTTTTAAGAAACTTTTTGTCTGGTACTATGCAGATAATGTTAAACATAATCCTACTTGCCCTAATGAATTATGGGATGCATGACATTCGACATAACGTGAACATGTACCCTAAGAAACACATTTCATATGCTAATATGTGTTGATGATAATTATTTTGTTTTGTTTCCTTTTGCTAGAGCTGAGTTATGGCACTACAATTTTCTTCTAAAATCTTACATTTCAGAATGTTCTGGAGATATTCCCATCGATACCTCGATGGTCACTGTAACAAATACTCGTAATTCCACCACAATGGGTGCTGACAAGGCAATTTTTACTAATGAAAATGATAGCCATACTTGGTGTACTAATAACACAAGTGGAAATTCCAAAATCATGGTAATTACTATAAATATATAAAATGAAGATAACATTATAGCTGTTTGAAACAAATTCATAATTTAATAAACACAGTTTTACTCAGATTCTCAATTGTGTTTAATGAAATAATGCGTTCATTTGGAAAAACTTTACCATTATATGTACACATGCCTTTTCAGCTGCTCTAGAGAATTAGACGCTTTTTAATATATTATACACGCAAATGTAATGCTTGAGTTTTTAATTTTTTTCTATTGGATTCATCGTGCAACATCCATCAGCGTTTTTTCGAGTTATGGATGATTTAAAGTCATCTTGAAGATTTGTTGTCTGTTTTTCTCAAAGATTTTTTATGTATGCGAGCACTTAAATTTTTACACTCTTACTTTCCAGATCAATTTCGACCAATTGTATCGAGTTACTGGTATAACTGTTACTGGATTTGGACAAAAATACGTCAAGTCGTTCAGCATTGAGTATGAACATGACGAGAGCTGGCGTGTGTATTATCCCAAAAATGACTATCAAAACGTGAGTTATTCAATTCATTCATTTTAATGACAGTTAACAGGGACGGCGGAGCAACATATGAAGTGCGGGGTTAGGTCTTCAATTCTATTCAAGTGTCTTAAAAAACACTTCTAAGCAACAACTTCAGCTCAGTCTAAATATCTTTTTAGCCATCACGGTTCTGGCATCCCTGGGTTAAGGCTTTAGTTTAGTTCGTATTCATGGTTGCAACCTTGCATCAAAATAGACGATGGGTTTATTGATTCAGCAAGTTAATTAAATTATCGTAGTTTCTGATGCAATCACACTGCTTAAAATTATTGAATCAGACTCGTGGAAACTCGTTTAAAGTCAATGGAGCTTACCACGTGAGTAACGATGAGTTTTCATATCAATTGTATGTCATATAAACCTATTTTGTTTTGTGAGCAGCGAAAATAAAATGAAATGTTAATTTTGGGTTGGATGCCTTCAAAACTAAACTTTTCAAGCACGCTGTCTCTAACACTAAATCATGAGCATTGTGTAACACTTCTGGTAAGATAACTTGAAATGAACGATTATATGTACACTTGTGATCCTTGTTCTTCCACCAGGTAGTATAAATAAATATAAAATGCTCCCAAAGTCAAACGAAAATACCTTAAAGCTCCAGCTAAAGATTTGCAATTAATTTATAAAACATGCCCAAACTTTTAATTACTGAACTTTTTTAATATCTCCTTTGTATTTGTGCAAGCTATTTATGATGAGTATTTTAATACCATAATATACAATCATACAATCATATAATAGCATTAATTAAATTTGTTTGAAATGTGAGAAATTATAGAAATTGCTTCTTTGATACGACCTATAATTGAATAAAATTATGATAATGCAGCGCTAATGTTAATGGTGATGGTAATTGGTAATGATAATGGTAATGATAATGGTAGTGGTAATGATATTATCATATTGGTGATTGTAATTGATAATGGTAATGATATTATCATATTGGTGATGGTAATTGATAATGGTAATGGTAATGGTAATGATAATGGTAATGGTAATGATATTGTCATATTGGTGATGGTAATTGATAATGATAATGGTAATGATATTATCATATTGGTGATGGTAATGATAATGGTAATGGTAATGATAATATCATATTGTTGATGGTAATTGATAATGGTAATGATATTTGGGTTACGTTAATTATAATAAAAATGGTAATGGTGATAATAGTGGTAACTAAAAAGATGACGATGACTATAACGATGTATTTTTTAAATGTATGCATGTATAAAATATGTAATTAGTATTTAGTCTTCATCATTTCATGTCTTAATATTTTTAGGCGATCCACCAATTTTCATCGGCTCCATCGAGGACAACATTCAGATATCCATTCAAAGCTGATGGAATAAAAATCACCCCAATCACGTGGAATGGAGGAGAAATTTGCATGAAAATAAAATTACACGGATGTTCGTACGGTATGAGATGATATAACGAAATACTTAAACGTATAACTGCAAGATTTGAGCTACCGAGAACTTTTTATGAGAAACCATAGATGAAATGGAGAAAAAGAAGACCTCTTTTTGATTAGTTCTCTTTTTCAGTTTGTCAAAAACAGCTTTTCATGTCATACCCAACCAGAGTTAAGGACAACGTGATAACTGCTTCATCAGCAAAATATCCAACGCATGAGCCGAAACAAACTGCAATAGTAGGTCATGCTTGGTGTGCTGAGGTAAGTTTTATTATCTGTTGTCATGTTTGAATCCACTGTTTTAAGTTTTAAAAAAAATATTGAACACTTTTAGGTATCGTAGTCGTAAGTAATGAACTCAATCATTAAATTCGTTGAGTTTGCTTTATATCTGTGTTTCTAATGAAATCGTTTATATTAGAATGAACTTTTCAATTTTATTAATCTCATTAATTATGTCATTATGTTTAGAAAAACGACAAGAATCAATGGATTCAGTTCAAATTTGCAAGAGAAAGTAAAGTTTCAACAATTCGAACTTTTGGTGACAGGAGAAAAAGTTATGTGAAGTCTTATTACATGCAGTTCAGTGACGATGGGAAAAAATGGAGCAATTATGTACAACATGGAACAACAAGGGTACGTTTTGTTTTTAATGCTATTCCATGTTTCCAAAGTTCTTTCTCCTTTATGTATACATTTTTCTGTTTTGAAACCATATTAGCTACAAGCATACTCAAGGTGATTTCATAGTAGCTGCAGCTGAAACGTAGCATGATTAAAGTGGTTCAATAAACTATTGAGAATAGTTTAGGTTCATGAATTAATTTAATTATAAAAACCTTTGAAATCTAACAAATGACTGACGATAAATTATAAATATTAGATATTTCAAGGAAACAACGAGGCCAACAGCCCAGTTAGACATACTTTGGCGAATGAAATTGAAGCAACATTTGTTAGAGTTTTACCTGTCTCATGGAAACATAATATATGTATGAGAATTTCTTTACATGGATGCTACGCTGGTAAGTCTTGTAGGGTGTTTTATTAGTAAGCATATTTTTATTTGTATTTATCTATTAATGTATAATATGAATTAATGAAAACATGTAGATGTTTAAAAATCAAAATCAATAATAAATGACATTTGGGTAGACAAGTGTTGATAAATACAAGATTAAATAAAGTTAGGTAACAGCTCGTACAGCTCTTACTTTGGTTTGCTTATTTTTTCCCGATATATGTAAGTTATAATATGAAAATATTTCTTTTATCCATTTTTACTGAACATTTCTAATTTTTTTCAAATCAAACAAAATTCAATATAGCAATGTATTCTTTTTAGATTGTAACAAGCCTTTGTTGGCTTCTAAACGAATACCAAATCCTCGATTTGATTCATCGGACAAAAACTCACATCCTGAATATGCATTATTTAATACTGGCAAAGCTTGGTGTACTGGAAAATCTAAAATTCAAGATCAGTTCCTTGAGGTATGCACGGCTATGCTCGTTTGAACGTTTAACCAGTCACTGATAAGCAACAATAGATGTATAAAATGTCTTTAGATGCAATTTGGTGGCCAATATATTTTGTCAACAATAGCGACGTTACCAGGACCTGTTGGCTATAAAAATGCTAGTGAAATATCTTCATTTATTATGAAATACAAAAAAGGAAAGAATTGGTTTGTTTATGGACCAAGAGGTCAAGCGAAGGTACGTAGCTTTTTGAATTTTATAGCTCACAAAAAACGACAGTGTGTTTCAACATATTAGCATAAAATGCGATCCCCATTCACAATTTCCAAGTGTTGGCATTCCTGGGTATTGCTAGTAACTTTTTTTCGTTTTTGTTTATTTCAGATTATGTTAGCCATAAATGAAAATGATCGATCAAAACCAAACACCAATCATCTCACTGACTATTACCGTAACCGGAAAAGTTTGCGGACTAAAGGCATACAAATTTACCCAAAAACGTTTGATGGATCTCCAGCATGTATCCGAGTAGAGTTTTACGGCTGTCCTGCAGGTTTGTTCCTTTGGAATTCAGCACATTTTTTTACACGAGTCCCAGTTTAATCCACTCTAGTCAGTGTAGCGTAGCCAGTCCACAAGTTTTGGTACCTCTAGTAAATTTCAGAGCATTATTGTTTATTTCTTTAGAAATCTATTGTTTTTACGGTGATTGAACACGGACAAATTTAAATAGCAGGACTGAATTTTCAGGATGGCAACCGCCCCTGACTGTTGTACACACTCATGCCTTATTTTAATTTCTTATAACGAAAAAATACGCTACAGAAGATTAAAGCTGTTCTCCTCAGTGCTTCGTGAATTTGAAATATTCATTGGATTTATGCTAATGAACGACGTTGTTCTACGTTCACCCGAAGTAAAGAATGATCGATCTTATGACATTAAAATGAACATTTGTTTTTGTTTACAGGCGTCCAAATTCCTCGTAAAACACATTCAACTTCACGTAAGTTTTTATTCATACGGGTGTCGATGGCAGAAAAAAGTGGTTTACGCCACGTTTAATTAGTCCTGTACTGAAAAAGAACATTGTTTCTCATAATAACTTCAAAGCCTTTCTCGTGTTGTAGTTTTTAGTGCACAACGGTTTATAAAGGGAATAATCATAAACTAAAGGAATATTTTGATGTCCAGCTATAATTTAACTTCCAAACTTCCGCACGTGACATTTATGGATATTAATAATTGTCAATGCATGATATGATCTTGTTAATTTTGCTTTTTATGTTGACATGATAACTAAACTTACTATTTGCTTTTAACTTAATATATGACATAGCATGTCTACACCTTTATACTATATTAACTGCTAACGCATCAAAATTGGAAAGAAATAATTTTTGTTTTTGAACTTTTTACTTTTCTTTTTACATTTCCAGAAGACATTGTCTATGTGTTCATTCGCTTTACAAGTTTGACGTGGGATGACAAATTAAGTGATCATAAATCCAATGAATTTCATACGATAAGCATTGATATAATAAAAGCGGTAAATGACAAGTTTTCATGTATTAAACATGTTATCCAAATATTTAATATCTATTTACTTTTATGGTATTAAAGTTTCGCATTTATTTAATAACACATTAAGGTGTGATGTATCCTATTTCCAGATTGAAAATGTTTACAGTGAAAGAAAATCGTTTCGAAATGCTGAAGTCATCGAACTGACGTATGTTACTGGATGGTATATCTATATATAGTCCCAGTATTTACTTTCAGGACTTATTTGCTTTGTCTTTAATTTTGATCAGTAGATTAATTGAATCAAATTTTGATCATTGGATTAATTGAATAAAATTGTTATTTTACTGGTTAAAAAAGGTGTCGTTATCTCTTTTAGTAAAGGAAGTGTCTGGGCTAAAATTAAATTGGTATTCAATCCAGAGTTTGCTGAAGGCGAAAACGTTACATCTAACTTAGCAAACGCTGTTAAAATGGGAAAAGTTGGTGACCTTGATGTTGATCCATTATCGTTTAAGCGAACATGTATGTGCGATTTTCATTGCATCGAATTGTAAAGTTTATGAATCTTTTTGAAATTAGTTACAAACAAAATAATTTTTTCTTGATGTGTAGATGGTGAAATACCGACAAAAGCCAAAAGAGGTAGCTAAATGCATTATTTTAAGTAAACAGTTTCATTAATTCTTCAAATTGATCATGAAATTTTCTTATTCTTTAATCTAGAGTCTAATTCAGGTTTATCTCATGGAGCCCTTGCAGGTGTTATTGTTGTAACTGTGCTTGTTGTGCTGGCTGTTGCTATTATTTTGGCATTTTTTGTGTATCGACATAAGAAACAGAAAAACTTATTTGCACCAAAATATTCTGACATCCCAATGTTGTATTTATCGAAGGATCATGAATCGGAAAGTTAACGTACAATATATATAGCCAGCTGACTATAGCGTAAATCACATTTCACACCAAAAAATATCGTAGAGACACAAAGATAAAATTTTAATTCTGTCTTAAATCTAAGATCTCTAAAACTTCATTTGTTGCAGTTTTTGCACATTCCAAGCCTTCTGTTGATGTGACCTTTACCTAAAACAAACACAAACACAATATAAAGCAGGTTGAATTCATGTTTCAAGTCATTTACATAGCTGGTAGTAAAATAGTTAAATGGTGAAACATACAGAATTTTTAATCAAAACATTTTCAAATAATTCGAATAAAAATTCAACTGAATAAAAGATAGCATGGACAACTCTGAGTACAACTCAGTAACATTTGCAAAACATCTTTGCAAATTGCAATCACGTCATTCACTTGTATAGGGTATGGCAAAAATATGACGGTATTTTAAAACAAATAAGTATGTCAGTTTCCAAGAATTGTGGTTATAAAATTAATTGCATGCATACGACAATAGTTGAGAGTAGATGAATATGTATGCACCTTTTCTTTGTAGCTTTCATCGGTAATATCGGGAAGGTTTATTGCAATGTTATAATAAGCTCCCCATACACCAGCCTCAAGACAACGCACACCAACCTATAAAGATGTTAGACAGTTGTTTTGAGCCTGCTTTCACTGGCAAACCTCTGTTCTAAATTTGTAGCTGAAAGAAGCTGATGAGAGCTTAAATGCACTCTATCATTCTGCTTTAGCAGCTAGTTAAAGTTAGGTTAAAGGTAAACAAAAAAAATGTAATGTAATCATATACAACATGTCGATCAATGTTACAACAAAGCCTTTGGTTTATTTAATGATATATTAATTTGGGTTTACACCTGAATATCTGATTTAGTTTGAATATTTCCATGCTTTGCCAGTGCTTTTAACGGCTCCCATATACGTGTAACTGTTTGTATTAATCTCAGTGGAACATCAACTGAAGCCATCAATCCTTCTTGAACGGATTTTGCTTGTCTTAAAACATACACATAAACTAGTGATAGAATTAAATCAAAAATATCAAAAGAATATTAAAACTGGCTTTTAATCATAGCGTAATATATAAAAACATATTCTCCTAAGTTCCCAAGTATAGTTTTTCTCTGGAAAGAAGCTTTTACATAGTTTTAAATAATACACAGTGATTGTTGTTAATCAGCAATGGGTAGAATCTTAGACTTTCCTGCAATTTCATTGGCTGTATTGGAGCGGGCGGGATTTTACGATATCTGACCACGATGCGAAATCCTTAGCTAAATTCTTGAGCAAATGGTTGTTTGGTTTTGTCTTACCAAATAAACTATCAGCCAACGTTTTCGTTAAAATCGATTCATTAAATAAAATACGTTATTTAGCGTTCCGATTTACATCGATCAGCATTGAAAACATTTCCTCACGGTTTCAAAAACGACCCTCGGCAGCATCCCCACACCTACCTGCAGGTAAGTGACATGTTTTTCTTTAAGATATAATGACGTATGAGGTTATTTTAGGAAGCTAATCATATTTAATTGTATCTTTTAGTGTAAGATTGTTTACCTTTCCTTTTCATCTGGCGAGCTTTTTGGTAATTTTAAAGCTTCCTGTAAAAAAAATTCAGACAAGAAAATTCATTTTCTTCTTTTTCACACCAAAAATTCAGTTACGCTAGCATGAAGAACATGGAATTCAAAAATAATCTTTCTTACCGAGTAGTAACATTAAATAATTCCCATTTAAAATCCCTTATCTGATATTTTGTGTCTATTATTAGGTTTTCCTGTATACCGTAATCAATGGCAGCTGTTCTCACCATATACATATTGAAGGCATTAGTGTCTGCATCCACCAGCGGTATTAAGTCGACCATAACTTCACGGATCGGTGGAATAAGTTTTCTCATGGTGGAGTCCAAGTGATCGTATTTCTTCTTACCAAACGTCATCCATCCAACCATTGTGCTTAAAGCAGCTCCCTTCATGAAAGAAGTAGAGTGACAAGGTGTTGAGAATCAACTGTACATAGTAAGTACCGCGTGAGAATCTTGATTAGGCAATCAGTCAAAGCTTAAAAATTGTTAAGGGTGTTACTTACAATCGCTGCTACAGCAGCTGATGCTGATCCTCCTCCGGGAGAAGGTGTTCGACTTGATAATGACTTGATAAATTCATGTAGTGGCAAGGAAGCCAAAGAACCATGTTTGTTGCTACCAATTACATATCTAGAAATAATTTTTCAAAGTAAGAGTGAAACAAAATGTTTTACAAAACTAATTCATATTTTACGTACTCTATTATTTTTTCATCTGTGTTAAATTGACCTAAAGAATTCAGGCCAAGTCTATCAATTACCTAAAAATTAGAAAATTGTGCAATAACATTCATTGTTCTATTGTGAAATGCGGCAATGGCAATTGTTTAGTTTTTCAACCGAGTTTTCTCGATAAAAAGTACATGCAGTATTTCCATCATGGAACCATCATAGAACATATCAATGGACAAAGAGATATAACGTATTTTCATTTCAATGCTTTATACCAATCGTAATTTTTGATCTTCTTCAACGATAAACAGGTCTTCTTTTGCAATATAATAATTTGCAGCATCAAACATCACTTTCAGTGGAATTAAACCAACAACTTGCGATCCAGTGATCGGTAAGTTCAGCTTCTGTAAGTTCAATGGAAATAATCATTATGTGTAACTCTGATGCTAACGCTCATTCCTACATAAATACCCTCACTTAAAGAAAAATATCGTGCTAGTCGATACTGGTTTCCCAAAACTACAGCATATTGTACAATTTGTCTACGAATTGTTGTTATATGAATACATTAGTGTGTCTAATTTCTAATGGGGTCTTAAACAATATGCACGACTCTTCAATTTTTACTCATTTGTAGGATGATCATGGGCATTCAGATGATATGAACAAGGAAACTATGGAACTCGGTTAGTGCTAAGCATTGATGGTCATTCTAAACGTATTGAAAACTTTGAAAACGAGTTCGGTTTAAAAAATCTGGATGTTAAAAACCTCGATTAGCAATATACTATAGCACTGTCCACAAGCGTGTTAAGGCGGTTTAAAATTGTTTCGACAACGAGACAAATATTTGAATACAACAAAAAGATACTACCTTGGCTTCTTCCACACATGTTTCAAAAACAGTGTGAACAGCAGTGGTCTTGAAATCCAGAACATTTACAGATATTTGTGAAATGTTGGATTTTTCCTCTCGCCAACCAACCGCTTGAATTTTTTCCAACAAGCCAGGCTTTATTAATTACATACATATTTATTAGATGTACAAATGAGAGGTACGTGAAAGAAAAGAGGAAATTTTGGGCCATTAACATGTAGCTATAAAACTTTCTATGCAAAGGATGGTTTCCTTATTAGAAAATGGATCAGTTGCGAAATTTCGATTGAATTCTTTCGAACAAGGATTTCATTCCTTATAAAGTTCAACAAAAATGATCATATAAATCAATATACACCCATCTCCCACCAAGAAAATTCTCACTAACGATATGGAATGACTGGTTACATAACCAGAAAATTTTGGGAAAAATTTTCATGTAGAGCCTCAAATTTTCAATGAACCCTAAATGCCTCATGAACAATTTTTAACTCTAGTTAGCAGATTCTATCTATGATAATCTTGTCATGAAAAACATAACGCGTTAATATCTCACCTGCGATGGTCCGCGACCAGTACTTCGAATATTTAGAGCAATTCTGTGAGCTTGCTCCTTTGTACTCATTATGTTCACATTGTAAGCTATAAGAAAATCACGTGCTCCAACAATGGATGCACCCCAAGACGGAACAAATTCCGCAGGACCATAATCAGGTTTCCATCTATCATCTTTCAACTACATTTTGAATTATTTGCTAATTAATGAAATAACTTGTGTACATGTTTCGTCCAGTTAGATAGTCCTGAGAAGGACTGTTTTGTTGTTGAGTCTTTTTACTCTGAAGATGACTACCGCTAAGGTTGTCGAAACGTCAGTCAACAACAACAAAAACAGCCCTCTCAGGACTATACTAACCTGGACGATCTACATTTACAAACATGTAACGATACTCCCGGTTCAAACCATTTACGAAATAACTTCTGATTGGCCAATGAATGTGTTTGAACAAGAGAAGTCTGAGTTAATAACAAGACAAATTATATTTGTTCCAAAGATCAAAAAAAATTTCAGTGTTGTATGGATGTGTAAATAAATTTTTTCGTGATTTAGTATTCCAGAGTTCTTAACGTTTCTAATTCTGCGCATGAGCAACACCTTCGCTTTATATAACATTGTCCAATGAAAACCTCCGACGATTTGCCATGATATAATATAAAGTATTTATGAGTATCTTGATATAAAATATGAATAAGAATTATGGTTTATTAGTTTATGAACAGAATTTAACGTTAACAACAGTTTGATATTTTATTCATGAAAGAAGATGCATCTTTCACTCAAGAAATGTATCATTTTCATTTTAGTTTTCTATCAATATTTTTCAATCGTTTTTTGATCGTCGTATTTGAAAATAATACAGTTTTGAAGGCAAGAAGGAATTACCTTTTCACATAGATTTTCATATTGACCACTTCTAATTTGAGGGACCGTTTTACGATAATCTTCTCGAGACGCATAACCATAAAGATACACTGAAAATTAACTTCAAAATATCAAACAGAAGCTGAATATATGAAACAGACATTACTAGTAAAAAAACTGACGTCCTGCCTTGATAAATACAAACTATCAACAACAACCATACTAACCAGGAACATTTAAAGTCTTTACTAATCTTTCTGAAAATTGATGGGTGCATTTAATGCAGTCCTCCATGGTCACTCCTTTGACTGGTATAAATGGACAAACATCCAATGCACCAAGACGTGGATGTGAGCCTAAACAGGATTTCATACTTTTTAACTTATCATATAAGATTACACATAATCGGTCGTTGGTTTGTATTTGATTTTGCAATATGACGTCCCCATTCCCTCCCCCTCCACCTAACACGTAAACTAAATAACTACATATGCTAGTGAAAACTGGCAATACGAAAAATATGTAAACGAAACATGCTGGTGACAATACGAAATGCGTAGCAGAGTTTTATCAGAATGTAACACAGAGCGATGAAATTTACAAAATATTGTAATTTCGATTTGCGAAAATAGGCAATTTTCACTTTGCAATTTGCGATAATTGTCTCGAAATGTACAAATGCAAGTTGCAAATTTGAACTTTCACATTAGCTACAAATTATCATTAAAACACAAAAAATTGTTACGTATGATGATGGTCAAGTAAACGTAAATTTGAACTAAACAGCCGCAAAGCAATCGATAGTTTTAGCAACAGGAAAGTAGCCTCGTTCAGAAGACTGGGTGTGAGAGAGGCGCGGGCAGTGAAGGTGGGGTGTGTGTCGATGTGTCAATAGAAAATTAGGAGATGGTAGGATCAGTCTGCAGCGACACAGACAGGCATATGGTTGTATTTGTTTGTTTGCTACTTACCTTGATGATTCTTCATATCAATATGCTTACTTGCTTCAATTGCACCATTTAATGCACCCTCAATTACAGTTTCTGGGTTTCCGAAAAATGTATACACTGTCCTATTGGTCGAAGCACTCGCATCAACATCCACCAGCACACAACCCATCGTTTCTGAAATAGCTTTTGCAATACTCTGAATTACTTCGGCATTACAACCTTCAGAAAAATTGGGCACACATTCTACAACTTTATCAGATAGCTCCATTGCAAGGCAAAAGTTAATGAAATGGTAAATATAATTATACTTTTAATAAATATAATATTTAATAAAAGTAATACATAATTGTGACACGCAGCATGGAAGATAGAATGGATAGAATTTGTAATACAGCCTAAACGCAGGCACATTAGCAGGCACTATGGATTTCGGGCTTATTGCTATGGTTATTGATAACATTTCGTATGGATGTCAAATATGGCGTTTGATTATTGCTATAAACATTGCATTTGTACTTTTGATGTATTTTAATTTTTGATTACTCTTACTTGTTGTTTTCGTTGCAAAAGTTCGTGCATAGTTCAGGCTGTAATGTCTGCTCTAACTGAGGACATAGTTTTGTCCAGATCGCGAGCAACCTCTCTTCTGAAAGTTAGAAAACTAAATTGCTGGTAAAACAAGAATTAAATTTATTAAATCATCGTAATTATTCTACAAATTTGTATTTGGTTGTTTGTTTTTATGATATATAGCAATATATTAAGGAGAGTTTTCATGTCGTGATTTGTTTCTGTTCTTTTTTTTCAGGGGAAGTGGTCTGTCTGATGTAAGTATTATTGTTAAAATTACTTCTGTTTTAAATTAAATAAATATATAACTCTTAGATCATTAATAGAAAAGATCTTAAACAGATGAAATACTACAAAACATGACTTAAATAGTATCTAAAATGATTTCTCAGAAAACAACACAAAATTCCCCTATGTATAGACTTATGCCCTGTGACTGTTTTTGAATTGATGCATCAGGAAATGAATCTGGGAAAAAGTGCTCAGTCAAGTTTTACCGTTTGAGCACCAAAAGTATAAATTGATTTTTTTCAAGAGGCAAGTGACTATTTAATCTTGATTTAAAGAAAGATGATACAATCTGTTGATTGAATGAGCTCTTTGTGTTTTTATATAGTATAAATTGCTGTACAAATTTTTATGAATTGTTTTTGTTTATATAAGCTGTGTGTATTTAGGTGTCAATATTAAAAAGAATGCCAAATGTTGAAATTGTAACTTTGAGGTAATGCTCTCATACCATTATGTCTAATATATGTTTCAATGAATTGCTCAAAAGTAGTTTATATTATGCTACCCACATTTCATATTTTTAAAACAAATGATAATATGATAGATTTTTATTGTGTTCCCTTGTCTCTCCTTGTTTTCAATTAAAATTTTAAATCAACACCAAGCATGGCGAATTTTCTACATAGATTTTTCTCTTTTTTTATGTAGTGTTAATGAGATCAGCAGCCTTAAAGATTTTGCAAATTGTATCTTTTTGAAATAATCTTCAACAATTACATTTTTCTTAAATTTAAGTTTCTCTGATGTATCTGTGTTAGTTTTTGAAAGGTAGATTTCAATCAGGAGATACCTCCATTATTGAATTTTGCTAGAAATTCTGTGTGAATTAGCTAAACGTGTTAAGTTTCTCAAGGTCCTTTTTAAGAAGTGATCAGCTTTTTGTGACAGCCACTTTCTCACTTTTTGGCCGTATACAGCAAGGCTTTGCATGAAAACAACAGTGAGTATTATACAACTGAAAAGACCCAAATGCTTTATACCAGGGGTCTCCAAACTTTACAGCCATAGGGCCACATGAACTTTCATCCAGCATGTTGAGGGCCGACGAACCGTATACCGCTGGTCAAAGAGCGAATATTTTAATAAAACAAAGTACATAACACAAGCTTCATTAGTTAAAAAAATAGCTCCTTCCTTAGCTCAAAACTTGACAGCACTTTTCCATAACAGCCATCTTACTGCAGTGTAATATGGCATGTCAACAGATTCTGTCTCAGTAGGAAGTTGGGATAAAATTGACGTGCACTTGCTAGTTGGCTTGCGTCATGTAATTTCTGCATAAAGTTATTGTTTAATATTATTATTATTTTTCTTAAGTGTCTCTAGGGCGGATTGAGGCCCAACAGGCTATGCATATTTGGAGAGATGCTTTATACTAATTTAGGATACAGAAATATGCATTAATTAAGGTTTTAATTTAATAGGTATCACATGATGTTCTGAAGAGGTCACATGACTAACATGACTAGTATGCAATAATGAAATATATCAAAGTTAAGATTCTGAAAAACTGTTCAAGTTAAAACTTTCCCATGAAATGCCTAAATAGAAATAGTACTAGCTATGGGAATGAGAGACTCTTAGAGGGCCTGATGAAGAGCAATTTGAGACTTGTTGCTATGCCAGAAATATCATATTTTTCTAATTTTGCATAGGAATTTATTCTTGCAATAGCATTGGAATTTATTGTTGTTGAACATTCAATGATGTAAATGTCTTCTAAAGTCCATCAACTATCATTTGATATGTTTATAGAAATCACTTGTTACTCTTGTTGCTTCATTTATTCATTGTTGATTTTTCTTAACATTGAGTGAAGGTCGAAAACTAAGAGAGCTTTACTTGCGTAGAAACTGTATCATTGATATTAAAGAAGAAGTACAATACTTAAAAGATTTGCCAATTTAAAAGTTTTATGGCTGTCTGATAATCCTTGCTCACAAGTAAATGATTACAGATCTACCATTATCAAAAACCTCCCAGGCATAGAAAAATTGGATAATATAGGTATGTGAAAAATATACAACTTTTTCTATTTAACTATCCGTAATTTAAAGTTACCTTCTTACATGCATTAGTATTTACATTGTCATAAGGTGTATGTGCTCCAGCTTTATTTGAGTAAATTTCTTCTTTTCATGGACTGACTTTCTTTACCCCATGACAGTTTTGATTGTTGCTAAAAATTTTGTAACTTATTACCTGTATTCATACAATCAGTGAAAATATGATATTGTGATTACATTACCCTTGTAGTGTTGTTTTCTTTATTTAATGGCTTTCTCTTTCAACTTTGAACTCTTTCTAATGTTAACTTTTCTGTTTTAGTGATTTCTCGTGATGAAGTAAACAATTGTTTGGCTGATGCGAATGACTCTGAAGTTTGGTATGAGGTATAATTTCACTTGTATTTTGAATGGACTATCCAAAATGCTTATTGTTATTTCAAATGTTGCTAATTTTTGTTTTATGCTAACTACTTATGCTTATTAGATCATTAAAGCCTGTTTTCAAGGCCTATATACGTTTGATTTGCGCATTGTTGTAAAATTGTAAATTTTAAATAGGACAATTTAGCTGGAAAGATTATCTTCGCGTTGTGAACCTGCTTTGCAAGGTTCTTTCATTCACCATAAATTTTAATTTCATTTTATTACGTCACGTGTCGAAAAGCATTTTCCAGAAAATAACGAGGTTGAGCGTAGTGCAATTTCACCTGAAAATTTGAAGTATTGCTTCTTAACAAGTTTCTCACGGCCCTGCGCATCTTCCTTATTTCATAAAATAACTCATTATTGAACATTGCGAGTCACATTTAAAACCATGCTCTTTTGAGTATCGTTTAGCTCTATGTTGGGGAGGGGAGGGAAGGGTGGTACTGGGGTAGTTATCCAACTACATTCAATTTGATGCAATGTTATTTTCTTGTAGGACACACCTGAGCCTGAATTTGAGGATGTGACTGAATCTGCTATCTCGGGTATATTTTGAACATTGCTTTAAGCTAAATAATATGTAAAATAGATTTTCTTTCAATTTGACTATAATGGAAATGTGTTATTGGATTTTTAGGAAATTTGAATGAAAAAACCAGCACAAAATCACTTCTCAATGAAACAAAGTAAGCGAAAGTTATACTATTTTTGTAAAAGTGTGAGTTTGTCTATTTGATTTCAGTTTTGATTCATTTTAAGATTTTGTAAAATAAAAGTGGGAGATTAATCTTACACGTAACCTTTGTAATTGTTATTTATAGCAAATTACGCGAACAACTTGGCTTACAACCTCTTGCTATAGACGATATTTCTCAGTCAAATATTCAAGATTCTTTAACTCAGCGTTTAGAGAAGAAACGTCCAATGGATAGTTGTGATACCAACTCAGCTGCTTATCACGAATCTTCGTCAAAAAGTTTCAAGGGCAAAGTAAGTGAATGAAAATTTTTAAAACATATCATCCGCTATTCTCAAATGAAACTACTACGTTCAAATAATATTTTTGTCTTCAAGCATATCTTTGTGTTTTCTTTATCGTTGTAAATTACATAGCAAATAACTAGAGATTGCTTTCAGTTTCTTTAAGTTTTGTTACAGATGTTTGTCCTTAACACAGAGAAAATCGTTTTCTATCATAAATTTCTTTCGTCCAATGGTGCATAGCAAAACGAAATTAGACGATTTTTGTATTAGTGTTTCGTGGATATTATAAAACTTCCATGTTGTACAATTCTAGTGATTTGTCTACGAAAATTTAAAAATCATGGTAGATATCGCATATGCAATAAGTATCAAACGTTTCTCGCAGCCTTTTTAGCCTTTTGAGATCTTATGAGCTTGTATTTTTACAGTTTAAATCATTCATTACAGCTGGAGAGAGAACTTGGCAAAAATGTGATTTTTTCTTGCAAAAATTTCCATGGATGCCATACAGTATCTCTACTAAAGAGAATATCAATTCAATTCAATCCACCTACACTCAAAGATGAAAACTTTTCATAAATTTTTTCTATTATATCATTTTTCTTTGAAGATATTGTCGAGTCATTTACCATTTAAGTGTTTTTGTGCTTAGCTTATCATACGATTTTATTCAATAGCCTTTATCCGAGAATCAGAACAACAATTCTAGAAAAACAGAATTGCTATACTAATATACTGTTTGTTGCACTGAAACTTTTGACTGTGATAGTTAGTAGCGACTTATATATTTGTAATAGCAAACTTGCATTTAACTCTCTACCCCAGCCCCACTCCCCTTTCGGTTATTTTGGCATGAGACTTTCATTGATATTACTCATCGTCCTTATGTAGAGTTCAAATTTGCTGTCAGCAGTCACCTTATTACTTAACGATATGAATGAAGACGAACTCAATGCTCTACAAAAAGAAGTAGAGCAGAAATTGTGGACAATTCGCGAAAAAACTTCAAGTATGAAACACAAAGAGCTCATTAAATCATCAAGTTAACGTGGTTAGTACAGTTGTTCGACATACTACTATTCATACACTGAAGGTAGCTTTATCAAATAAAGTAATATATATCCAGAATCATATTCCTGAAAGCTGCGACATTTTCTTAGCTTATGAAAACTCTTTATCTATTCCCTTAACCCCTCTCCCCGATTCTCATGACTATGTTCTATTGTTTATTACTATATAAGGAAAAAGTATAAAGATCTAGTCCCGGTAACAATCTTAATATACTTTTAAAACGTTGCAGATACCATTGTGTATTGTAATGTTTGTAGAATTGTTTGAAAAAATAATTTAATGATATAAAAATTAGTTAAAAAGCTTCATGTTTTTTCAGCGAAATTCTCTTCAGGTTTCGTCTCTGTCATAAAGAAAATTTATATAATTAGCAGCAAATGATACTAAAAACAAGGATTATACGAATAGTACAAATTGAATTGTAGGCAGAATAACCAGATGCATATTTTCTTTCAAACGCGATAATTGAGCGGATTTTGATGTATCAGGACCTCTATCTTTATCATAATCGCAATTTTCGTTTTTTAATGTCGCCTAGCAATGGCTAGTTTATTTTCAACAGTAGCATTTTCAGAGAAAGCAACAATATTATTTGTGAAGGAAATCCCTGAGATATATCTGTATGGCATTAATTAGCCATGTTAGTGTCATTCTAGCATTACAGGTGAGAAAGAATTTTACTGTAAATACTGGCAGATTTATTTATCAGTTTTTATTAGAACAGACCTGGGACCTGAAGAGAAATCTGTCATAAATAATTCATCGTGGTTTAACTACCAAACTAAAAACTTGAAAGTATATTCTAAGAAAATATTAAAATGTAAGTCGTTTCTAATTGTAAAATGTACTAGTAATTAAAATGTAGATATTTTGAAACTGTTAATTCCTTTAAAAAAGAATTAAAATTGCATGATCATATGGAAGGTAACTTTGGAAAGCAGTAAAACTCCTTTGTTTTATATTGCTTGGTGATAGCCAACACATACAAATACAAAAAACAGAGACAATTGAAATAGGTTTAATGTTTTTAGTTACTTATACGTAGTTACAACGGAACACGTCAACCTAAAGGCAACAAAATATAATTTCCTTGAATGAATATTTACTCAACTCAATGTGATTCTTTTATTTACCAATATGGCGGCTATTTTATTGTTCTTCCAACATGGCGATTTTGACGTCACGTGAAATTCTCTATGTTGTTCTTTACTAGAGTTCTAACTACAATACAATAAAGCATTAAATCCATATTTACGAATATTTACATTAAATATACTTTAGAACCCCGATAACTCGAACTCGGAAAACACTATATTACTACAAAATGTGCCATCAAATCCAGGGGGGTTGAATTTACTTCAAGAGAGCGCGGGTAATTCGAGTTATCAGGTTCTACTGTACAGGTACTACATTTCAACTTCACTTCAACATGATCCTCCACAAATTATTATGTTCGTCTGAAAGAGAAAGAAATCACAATTCCGTAGTTCACATTCAAAAACTTTTACAGAAAGATCAACCGGGTGACAAATTTCAAAAAATTAAAATGGAGGGAAAAAATTATTGGGAGGGGGTATAGTCCCTCAACCCCTCCCCCTGTGTAACCGATGAAAAGACTAACCTCTTATAACGTCGACAATAAAAGACATTTCATCTGCTAGATTGGCAACCATCTACAACAGCAAAATTTCAACAAACATTGCCAATTTTTCAAAAAACAAAGTACAAACGAATAAGTAATAATTGTTTAGATCATCACACTTTTGTATTATATAACGTTTATACACAACGATTTGTTGGGCCGACACTTACGCCATATTACGTTTGCATGCCATATTCGGAAAGTCGCCCGACTCGAAAAACCAGATGAAAATCTGTAACAAACTACAGATTTGTTCTCGATTTTTACTGTGTTGCTATGGCTTCGTAAACAAGCAAATTATGATTATCGAAAAATCATCGAAATGTCTTCTGTCAACACGGAAAAAGAAAGTGCTGAAAGCGTCTTTATTGAAAGCGTCTTTATTGAAAGTTGTTTTTATTGAAAAAGCAAAAGCTGCAGAGATTCAGAAAAAGAAAAAAGTCAAGAATATTTTCTTAAAAAAAGAAACTCGGCAAAATTTAAATCGATTTGCACCTGACCCACACCGATCTTTATATTTGTTTTCTTTTTTTCTTCATTTTTTGAGGCAATAATAATTATACATTGCCTCCGTAGCTACAATGAGAAGTTTTAATTTCGCTTTGCTATTGTTCTTCGACATATTTCTTTTCCATATATGGCAAGAATCACGTAAATGGCGTCGGTGTCGGCCCGACAAATTGTTGTGTGTAAACGTACCTTTAGGGATACACATCACATCGAGTGTGAGTTGCATCGTGTACGTATAATTAAACTTTCTATGTGTATGATGTGTAATGAGAAGGCTCGTGAAAGACTTGGCTTTTTTTTTAAAAGATACGTAGTATTTTTCTTGTGATGTTAAGAACAGTATATATTCAGTGTCTATCTAAGATTGCAACTTTCTTCAATATAATTGTTTCCTTGGTATTTTAGGCAAACCTAAATGACTTGTATTAAACACACAAAATATACCTCATCATTGACAAGTATTTTGATGCCAGTAGGTCCTTCCCTGGGAAAAATGTCAAAAAATAGTTATATACTTGAAATGAAGTGAAAATAAAGAAGTCTTACTATATAAGCGAAAACATAGCATAGTCTTAGCTACTTTATTCATTTTGCTACTTGTTCTGCTTAGCCATAAATTGATTTACGCATAGGGCCCAGCTTAACACCATTTACATTGCATTCATTATTTTTTCAAGACCAAGTTGACATTTGTAGATATGTCCGTCTATCAAGTCAATCGAGTGGTCTTTAAGGTTTTATTTTAACAAATATTTGCCAAGTATATACAACATTGGAATGTCCGAACAAAAGTTCATTTTTCAAAGCTTTGGTAATATAGACAGTTAACACTAAACGTTCTTGTCAGTACTGGTATTGTGTATGCTGAAGATTCAGCAAACGTTTTAGTAACGTAATATTGGTATTATATGCGCACTATGTGCATAAAAGTTGGAAATCAATTGAAACATGTTCACTAAAATTCAATATTCATAAAAATTTTTTGTCTGTTTAAGGATTGTGTCGACATTACCTGAAAACTGCTGAAATTTGTGAACTTTGTAAGTTACATTTCTGAGCGAGTTTCTCTTTAAGAGCTTTTAAAGTCAGTGTTTCTAAATATACAGCTTGATATTCCTTCATCGTTGATGAATCTTGCATTGATTCCACACAAACATACATAGTTAAAACAGGCTTTGTTGCCCTTGAAAACATAAAAGAAGTGAACATCGCTGAAATTTCATATAGTCCAGCAGATGGAAACAAAACTGACATTGACCAACAAAGAAAAATTATATTTTCCTTGAAATAATTTCACTTTTAATTCAGTATGCTGGATACAAGTCCTTGTCAAGTTACGTATTGTGAGGATCAATAATATGCAACCTCAACATCCACGTAATAATTGTCATAATTTGACAGGGTGTCATCTACACATCACCGACAATCCTTTTCACCATTATCTATACCCATTCCACAGTCAATAAGGGCTTGCACACAATGGACATTCATACAGGTCCACTTACATTCTCACAAGCTCATTTGTTAGCTGACATTACCTTATCTGTAATAAATTATGCAATCGAATTCCTTCAGCATTACCAGCAATCAACGTAATATCCTTTTTACTAAGTCGAAGTAAGTCGGCACCTAAAAAGAACGCTGTTCTAGTTAATCCAGCAGGGATTACTAATCTTAATTAAGTACGTACACAAGTTGCAAATTAATATTTGTTTCCTAAAATTCAAAGTGTATACGAATGAAGTGAGCAGCCTTTCAACCTGTGTAGTTATTCAATTGAGGTAAGATCCCCTGAAATCGATGATGCGCCAGCCATGTCCTTGTTTCGTCGATAGTTGACTCTGGAGTTATCCTCTGTCGTACAGTAAGTTATAACGTATTAATTTTTCGGGGAAGCAATACAACACGATGAAAAGATCCGACAAAACGAATTTGCTTATAATACCTCAAGTACAGGGACTGGAACTGCTGAAGGTGTATTGGGGCTGTAAAATCCAGTTGGAGACTGTACTGACGAGTTTAAAAAGTTTTGGTATGCGTTTCTAGATGAAAAACAGTGATGAGATAAAATTGCCATTTAATGTATTTTCATTATTGTATATTATAGGTGTAGATGGTATTTTTTAAATTATAGGAAATAGACAGGTTTCACACCAAACATCTTGCAATTAAAGATATTAACTGAAACAGCCACGATGTAACACAACTTATTTGCTTCGAGCCTCATTGGATAAGTTGATCTTTCTTACGTCGGAGATGACCAAATTTCCGGGCTTCCAAAGAGATTCTACAGCGAAAATACTTGAATTTATAAATAAATAAATAGATAAAACGTGAAATAAATCTGATAGCAACTAAATGTAGCACACCTCAGTTAGAATTGTGACCTCTGATTGAGGTTGATACTGTTCCTAAAAGTTCACAGAGGAATTTTTTTAAGAAAACTAGTTTTTATTATGACATAACCACAGTATTTTCAATAAATTTCGCATTTATTTAACAGTAGGTATGTCAAACTTACAATTTCTTCTTTTGATAACTGCTCAAGCTTTGAAAGTTCTGTTTTGTGTTTTCTGTCCGCACCTTTAGTCTTAAAATGTAAAAATTAAGATCGTTTAATTAAACAATCTTTGCCCAAATAAGTTCTAATCGATGTCTAATATCTTAATAGTTTGTATCATACTCTTCATTAAACATAAATAAAACCAACCCTAAAAACTTTAATCTGACATCCAGCTGAGTAAAGTGGAAGTATGCTCTGTGATTTAGTATCTTGAATATCAAATTGTAGCTTTAAAGGTACGCCACTTTCACCTCCTAAAATGTCCGAATAAATAGATACGTTAAAGTTAAAATGCATTGCTACCAAAAGATCAAATCGTCAATCTGAATCTGTTTTTCAATGTGTGTCTGTTTCAAATGTATGCTTAAGAAAACGAAACGAGAAGATTGTTCCTTGCATTTTGGAAAAACGAGTAAAACTAATTTTTAATCTGTTCAAGAAAAGGACTACGTCGCTTCTACACTTAATTCTTTTATCAGGATGATACATTTCTGCTATAAACAGTCATTATCTTTTCTCAATGATTTGATTTATAAGTAATCAATTGCAATGGTTGCACGAAGCTACAATATCGATGTCCACTGAATCATGATGTTTAGATTAAAATATCATTACGATAAAAATTCACAATCAAATATGAACAGAAAAAGGTATGTTTTTATAAACTACAAATATAACAGCCACCTCATTAAGAGCTCAAGTTAGGTAACGCCGTTTGTGTTTAGTGCACTGCACTTAAATGTTAACGTGTATTGAACACAGCCGGCACTGCAGTGTCACAAAGGAAGTCCTAAACGTTTACTGCAGTTATACTGTTATGATGGTATGTATGAACATAATCTGTACTATCCACGTTTTACTTATCCACTATTTTTAGATTGGGTAGTTTTACTAGTTTAAATGAATGACATGATAAACACACCACTTTTTCCTTTGGTAAACTCTGAACTCACGCAATTTATCTGAAAAATAGAGAGCGAAGTTTATGGGAAATGAATTGACATTTCTTGAAATTGTTTGGCCAACAGATATTTCTAGAAAAGATTCTGTTAAAAAGCGATGTATACGTTGAAGATACAATTCTTTATTTGAGGTTAAAACAAAACTTATCGCTATCTCCATACGCATACGTAACCATAATCGTGCTTGAACATTTACAGAAAGTCACTATACTTTAAAAATACACGATCCTGTTTCAATTCACAACATAGGATTTTCATCAAGATAAAACTGCACTAAAATGACATAATGTGACAATTAAGACGAACGTTTACAAATGTTAACCTTGATATAAACTTGAGCCTCGACTTGAGTATCCCATTCAAATTCAAGTTCATTCTTGTAACTGCCCTGCGTTCTGACATTTAAAATACCAACAGACATGGGCATATCTGAATGCAAAGATTCAAATATTACGTATCTTCGCTACATGCAGTTATCTGTTTGACAACCGTTACTTTACCAATTTCCAGGATCCTTTCAGTTGGTCGATTAGCCAACCATTCTTCGTACTTTTCTGTTTCAACGACTTGCAATTTTCGTTCGTAGAAACCAAGTTTAGCAACAACCTGTACACATAAACAATTTTATGTTTAAATGCACACATGAGAAACATGGATTTAACCTTCGCATTTACAACATCTAAACAAAATCTACAAATTAAGGCAGCCATGGATTAAGGTACTATATACCCTTGTGATACGCGTATGTACAAGTAACACAATAGCACATGGATGTTAAGAAGCAATCAAAACTGAGAAGGATAAGAAAGGAAAGTAGAGGGCAAGTGTACAGCATACAAGAACCTGAAAGAGTATAGATGAATGCTCAGCTCATTAAAATTTCTTCAGATTTTTACTTTGTTAGAGATTATTTGACTACAGGAAATTATCATTTATCAAACTTGAAAAGTTTCTAGGACTCACACTGAGTATAGGACGATTTGCAAATGACATATCATATAATGCTTGTAATCGAACCAGGTATGACTGGCCTTGATAATAGAATGAATAAAAACAAAAATTAACATTGATAAATATCCATAGTGGAATGAAGGCTGGTTAAAGAATGAAAAAACCTTGATTAAGATATGTTATACTGTCTTCATTGAGTTTCTTTGAAGATGAAGTTGGTGCATTGAGAAGAAAATTAAATCTAGAATGTGAAATATATAGAAATACTCATTATCATATTAATTATGATTGATTATTGCTTCATAGGAATGATACCTAGGTGAAATTGTATCTTCCTTAAATTGCTTTAATGGAGATCCTTCAATTTTAACTCTAAAAAGTTATATTGGTCAATAGAGATTAGCCATAGAGAGAATTGCCAATTATTATTGCCAACAAGCTTAAATTAGTCTTGGCTACTAATTAAAATGTTTTCTAGCTACTTTACAAACATACATTATGTGCAGATTAAATAATTTAATAAACAAAGATTTGCTTAAAATATTTCAGTTCTTGTCATCAGCTTTTCAATTAAGCAATAAAATACAGGTATTCGATATTTAAAGCAACTCAGTTTCATACTTACTGACTATTATCTTGAGTTACATTTAATAAGGAGGGTTCTTTGACCAGATTTAACACTTCACTAAAAAAACATATTTCGGTTGAAGTTGATTTTCTGAAGTTACCTTGTCAGGCAACTATCCCAACTTAAATCCTAAATAAATGACGATCAATTATCTTGTTATGTTGTCTACATTATCAGATGATTACATGAACTTGACATGTATTGTAGCACTGGCAAAATTTATTACATCAAAAGTGAGCAGTTATACGTAAAACAGTCTGCAAAAGCAAGTCATGTCAATTTATGCTTTTTTATTATACATTTATGCATGCTGATAACTGAGAAAGATATCACATTTTAAACAGCCCATTATATCAAGATTTGTTCATGAAATTAGGCCATTTTAAACAAGTGCATAGATACAAGAAACAAGTTAGTGATTTGATCAGTAATTTATCTAGGAACTATTTCTCTCACAATTAAAAATTAACATTCCTGGCCACACCTTCAGTCAATGTAATACAGGGAACTGTTCTTAGAAATAGACCCAGTCAGCATTGACAGATGAGCAAAATTACAACTATTCAGTGAAAGAGACTTTAAGAAAGACCTACGTCATATCATAGGCGCCGATCTGTGAGTCCCCGACGCCAAGGCCGGATAAGTTGAATAAATCAGCTGCCAATCCTTTATCCAGTTCATCCTCACGCCAATTTGTGCTTGACATGTTTTCCTTTTCAATGCGAACTACACTGCGTACCAAACTAATAATAATAACTTCGCAAACGACTCAAGAGGAATGATGGAAAAAGGGAAGCAACACGTTTCTAAAGTATTTGCAATGTTTACTGCCATCGGGTTAAAGAGAACATGTCAACATTTCAACTATTTGACCACGAGCTTTATTCATCTTTTTGTTACTCCATTCGTTACCAATCTACTTTACGTCATCGCCACGTTGCTGTCGACAACGATTCTGGTGATCATCATCCGTGATCCATTTTGCTCACGATTTTACAGTGTAATAAGGCTTAATCTTTCGTCTATCCATGTTTTGCAAAGTATTTTAGTGTAATATTTTAAGTAAATCAAATTAAAAAAGCTGTCAAACAAAATGGTTGTTCGAAGTATTGATCAATTTTAGGATGTCGAGAGTTTATGACACTAAACTTAAATCATGAATTTAGATGAATTTTAGTGTTGTGTGAAGTTTATAAAAACGATATCTGTATCTATATCGACCTGCTTTCTTCTATTCTCTCTCAGTTATATTTCTTATTCAGCACATATGTAGTATATATTATAATTGTTATAATCACAAACACAATGTGTGGTGGTATATTTCCCGCCAAATTTATCACGTGGTTTAAAGATTAAAACATGGATGTTACTGACAGAGCAACTGGAGGTGTTCGTCTTCGTGATCAATTGGCTGAGCAATGTCAAAAATTATTTCAAGAGTTTCTTGAAGAGTATGTGTGCTTCAACGATAGACCTTCATGATGTTGATATTTTATGATATGTTTGCTAAACCACATGTTTTTATTCGTTTCATCATTTTGAATTTCATGAATCCACATCATTCACATGAATTACGTTTATACAAATTATGTGAAAATATAACTGCTTTTGTTTTGAAAAAAAACTCGGCATCAAGGGAAATTTCTAATTCATCTCCTAGGCATCGTGATTAACGCATAATGTTACTACTTGAAGGAAATCTGCTCTCTCAACCATTGTAGTCACCACTGGGCGACTTAGTGTCAACCCTGGGGTTGTGTTTGGGTGTAAGATATGCGTAAAAATTTGGTTCATAAACTGATAGAGTATAAAGGGAATCAGTGTTGCTAAAATTTTTGTGTTTCTCTATGATAAAAACCCTACAAAAGTCAATTCCATAACATAGAGCCCCCTGTTTTTTGGGTTGTGCGCTCCTGTCGTTCCAATGCTTCCTAAGATAAAAGTCATTAAGCTTTATTTAAGTGAAAGTGGCTCATTGTTTGAAGTATTAAACTGGATGCTGCACTACACTGTATTTTTGCTGTGCCATCTCTAATCCTTGTGCTGTAATTTTGTTTTAGCATTATCCTTTTTGATTTTCTTGATACTTTCTTCAGCATTTGAGTTGTTATTTAAATGTAGAATATTAATAATATTTAATTTTTGATTATTAAGTAATGAGCACTACCAGGGAACAATTTCCAATTTTGATTTGAATCAGTTGTTTTCAATGCTGACAAATTTGAGAAGTGTTCATAAATCAATGCTCACATCTAAAAATTTAATTTTTTTTTGTCAAAAATGTTTTAGCTTTAAAGCTGATGGTGAAAACAAGTACTTGAATGAAGTACAAGAACTGATACATCCAGAAAGAAATACTTTATCTGTTAGTTTTAATGATATTGAAAGTCACAACTCAAGACTTAGCACCATTATTCAAGAACAATACTACAGGTAATGATTCCTTTACAATGAAAATCCTTTAGAAGTCTACTCTTTAAGAAGTCTACCCTTTAGAAGTCTACTCTTTAAGAAGTCTACTCTTTAAGAAGTCTACCCTTTAGAAGTCTACCCTTATGGGTACTCTTAAGTCTACCCTTTAGAAGTCTACTCTTTAAGAAGTCTACCCTTTAGAAGTCTACTCTTTAAGAAGTCTACTCTTTAAGAAGTCTACCCTTTAGAAGTCTACCCTTAAGGCTACCCTTATGGGTACTCTTAAGTCTACCCTTTAGAAGTCTACTCTTTAAGAAGTCTACCCTTTAGAAGTCTACTCTTTAAGAAGTCTACCCTTTAGAAGTCTACTCTTTAAGAAGTCTACTCTTTAAGAAGTCTACCCTTTAGAAGTCTACCCTTAGTCTAACCTTAAGGGTACCCTTAAGTCTACCCTCTAGAAGTCTATTCTTTAAACCAACTTACCCTATGATTGTTTTCAACAGTTGTTAAGTTGCGTAGTTAATGCTCATTGTGAAGTTTGCCTTAGCAAAATCTAGATCACTTGCCTATGTACATACTTAGGTATGAATTTTTTGATTTTTGTGCACATGTGAACAGTGTTCCTTAAAAATTGCAAGTTGGAAAAAGTTAGCCTTTCTATCATTAAAGAGAAAACCAAATTTCATCACTGTTTACCTATCATACCATGATCATAAAATAAAAATCAAAGTTATGAACTTATATACAGTCGAATCTCCGTAAGTGGAAACCATTGGAGCCACAACATAGTGTTAGCTTACATGAAGTGTCTGCATGCAGGAAGTGTCTGCTTGCATGAGGTTACGTATAAGAGATATTTTATTGGCAAAGACTCAAAAACAGTGTCTGCTTAAGGGAGGTTTTCTCTTGTAAGTACTAAGTATTGTTTTAACTGAATTATTTTCTGTTGTAATATGTGTATCAAGGTACAACTTGAGCTTTTGAAATAGGCTTGCAAATATTTGTCAAATACGTAAATATCATCCTGCCTGTTTCAGAAACCTTGTGTAGGCCGTGCAAAACTAGTATCATATTTTTCTGACATTTCAGATGGTGACAAAATTCAATAAACGAATAAATAGATATGTTTGTTTCACAAACACAATCTAATTTAGATCATTCATTTAAAAATGAATGGTGTGCAATGTGCAATTTGCACATCGTTTTAGCTAAAATGAACACAATTGCACATCACTTTTTAACGATATGCAAAAACTTCTTTATTGATTTCCACCGCATAAATTGAAAAAAGTTTTCAAGCTTAATCTTTACTGATCTTTACTTTACTTTACAATGTCATCAAATTCAAAGACGTTGTCACTTTGAGACTGGGAAGTCTGTCAACAGTCAACATACATGGTGCTTATATGCTTATGACAATAGGGGTGTAAACCGTTACATAGCTATTTTGAGTATTTTCAGTAAAATCAGGAAACATTTTGATTTTGATTCTTAAAGAAGACAAAAAATCTTAAATAAGCCAAATTTGAAAAATAAACCAAAAGGAATTTTGATTTTAAATAAACCTAACGTGAGAAAAAGAAGCCAAATTTGGTTGAAAACATTAAGCCAAACTGGCAACTTTGATTAGCCATACTTTTTGCTTTTACATATTGCTTGTAATATGACATAAATATGATGTTTTTTATTGTAAGTAAACATCAAGGATGCTACTGTTAATAATCAGAAAGCAAAAGTATATTCGGTGTTTCTCTTTTCACTTTTGTCTTTCTTGCCATCTTCGTCGAAAGGTTGTAGCTACCAGCAAAGTTAATACAGTAAAAAAATGGATGAAAACATTAAATGATGGCCAAGTGGTGAATTTATTGTGTTGTAAAGTTTGCACAAAAAAGAGGAGAGAATGACATGCACAAAAATTTCTCATACATTTGTAACTGGATCAGCGGTTGTAAAGAAAAACACTGTCGTAAATCATATGAATTTGTGCACGTTTAAAAATATTAATTTAGCAATTAGCGCTGTATAATAATTAACATAATATCGATTTGATTATGCCTCTAAAGAAACACTTTTGTCAAAAAAATTGCACATCGTTTTTTCTCAACAAATTTGCACACTGAACAAAAATAATGCTAACATATGCCAAGCATTTCTTCAAAATGCAACATTTGGCTCTTTTGATTTTGTGAATTTTGACTTGTAAAAATTTTGAGTAGATTCTTGTAACGCTCGTTCCTTGTTGAACAAATAACTTTGAGTGTTAAGTTGTGTTTTTAATTTTAGGGTTTATCCTTACTTGTGCAATGCAGTACGGAACTTTACTCATGACAGATTTTCAAGTGATAATGAACAAATTCCAAGTGGAAAGGATTTTTATGTTAGCATAACTGAACTACCTACTCGGCACAAGTAAGCATTTTTTACAGTATACATATATAGAGTCAATATATAGAGTCAGAAATCCCCTGAAGAGTGAGCAATCACGAAACAGGCTTGTCGGGATGAATCTGCAGTTCTCGTGATTTTTTTCAACATCACTACATATATTTACGCTCTGCTCTCGGGCATAGAGCACTGTTTTATACGGAGAATCATCACATATAAACTTCCTATATAGAGTCTATCTACTAGATACATATGTACCATAATGAAAGCAAAATGTATCATCATCACCTTGGTCACCAGTTTGAAATGACTATGTTTTTGCAAACCTTGCTCGGAACTTGATATTGTTTCTAGAATTCGTGAGCTGACTGCCCAAAAGATTGGAACTCTACTTCGAATAACGGGACAAGTGGTTAGAACGCATCCTGTTCATCCTGAACTTGTTAGTGGTACATTTACATGCCTCGACTGTCAAACAGTTGTAAAAGATGTTGAGCAGCAGTTCAAGTACACACAGGCAAGCAAATTGATGTTTGGTTTTTGTTTATTTTTTTGGAGAATTTTTACGAGAATTTTTGACATGTTTTTTATAGCCAACAGTGTGTAGAAATCCAGTTTGTCAAAATCGATTGAGATTTATGTTGGATGTAAATAAGTCAAAGTTTGTTGATTTCCAAAAAGTTCGAATTCAAGAAACACAAGCTGAATTACCTCGTGGCTGTATTCCAAGGAGGTAAGAAAGTCACATTCTTTGAAGGCAATTATGTACGTATTGTAGTCATTGTTAGTAGTCAACTACAACGAGATACGTCATTAAAACATTTTCCAAAAATGTCTTAAAAACAAAGCTTTTTTCAAAAATCTGGAAATGACGCTGTTAAATCACGTAAATTAAAATGATTTACACTTGTGTTTTTAACAAATGGAACGAGTTTTTACTTTATCCATGCATAGTTTCCTCTAGTGATAGTCAAATAGATACGTCTGAATATTTCATCTGAGTTATTGTTCTTTAATTTTGTATGGACGAATTTTGCAAATTACTCGCCTGGACGCAGTGCGTATCTACTTTTATTGTTATTTCAAACACTGATTTTTTCTTGAACACATTTTATAGTTTGGAAGTTGTGCTCAGAGCTGAGACGGTTGAACAGGCACAAGCTGGTGATAAATGTGATTTTATTGGCACACTAATCGTTGTTCCTGATGTTTCAAAGTTACAGTTTCCAGGTATGATGTTTTATTATCATCTCAATCCATCACAACCAATTTCTGGGTGATTATTTTCACAAAGTCGTTATTTTGTATTGCTGTAGGTGCTCGAACCGAGAGCGAAAGACCTTCTGGTGAAGGATTTAATGCTGAAGGTGTGAGGTAAGATGTTCTAGTAAGGTAATAATTTTGTTATTTTAAGGGTGTACAAATCTCTTTTTTAACTGTTAAAACTCTCGGCAAAGACATTTCGTACAAAACTTTTTTGATAACTTAAAACCATCATTTCGTATTTTGTTTCTCGCTTCATGCTCATCATGAAAAATGTCTACAATACAAGCTTTAAAGAATCCATTCAATGCTGAAAAATATCTGCAGTTTGTGGTTTTGTCCAAGGTTCTTCTAATAATCCAAAAATGTGGTAGTTTTTCTGTTAAAAGATTCTGTGATGAATAAAAATAGGCACGCGGAGCGTACATGTGTGTAGCCTGAATTAAAAAAGAGATGTAACCGATGTTTCCAATCTCTTGCAAAGCTTGCATTTGTACGATATCTTAAATTATTTGTCAGTGAAACAGATGTGGATTATTGCATTCCTTTAGTCGTAGCATTAGAAATATCGTTACGATGTAAGTTTCCGTTGATATGTCTTTGTCAAAACTTCATGTAAATTCTTTGTTCATTTGTACTTCCACTCCGAATATAGAGGTCAATAAATCGGATGGAAACCGGTCGTTCGGCCGTTCGTTTTCTAATTTTTTTGCAATGTAACATGGTGGTCACAACAAAAATTGTAAAGTGCAACATCATTACCAGTTTTGCTTCATGTTTCGACACCTTATAAATGATGAAAATTTTAGGCTGGTGAAACCTACAACATTCTCTTTGATACACACTTGGTCATCAGAATGTCGGATATATTTTGATTATTGGTTTAGGCTGTACGTATTAATGTGCAATCGTTTCATATTGTGTTTATAGTGGCTTGAAGGCGCTCGGAGTTCGTGATCTCTCTTACAGACTTGCGTTTCTTGCCTGCAGTGTCGAGTCTACAAATCCTAGGGTATTCCTATAATTGTTCACTTGTTTTTTGGTTTATTGGTTTAAATACCCTGCTTATAGAACACAGTAGAATATTAAATTAAAAATAATCTTTTTTCCTTCATTTCATCTCATGCTGGCACATTATTGACCTTTGGGTTTTACTTATCTTGCTATCCTGGAAACCTAAATTGTATTTTTCTGTCAGTTTACTCTGACTTCATTGGTATTATATGTTGGTAGCATATCCCTTCTCTAAGGCATCGCCAGGGTAATGGACAGGCTGCAATGTTTAATAACTCTACTTCAAATTTTATTGAAGTGCTATCCTTTGATTTGATCTTAACAAAATAAACCTTGCTGTTTGCATCATTTAAGTGCTTACAATGTTTTCTTTTAATGGTACACGTGTTTAAAAACCTGAATCAATCAAAATTATCAGTACGAAATCCTTGCCATATAATGAGCAAATTGTTAGGAACCAGTAATGAACAACTCATTAGATTTACATCTTGCTTGAGACTAATCTCATTTCGTTCACTATACAATCCGTCACTTTTATATCAAGTGTATGAAGGTACATATGCACTGTGGAATGTTCTTATACTTTTTAATGCATTTAATTTGTGTGTTTTTTAGTTTGGCGGGAAAGATATAGAAGGCGAGATGACCGCTGAGACGATCAAAAAACAAATGACCGAACATGAGTGGGAAACGATTTATAATATGACAAAAGATAAAAATCTTTATCAGAATTTAATAAACAGCATATTCCCTACCATTCACGGTAAGAATCGTCAAGGAAACGTTTATATATGTTTGTAACATTGGCCTCAGAGCACGGTTGCCAAAGATCACTGAAACAATTATGATTTACGGTCCTTGCAGAAACGGGGTCTGATTATTTAAAGAGGAAATATTAACTTAGTTTCATGACTTGCTAGTTTCTTCATGTTTTACTTTTCAGCTCTTTACCATACGTATATCAATAAAGTGAAATCATTTTTCCAAGGTAATGATGAAGTCAAACGTGGGATTTTGTTGATGTTGTTTGGAGGTGTTCCTAAAACTACTCGTGAAGGAACGACTCTCCGTGGTGATATCAATGTATGTGTTGTTGGTGATCCCAGCACTGCTAAAAGTCAATTTTTAAAGTATGTCATCTTTCTCTATGCAGTTACTGTGAAAACAACTGTGCAACCTATGGAAGAACAATTCCATGTTTAAGTTTATTGTATAGTAACTTTTAAGACTCTTCCTTTGCTTCATTTACTTGGTGATTTATTTGTAAAATTCTATTCATGCCATAATTTTACAGGCAAGTGGAGGAATTCAGTCCTAGAGCAGTTTATACTTCGGGCAAGGCGTCTAGTGCAGCTGGTCTCACTGCGGCTGTTGTCAAAGACGAAGAATCGCATGAATTTGTTATAGAAGCTGGAGCTCTCATGTTGGCTGACAATGTAGGTTTCAACACGTTTTACTGACTGCTACGTGAAGACATGTAAATAAGTGCGAGTCAAATCTCTTTTAAACTGCATATGAAGAGAGATTCTCGCCACTATAACAGTTTACTGAGTGGTGTTTTTAGACACTAGTTATTGGTAGTGAATGATCGTTGATTATTATAAAGAATGTGATACATCAATGGTATTTTAACTGCAATTCAGTTACGGTTAAATAGTGTACTGTATAAGATCTGATAAATTGCTTGGGTATTTTTAGATATCAGCTGTATTTAATACATGATATAATGTAAATTTATCTAAAAGGGCGTTTGCTGTATTGACGAATTTGATAAAATGGATATCAGAGATCAAGTTGCAATACACGAAGCCATGGAACAACAAACTATTTCTATAACAAAAGCTGGTATAAAGGTATATATTTTATATAATACACATAAACATTTTCAATCTGGAATTCAATAATGAACTACCAAAAGATTTAAAAACTAACATTCAAAAAAAAACTAAAATCTTTATAAACTAGATGTGTAAATATTGCTTTATATTGTATATTGCTTTTTTATATGATATTAAATTTCCACAACACAAAAATTTTCGTGCCTGCCAACGTGTGGTGTCATGAAAATTTCTATCCTTAGAGGATGACCCTATATACGTACCAAGTGAAACATATACAAGTAGACAAAAATTACGTTATTGGTAGTGATTTGTAGTTATAAGTCTTTACATTTTAAATTCTGTCGATATGGCCATTACTTCTTTAAATGTTAAGAGCACAAATTAAAGAAGATTTAAAATTTATTCTACATGTTGACGCGGCTGATTTTCTTTTTCAATAGGCAACTCTTAACGCTAGAACATCAATTCTCGCTGCGGCAAATCCTATTGGTGGTCGATATGATCGAACTAAATCGTTGAAGGTAACGTAACAATACGGTTGACAACATTTTCCCTTTTTTTATATTTGTACCTATACTCTGTATTTGTGCCTACTCTTTATTTTCTGAGCTTCGTTATTTATACCTATACTCTACTCTGTATATTTATACCTATACTCTACTCTGTATTTGTGCCTACTCTTTATTTCCTGAGCTTCATCATTTATACCTATACTCTACTCTGTATTTGTGCCTACTCTTTATTTCCTGAGCTTCGTTATTTTTTAGAACAATCTCAACTTATCAGCACCCATAATGTCTCGATTTGACTTGTTCTTTATCCTTGTTGATGATTGTAATGAGGTATGTTTTCTCTTACAACCCTATAATTTATATTGTATAATTACTGTTTTTGCGTGTTATGGGATGAATTGGGACGCTTTGGCTTTATTTAATATACCTTCAATTTCTCCACTTGCTGTTCATTTCTTCACTATTATGGAACATTTTATTGATTTTTAACATCTGGTAATGGCAGTGTTGTTGTTACAAATTTATTTTATACAACTTTAGGTAACAGACTATGCGATAGCTCGACGTATTGTTGATTTACACAGTCATAGAGATGAATCTGTCGAAAGAGTTTACAGTGTGGTAAAAATCATTTCATTTTGTTTCATGTGTAACAAATGCATGCTTTATATGTAACTTAAATTATGTTGTGGCTTTATGTCTTTATATGTGTGAATAAAATGAATCCCCATTGTACATCATTGTCCATTTGAGGGAATCCTCACATGGTGATTTTTTACTTCAGTTTATTAACCATGCTCATAGTTTCAAATTCACTGTCATATGTATTACAAATTAGTGTTGTCTACTTGTTTCTTGAATTTGTTTTAAATTTTCAGGAGGATATTCAAAGATACATGATGTTTGCGAGACAGTTTAAACCGATGGTATGATTACATAACGACTTATAGCTACGTTTTCTTATTCACTAGAAAACTAAATGTACTTTGTTGTCACCTTTGATTGGCGTGACTTTAGCAACTATATCATGTAAGTCACACAAGTGGAATATACAGTGTGTATAAAAAAGAAAATCTTTAGAACTAACCTATTGTGGAAATTTTAATGCCTGATCACTATGCTAATCCCATTAGACTATTACTGTGCATGGTTTGCAGTTGGAAGTTTTTCATATTCCCGGAGCAGAAAACTTTTGTGCCAGTAATAAAGATATGTAGAATATGCACGTTGCTGACAATACTTTGTATATCAGTGGTCAGCATAGTGATTAGCTATTCATAGAAATTATAACAATTTTTATACATCCTGTGTATCGATGGGGAAATGTTCAATTTTTATTGTAGATAAGTAAAGAAGCTCAAGAATTTTTCGTTGAACAGTATAAACATTTAAGGCAAAGAGATACGTCAGGTAAATGAATGGCACTACAATAAAAATGACTATAAAATAAAGAACATATTACGATGTAGCGTAGCTATTGTTGAGCTTGCTATATCCACTCGAGGTTGCTAAGTCTTTTTGAAGTTGCTAGCTCTCTTGAGCGGGAATTATGAAAACCAATAATTATGAGAACAGTGAAAAGTGTTGCTTGTTGTAGTAGGTTAGTAGTCTAAATGGGGTTAGGTAATTGAAAAAGTACTTATCTTTTTGAAGCAAATAAAAACTTATTATAAAGGTGTTGAACAACGATAAAATTCGATATAAATAATTATTAGGTGTGGCAAAAACGTCTTGGAGAATAACTGTTCGCCAACTTGAAAGTATGATTCGTCTTTCAGAAGCTATGGCAAGAATGTTTTGTCAAGATATGGTTAGAAAGATTTTTGTAGCTATGTGATACCCGAAGTAGCAGTCCGTTTAAAATTATTGTGCTCAATTTTTGTTTAAAACACTTGTAACCAGAGGTGACCACATTTTCTTTCAAAAGTGTGCTTTAAAATGTGCTGATGGCAAATGAAGGTTGAATAAGTGGCTAAAACTTTATCTGTTTTTTTCATCGTTATCCTTTTCTTGCTTCATCATTACACACGTTTCGTCGCGTATTCACCTTAAAAAGCTATATACGTATTAATAGCATAAGTACCAAAATGTAAATATTTTTTATGCGGACGTGTGTTGAATGTGTGCAATTTGTTTTTAAGGTGCAACCAAAACATGTTAAGGAAGCATTTAGATTATTAAACAAATCCATCATTCGAGTAGAAACTCCAGATATTCAGTTTGACGAAGAAGATGAGCAACAAGAAGGTGCTGTTATTGCTAAATTGAACTTCTTTTGTAAAAGATTTTTACCGATTTCAAGTGTTTGTATTGTCGGTTTTCTGTGTAACTCTGGAACAAAGTCGTACAAACTATGCTCACAAATTAGTTTGGATCCGTGAGAATGCATTCCTCAGAAAACCACGAAGTTATTTTATTTATCAATAACGAATTAGAAAGGGGAAGTTGGTGGATTTGTTAAATTATTATTATGTTTGCTGCACTTTATTGGTTTTCTTACAATTTTATGTCATTCCTCCATTAAGGTATGAACGAGGATGAAAATGACGTTACTCCAGCAGAAAATGGTTTGATCAATGGTCATGGTGATGCCAGTGGCACATCAAAATCAAGAGTTCGTTTGTCCTATGAAGACTATAGACAAATGGCAAATCTAATTGTTATTCATATCAGAGAAGAAGAGGAGAAAAAAGAAGGCGAGAAAAACTAGTCATTTTTTTTAAGTTTTTAAGTTTATTTTTTACTGCAAAAAGGGTTAATTAAATGTATCTGATTGTCTTTGGAAAGTTTTATGAATAAATCATGATTCTTCTGATAATGCCAGATGGAGAGAGCTTACGAAGAAGTGAAGTTGTTAATTGGTATCTAAAGGAGCTCGAAAGTGAAATCGAAACAGAGGAAGAATTGGCTCACCAAAAATTCATTGTTGATAAAGTTCTTGATCGACTCATTCATCACGTAATAACACTTTTCAATGAGAATATATTGTCTTTTGATGTTTTTCTGTAATCTTATTAAATCAATAGTTATTTTTTGCATCGTACATCTCCGAAGCCAAGTAGAGAAAAAACTATGCTGAGAATGAAAATTCTTTTTTAAAATAGGATCACGTCATCTTATCTTTGCAACATCAAGAAACAGAGGAAACTGGATCTGAGGAAGCTGATCCATTACTAGTTGTTCATCCAAATTATGTAATGGAATGAGGCCCTTCGTATACATATTGATTGTCAAGCATTATGCGACATCAATTTACACTTAAAACCTTAAGACCATGTTTTTTTAACTTGTTTTCGTATGCTGGCTGGCAAGTTAATCATAAGTTTTATTGCAGTTCAGTGTAAAGTTCCACAAAACAAATCAATTATACTTAATGCTAAATCTATGATTGTCTACCTGGTATAATACAAAACAATTGTGTTTGTTATTTGAAAAAAAAACAGCTGCAGTTTTAATGTTAGATAGAACTATACAAAACATCGGAAAGTCTGAAAATGGAAACCAGAAAGCCCGCCAGAAAACACGACAATGTGACGCTTTTTTTTCTTTTACTTTTAATTATGAATCGAACTTTATCATTAAACACTATATTACCAATTCCAATATAATATTAACATAATCCTACCATGAACTTGGTGGACGACTGCGAAACCGTTTTGTTTTACATGAGAGAATGGAAAAGAAAACTAGTTAGTCGCGCTTTGTCAATGCTGCCAAAATCTTTTGGACATTGATGAACATTAACACTTATCGATTACTGAGTATCTGTGATACATTCACAAATATTTCGTTGAAAGAATCATTTGTTGAGTTAGGGGGTCGTTAGTTATTTGAACAACAGTCGAACGAATTTTGTATGAGAATTACGACTGCCTTTTTGCTTATGCTCGTTAGCCATTGTTTATGCTGCTTCGATAGAATAATAAAGGAAGCGAACGAATGAATTACCTTTTTTTGGGCAGAGTTGTAAAAAATGTTGACGCTGGTTAAAATCTAAAATTATATTATTTACTAAGTAATAACTATTAACGTTTGACATGTTGATTATCGTGGTTACCTGTAACACCTGTTCGTTATATAAATAAATAATAGACTGACTGTCGCGATTTGCGGGTACCTGCTGGCCTGTAATCGTATATGAAATATGAATAGGTTCAGATTTGGCATCTTAAAAAAATGTGTAATAACATAAAGGTTGTTTGAAAAAAAGAAAAGCATGTGTACTCTTACATAATACGTCTCCTACATTTCTATCTCAAGCAAAAGGTATATTTGTAATTAAGTGACGTCAAAATATTTTGTTACATTAACTCTAGACCGGCTGCCCATCACCTGTTAGATTTACAACATAGGAATGTTGTCCGACCGGTCAAATCTCAGATAGTTGGAGTTGAGAAGAGCGCAGAGCATTCGACTGCATTAAGGATACCAGCATTATGCCAAAATCGTTTTTAGTTAAGAAAAGACACAAAGCTAAAATCTTTTCTTCGGTGAAGGAAGACGATGTGTTTACTACTCCGAACGAACTCAAAGGTTAGTTGCATGATTGTTTTTGTGACCTGGCTTATATATTAGCACAAATTTATCACCACAGGTGCTAACAAGTGCAACGATTTTCTTAAATTATGCGTAGCTTATTCGAGCTGTTACATGATCAAACAAAATCGTTGATGATTTCGTTAGTGACTTATCATATTTCGAAGAGTAAATTCAAGTAAACAAATGCAAAAGATATTGGGTTTTGACAAAATCACGCAGATTAGTTGTTGATTGCACAGGTGTTGCCAAAGAGACTAAAGCTAACAGACTAAATTATTTTAAATTCTTTTAGAAACGAATACTCTAAACCAAAATGATAGAATTGATCTTTTGAAATTATATCCACGCACGAATCGTGAAGAATATGAATTTGAAAATAAAGTTAACATTTCATCAACTTCAACACCTGCCACAGAACATCTATTCGATACAAAATCTTCAGCGTTGTCAACTGATGCTTTCAAGCATATCGGTAATCAAAATATTATGAAAATATCGACAGGTCTTCAAAGTAGTAAAGCGAAATATAATTGTCACCGTTGTCATAGATCATATAGTAGCAAAGCTGCATTGATGAAGCATTACCGTATTGGTAACCAATGCCAGACAAAGTCTTTTACTTGTAAATATTGTGAGAAAGTTTATAACTCGTTAGGGGCTTTAAAGTTGCATATCCGTACGCATACATTACCTTGCGCGTGTATGATATGCGGGAAAGCATTTAGCCGGCCTTGGCTGCTTCAAGGCCATATTCGTACTCACACTGGAGAAAAGCCGTACCACTGTTCATTCTGTGACAGAGCATTTGCAGACCGATCTAATCTACGAGCACATCAACAAACCCACGCGCATTTGAAGAAGTATCAATGTGAAAAATGTCCGAAGACGTTTTCAAGAATGTCGTTGTTGACGAAACATCAGACCAAAAGGGGAAAATGTACTGGCTAGACTTCAACATTGCAACAAGTACTAATCGAGAGAACTATATGTATATTTGTAGCATCATGTACATACGAGAGGAATATTTTTATCAGTTTTTCGTTAAGTTGTTTTTAAGCTATATATTCATATATATGTGGTCATACTGATAGCTACTTTATGTTTCCAAAAACACAGTTAGAGAATAAATACGGTTTTAAATTTACCAGTAATCGAGTGTGGTTGTTCTTTTAAAAATTGTGGTCAAAAAAAAGAGTTTTAACTTGTTTCTCTTTTGATATAGTTTAGTTTTTTTTTGTCCTTTTAATAAACTTCTCATCTGCATGTGGAACAAATAATTTTATTTGCTGCACATCGGAAAAAAGACATACTTTGTATTAAAGAAGGCATCCGCTTGTTTCAAAAACTCTTTTAACGCAAAAAGTTGCAATTCAAATTGGACAATCAATATGAAATCTAATTATAGGAAAGTTTAATTCCATTCATAACTCCTTAAAAAAAATTTTTGAAATTGGTTCAAATTTCTGTCTCCTGCTTCATATACGACTAGAATATTGGATTAACAAGATAATGCATGCAGTTTGGGTTAACTTACATTATATAAAGTGATGTACGGTGTAGGAGTTTATTGACATATGTTTGTACGTAGGTTGAACGTCATGGTTTTTGCAGTTCATGCTGTTCGTGCAGTTATATACTGCATGTTAGTATGTAAGTATGTTTCTTAAACTGTCACTTGGTAAAGGCTTGGATCTCCTTGGCATGAGGAGAAACTGACTACAAACGATGGCGAAGTTGTACGATGCTCCGGCGTAAATAACAAAGGAACTTGAAACTCCCTCTTGTTCGTTGCTGTTTCTAACTCCTCTTCGATCCATATATAGGACCGAATCTTTCCTGGCTCTTCCCTATAGTAGAAATGTACTTAAAACAAATAAGACGACCATGCTGTTGTTGCTACCAGAGGTTTTCGAAGCTCTTAAGAGTTGTGGGTGTTCCATACTCGCTATGTCATAACGCAAGAATAGTACTGAAATTGTCTCATTAGTTATTTTCAATCAGTTTCTCTTATTATTCGAGTAAGCATTACAAAAATCCCTTTGTTATATTTCATTACATACAAATCACTTTCACATTTCGTCAATGTTCAAAACATTTAAAATTTCCTAGTTCGTGGTACCCGTTCGAGAATTTGAAAATTTTCTACGTCTATCAAAAAAGTTTAAAGAAGAAGCTAAAATTATGGGTGTCCTTCTTATAAGGTAAACCCACACAACAAAAATTATGTGTGTTCAGACACCCAGACACCCACGGCTTGTCAATCCCCTGGTTGCTACGTGCTAGTACTCCGCACAATGCAGGGGCTGAGAATATAAATCTGACGGAGTTAAAGAGTTTGTTTGGTTGTTCCCACAAATATGTGCAGAATTTGAGGAAAAAAAGTAAATTCTCCACGAAAGCGACAGCCGAAGTGTCAAATCGTTCAATACTTTTGCACATTCGATGTAAGATAGAAAGAGTGCAAAAATATCATTATTACTGATTAGAATAGGAAACTTAATTTACTAAAAAAAACAAGAAAATAGAGATTTTAAAACCTTCCTTGGCAAGGAAACATCAATGCAATTGAGACTGATATCAAGCAAAACCAGTGGGCAATGGTCACTATGGTGATTAAAGGCACACCAGTTGTCAACATCATTACGATATAGGAATATTGAAGAAAGAATAGTAATACTGAAAGAAGCAATACTGTGGCCGATTGGATTAGAGTCCTTGGAGGATGACTGCAACTGCAAACACATGTATAGCTACGTATAGCTCGCTATATGAAAAAAGATGTATCAATGATTAAGTCAGGAGAGAGATTTCAATTGGACTATATCCCATATATATTAGTAGAAACTGCCCATCACAGATGCCTTTAGTTAATTTATTAATCATAAGTCAAGGTGGAATATAAAAGGAAAAGATTTTTGTGGAAATGAGGCTATAGAGACCCAGAAAATAAAATTGGCATGCGTAAATTAAGAAAAAACAGCCCTGAAAAGTGCGAAGGGTAAACTTGATATCAGCAATAGGAAGTCAGCTATAACTACAAAGACATCTTGGCACTCAAAAGACTTACAAAAGTGAATGAAAAGTATTGGAAGTTAATTGAAAGGGCGAGAACAGTACAAAATGGAAAAGGACAAAGAATGAATGGTAAAAAGGTACATTCGAAGATGTAGTGTAATAATTCGATAGAAAAGTTAGAACTGATATCTGCTGTACAATAAACTAAAACAACTTACTGATTGGATTTGAAATAAGCATCTGTAAATATCGATATATTAACAAAAGTTTTATAAAATAAGAAAGAAATAATTTGATCGAAGTGTGAACACTCCAGTTCGATAGCACAAATACACAAAGAAATCAACTCAATATTAGTTGGAGCAAAGGCAATTTTTAATAGAAAAAAAAACACTATTTGCCAATTTGGACAAAAAAATGGATTGAGTACGTGCCTTTTTACGAAGTAGTAATTCAGATTTTTCGGTATGTCCATTTATTATTTAAATGCCACAAAAATTTGCTTGTCATAGGCACATGACGGAAATATTAAAACCAAATATTGAAAAATTTTGTGTCAGAGAGTTAATTAACATTCAAAGAATAGAAGAAACGACTGAGATGATCAAACACATGTTTATCATGTGCTCCAACATGTCTCTTCGGAATTTCGCCTCCCTAATTACAGGAAATTACGTAAATGTTGCAATGAATAACATAAAACTAAACTCAAATGGGAAACTCAAGATCCCCATTGCATTTGCCATCATCGAGGATAAGCAACCATTGTCAATGTGACGCAGTTAAATTTAAGCCGTTGCTGGAATCTAATTCATACTCACATCGAAATATTTATTTTACAAATTGAATTATTAAAATAAATGTAGAAAGTAGAAGCCTCAAATTTACTTTATGTAGATATTATCTAAAGTTTGTTTGAAAATGGGAAGAAAGACTTGCTCACATTAGAGACTACGTCAGTCAGCAGGAAATGTTTTTTCCGGTCCACTTAGAAGACAATGACGTTTCTTACAATCAATTCCACTAGGCGTATTTTTGCTGTCATGCGCTTTTACATGGATATTTTGCCACTTATTGTAATGTACATTACTTTAATAAAATTCATGCATACCAAAGTAAAGGTTATACAAGTCGAGGATCTGCTATTTTATATTCCATTCATTACCAATCTACATTCTCAGTTTTTGACCACCATTGACCAAGTGAGCCTCGGGCTATTTGCCATCTTGCATATCCCAAAACTTGTGACTAAACATCACTTGCAAATGAACAACATTTCCCTCCGTGACAAAGTGTGACATCTTCTTTCAAAAAATATGCTTTTAGAGGGAATTTATCGGTTATTATATATTTTAAAATGTAGTGGCGATTACTATAGCTCTGGGAGCATGAGAAAAATCGCTTCTTGAACTTTTAAACGGATATCGCAAATTTATTGGCATGTTTTTAACTGTGGAATGTAAATAAATTAAATACACCACAAATATATCTATAAATAATCATTTTAATATATCTGATAAATAAAGCAAATGAATTTATTAATGGCAAACCAGGACCAGCCCAGTTGACAAACTTTTAAGTAGAAGTATAGCATTCATGCCATAGCATTGTATATAAATATTACTATATAAATAAATATATCTATTTTTGTATTATTAGGTTGTTTTTTATTTGTGTACAAGTATGGTTTGTCCATTTGAATGATGCAATACAGAAAGTTCCCTTGAACTAACACTATCATTTAATTCTTTCATTAACAATCCACATATTGTGTCCATGCTTGATTTTAACTGCCTGGTTTCATCAAGTATTTCTTGCCTTTCATTTAGAAGTCTTGACTTCTCCTCTTGCATCTGACTAAGAGTTTGCTCCAACAGAGATATGTTATCTAGTTTTCTCTTTCTGCATAGCCGTGCGGCCTGTTTGTTTTTACCTCGTCTACGGATATCTTTGGCCAAGTTTGATAGCTCTGGTGTTAACGATAGAAGAAATTCATTGAATCTACTCACAGGCATTTGTATAATATCATCTTTAGGCAAGCCAAGTCTTGATATATCTGAATGAATATCATTGTTGAAACTGTTGTTATGCAGAATGGATGAATAGGTAAAGTCACAGTTTTTCTTGATGTTCTCTGATTCTGTTTTTACTTCTGTCTGGAAATTTGTATTCTGTAAATCCTCAAAATTTGGTGTAGAATACGGGTCCAGAATGTTTAAGATGTCTGGTTCTTCAAGAGCTTGGTCAGTTGAATTTAAATCAAACATGTTCCCCTTGCTCTTAGCAACAGAATTTTCTACTGAAAACATGTCGCTAACCAATGGATTTTGCACATTATTCACGCTTGCACCGTCCGTGTACTCGCATTCACTTTTTTCTTGTTTGACTGAGACCTCAAAATCTACTCCTTCGTTAACCTTATCAAGATCTGCATAGTCCTCCAGGCTGAAATCTTCGTGGTTATCATACAGAGTTAAGTCCAATGTTTCGAGCACTTTCTCGTAGTCAAAGCTAGAATTATCGAGATATTGATCAAAACCTGTGATAGGCAATGAATTCTGTCGAAGAAGAGTAGCTCGATCGTTGCTTTGCACTTGGCCTTGCATCGAAGACGTCATGTCGTAATTGGGTTGGTATATTGGATAAACCATGATATTACGATCATACATTGGATAATTTGTAGAGTTAAACAAAGTATTGAATGCAAGTGGATCAACGGAAGAAATGTCTTGCGCCAGATCTTTAGAAGAATACGTATTTTGATAAGAAACTTGTGGTACAGCTTGTTCATTGCTCACAAACGGAGACTTGCCATACTGCCCAATGTTATTTGGAAGATTAGGAAAATACGGCAGCGCATTTGGTCCTACACTGCTTGGATGACTTCGTATTCCAACTGTCATAGTTGATTCCTTACGGTTCGAGCGAAGTAAATTCTTGTAAAACACCGTTAGACCTTGTTTAAACAACCACTTTATTATTCGAAAGTTGCATTGAGATGTTCGTTGTCTATGATGGAATGACTAAGCTTTTTAGGCGGTTATATTGACTTGCTATGACATAATGTTCTATTTTTGTAGAGCAACAATTAGATGTCTAGAAATTTCATTGGCCAATGAGGGGCATTGACGTTAGTGACGTACGTAAAACGCATTTTCCATGGCAACAATGACGTCAAGACCTGCCAACAAATCATAATAAACAATTATCAATAAACATTTTGTAGTGCTTTGTAAATCTTACACGACGTATTCGCTGTATAAAGTTTCCAACAAAACGAAGATTTCACAATCACAACACAATCACGATGAATTTAAAAGTTTCTTCTAAAACTTACACCGAGCAACAACGAATAAATACGTATAAAGTTTTGGCAAAATATAGGAAAAGAAATATGCTGATGTTTGGTGCCTTGCTAGGTTCAGTTTGTGGTATTTGTATCCTTTTAAATCAACTAAATGGTTTTATTTAGTAGCCATCTAATTGCACATGTCCTGATGTCCACATGCTTATGGTAGTCTTTTGTGCAAGATAAATACAACACAAAGAGTGAAAGTTTGTTGCATCGAGTTCTTGGGTCGAAAAATGTTATGAATGTTTGATTTAATTTTACTTTTATTATTTTAACCGGATAGACCAAAATCAAAGTTGAAATTAAACATTTTGAGACATTTAAAGATGGACTTGTAATTGTGCCATGGGAATTGCTAGTAAAACATTGTGAAAATATCATCCATAAAAAGAAAAAGTAGTTTTGGCCATTGACATTTTAATGAAGTAACCATGTAATGTTTCTTCAGCATCTAAATGTCTTTTTTGTACATATGGTACCGGTGCGAAGAAAATATATAGATTATCCCAAAGATTTTACAGCAAAATACATTTTAAAACAAAATACAGATTAATGAAAAATTTAACTCTTGTTTTTTGTTTATCGTATATTGTTACAAACAAGCATTATGTCATAAAATATGTATTTATCAGATGATGATATTAAATATAGTTCAATTAAATTTAAATTACTCTTACAAAGGTTAATAGGGGTGAACTTTCATTTTATTTCTGCTCATAATACAACTCTTTGACAAACTAGTTGTTAATGAAATCATTGATTTTGAAACTTATTTTCCCTATTGATTTTATCCATTGGCAGTGGTTAGTTTCACAAAAATAAAATGAAACAAACTTTGAAGATAAATTCCATCTTTAGCTCAATATTTAAGATGAAAGAAAGGACATTATAGTTATATTTCGAATTTATTACAAATTCATCATCAGATTGTGTTTATATTTATGCATATTTACTTTGGCATCACGAAATTTTGTCATCATTTTAATTTTTCTGTTGGTGTCTTTACATTTCTTAATTTTATCACTTATGATGGAGCTGACTTAAATTCACATGATTAAGTTAATTTGACCTTGATTGACCTGACCCAAACTGAAAAATAGGATATCTTATTTGCATAGTTACAGTTTCACTCTTGCATAATCATCCTATTTTTCATTTAGAAATTTGTTTTAATCCTTTACAATGTAGTAGATGCATACTCCATGCTGGCAGTAAAACAAGAAAATTTCGAAGATTTTGAGAAGTGAGGTGACCTTATTATTGACAAATAATGGATTGTGAGTTGTACCCTTTTGAGCAATAATCTCATTTTATTTTATTTCAAAATTGTTACATGAAGTGACGATGTGATGGAAACACTTGTCTCAACACCATATACCTCTGTTTACGTCTAATGTTATATAGTCTAATGTGATATCACGAAATTTAGCTAATAATCAATTGAATTTCTAATACATCAAATCAATTCCAAATTCATTTTGCGAAATTATTCACATACTATATTTCTTTGTAAACGCTTGCCGATTGCGTCATTTTAGTACAACTGTAATTTCAGCCACGCTATATCACGCGTAATTAACTTTAAACTATGTTTTGGGCTTTGACAATGAAACTATCCTTCACCCAACTATTTCCCAACTCATGATACGCATATTGTTTATTGTATTACGCACTACCAATTCACTGCTTATAATGCTGCTATACAGCCTATACATGACATTTTATTATAACGTGAATTTAAAAGACCTTTGCCAAATTACGTAAGTCTCTTTCGTACAAGAATTGTCATTACATTGAATTATTATATATATTCCCACACGATTTGATCAAAACTAGTTTCGCGTTCATTAAAACCATATGACAACATTGCTAAGTGCCAAGTTGTGTTATTGCGTGAACATCACTGTCATTGTTGTAATAATTACATAATTGATGTTTATATCCGATTGCATCGTCCATTCCGTTCACATAGCAACCGCTCATTGTTCTGCTCATTTATTCATCTGTCAAATGGAGGACTCCACTTCTCTGCACTAAAACCACGTGTACATGCCACAGATCTAATAATACACTCACGTGCACATGGAAACAACATGGAAACAAACCGTGAAAGTTGAACAAATGGCACCTTCACTTACATCGAATAAATATTTGCCGTTTCGTATGAGTGAACATATGAGCAAAATCTGTGAAACTAATTGAAAACAAAAATGCAAATTGAATGTCTAAGAGAAATTTTGGAATTTCTACAAAATTTTATGTGTGGATATTGCTTAGCCAGTTCGATTAATAATTTGTTATTTCTATTTCTATAACAGGTTTCTTGTAAAAGTTTTAAAATATACTTTGCTTTTATTCTCACTAAGAGGCCTACACAAGTTAGACAACTGCGTGTTCAAGCTTCGTAGTTCGTACAAGAGGTGTGATTTAAAATTTCTTTAAACTTTCTGTCGATATCTGCCTATAGGATTAGGGCTTATGTTCCGTTCGTTCGAACTACCATGAACTACTATCCGCTGTTCACATTTTGGTACTTGAGAGATTACCGTACTTGCTTCGAATCCTTTGTAGTCTCTTCACATTCTACAGCACGTGCAACTACAAGTGGTTTCTTGAAAGGTGGATTACGTCAGGTTTCATGCATAATCTGTTTGTTGTGAAAGTATTGAGAACCTAAGAAATGTTATGTAAGACAAATCATGCATCCTCCTATTTTTCTTCTTTTATTTGCCATGAAATCGTCACTTTAGTTAAAAAAGTTATTTTGATGTATCTGGTCACATTCTTATATTTCTAATCTTACTGCATGATTTAATGCCATGGTCAATACACACTTCGGAGATTTGCCTACATACACATGACGTGTGTGCGTGTCAAATGCATGCGTACGTACCGGCAATTTTGTTGTAAGCTCTACCCACTCTACCTTTTAACATGACCTAGATATTTCAAGAAATTTTATATCACATATACCTCCAAGACTTGCACGTTCAAATCTCATAAATATAAGGACGTTCAAAATATATTAATTCCGAATTAATATAATTTTTTATTTTAGAATATAGTTACTAAAGATAGTCAATTTTTTAACTTCCAATGCAGTTTATCGTAGTTGTTGTAGTGATTTTAAGAAATCTTACAATAAACCCTAAAAAATGAAAAGTCGCCACTTACATGTCATGTGGCTATTATTACCGATTTTATACTAGAGACGCATAATGCGTTATTATTATTATTATTTATTATTATTTAAAAATATTTAAAACGGTAACTCTCCAGGACTCATAGGCACCTGTTTTTTAAGAGGTCGTTTATTTATAGTATTTACAAAATTCAATACACTAATAAATTGTATTATATAAATACATGTATTAAAATATTAAATTAATATTATAACATATTACCTTCAATAACGTACAAAGAAACTAATTAATATGTATTCACTACTTTATTTCTAAAATATAATTCTAAATGAAATAATCAATTTTACAAAATAGGTTATATTTAGTCAAGTTCAGTCAAGAATACTTTAAATTTAGTGAATTTATGCATTTTTTTCTTTTATCATAGTCGGTAAACCATTCCAAAATGTTTGACGCATTATGCGTTTGGACGCTATAAAAACGGAACGAATTATCCAACGAAGTATCAGACGAGCAACTTGATAATTACGCGAAAAGCTTATTGATTTTTGGCGAATAATCTCTGGCTTTTTGTACCACGGTCTCAGTTTATTGAGTTATTCGTCTAAGTGCTGTCTTTACGGACAGACGCATTATACGACATACGTCTAGACGAACTATTTTGATTTTCGTCTTCAGAGACGAATAACCATTGATTATTCGTTTAGACGTATAATGCGTCTGGTACACGTCATTACACTGAAGACGCATAACCAGACGAACAAAATTTCTTGCCCAAGTTCGTCCAGACGCATTATGCGTCACTGATTTTTACTTATCCAATACAACGTTTAGTTGCGTAATCGAATTTCAATTAGCTACACTTTTTTTAAGAACCCATTTACAACAACATTAAAGCTGAATTTTCCCAAAAATGTATACCGAAATAAGAACAAATTGAGGTTGACGAAATAAGGGTAATTTTGTTAACTGTAATCAATCTAAGTCTACATGCGTTTCTAAAACCATGAAGTGGTACTGCTGTTGGCCTTCTTTTTGATGTCTTTGAAACTGTTCTTAGCTAGCTACTTACTGTATAAACCCAAAATTCAGCAACTCAGATTTTTAAACTTGATAGTACACATTATCATAATTTATTATATATGAATATATTACAAAAAAGACCGCGTGATAAGAACCAGGCTAAGGCATAGAACATTTTGAGCCAGTGGAGTAACACAGCTAACTACTAGTGGCCCTCCTTCCCCATCGTTCCACTAGAATATGTTGAATGATCGTACATATTATTTTTATATTTCCTCTACTTATGACTTGTTTTCACATAAAGCCATTTACGTATGTATTTAATTTGAGAATCTGGGCAAAAAAGTAGCCGATTTCACTAAATGTTTAGTACACCATAAATTAGCAAAAATATATTTATGCTAGAATGGGTACTTTAGCATCCACAGCACAATTTGAAACTAAAGACAAACAGACATTCAACGAAAAAACGAAAGAGCAGCAGAAACTGCATTTTGAATGTTTGTGAAAGCATTAATGAGATGTTAAAAAACAATTTTGATTTCACGGGTCTTTTATTACAATGTATGGGAATTACAGAAAATTTGATGAAAAAAAGTCAACAGAGCTGATGAAGTTAAGTTATTTTCTGTTTGGACTCACAGCTTAAGTGACATTTTTTCGTATACAAATATATCCTGTTTGTTATTCTGTTGAAAGTATACCTCAAAAGATTCCTCAGTTTCTAATTTATTTGCAATATAATAAAATTGCAATGTTGTATCATAATAGTATTTGTATTTTTAATATTGATTTCCCATAAATGGGTTTCGGGGAGGGGGGGGGCTTCACTTGACACCCTGCAGTTACGCTACTATTTTGAGCCTAAAACTGGGGAAATTATAAAAAAATTGAGCACGGACATCATTAAATTAACATCTGGAGCTCTTCAATGTATTTTAGCTGAGGCCTCTTAGGTGAAGATTTGTAATTGAATCGGTCCATACTTGAGAAATATATTGCTTCAGTTTCGTTTCTTTTTAAAAATGGTTTCTCGCACTGTCAACAATTGACGTGAAGAATCAAATCATTTTTTCATTGGTTTTCTTTGCCAAAATTTAGCACTTAGCAAATAACCAAATAAAAATTGTTAGATTCTGCACCACAATGGAACTGTTGTGAGTTTGAAAACAAAGATGCATAAAAAATTTAAACTTATCTAAATTTAGACTAGAATTTTCATTTACCATGGAGTTTTATTGCTCAATTGCGGAAAATTAATGTGGGGCTTACACGATTTTGTTAAAAAAAAACATTGAAAACTTTTGAAATTTAACGGTTGCCTTCCTATAGTTTCCTGCCACAAAATTTTACTTTCGAAGCGGTTATTGCTAAGAATAAAGGACAAAAGATTCACGAGAAAAACATTTATAATTTCGTGTAAGTTTTCACAAGCGAAGTATGTTTGATACGTCAGATCTGTTTAATGATAAGTCATTTTCATAGACTTATCAAATGGAAAAAATCCTCTTTCTGTATATTTTTTCAATTATTATTACACTCCATATAAAGTTATAAATTAACCTAAATTATAAATATTTACGAGATAGCTAACTATACATGCTATCTTTCTGACGGTCAAGTTGTCACGTTGACTTGTTATGTATATATGTCTCTGACAGTCACACGTGGACAATTAGGTACACGTTTTTCTTACTCTCTTTGTCGTCGAATATATATATTTATGTTTACATAATTTTGCTTATTTTACAATGTTTTATTTTAAGTTGAAATCATGCAATGCGACTTCTAATTCAATATTTTGAAACACAATTAAGTATTATCAGTTTCACTGACTTGCTAAACGATAGAGCAACTTGTATGCGTGAAAAAATTTTATTTGTATTATCCGTTGAAAATTCATCTCTTTGATCGCATTTGAATCGAAGCAATCATTACAGAACAAGGCATTGCATTAGAAGTTGCAAAGCTATGGTCATGGATACATATATGGTAAATTTTTCAATAAACAAAGCTATTTTTCAGGTAAATTTTTCAAGAATTACAAAGCTAAAGTGCTTGTAAGAAATTTCACATGCAGTTTAATATCGTTATTGTACCCGATGATATTGCTAAAACTGCTACAATTTGTCATTACTATCGTGCTTTCTTTTGAATGTTATTATTCCTTTCAAATGCACTCCATGAATGCGAAACTCGTCGATTTTGTTATGTGGTGTTAAAGGCTTTTTAAAATACAACTTTTCACCATTAACACCGAGGAAGAAATTCTTACACATCTTCACACGAATCATTTTAAATGTATGATCACCACAATATATTAGGGGGAATTTGTAATCAAGAATTCTAAATTGTAGATAACTATGAGTTGCATTTTCTTTTTTGGAAATTGAAACTGTTACTGGCACATTATGGAGGGTTATTAATTCATCTGTGTAGTAAACACCGACGTATTGTTCTGCATTCGATGTAGGAACTTCGTGCTGTTGATGCAAAAAGAAATGTGTTAGCATCTTCATTTGTATTGAGCGACTTTAGATTTAACCATGTTAAATTTTAACTGCGCGCACGATGCCATAAGCGTACCTATTTTTTATTATTTTAGAAAGGGCAAACTAGCCATTCTTAAAAATATTGTTTTGTATTTTGTGCGTGTGTTTGATAAACCCAAGCATGTTTGACTCTCCCTTTAATTTTCATCAAACACATCAAATCGTGAATGCTTATGATTAATATTGTGAATTGTGATCATCTTTAATTAGCATTCAGGATAACATACATTTTTCTTCTTGCTATTTGAGCTACTCAATCAAATTCGTACTTCCTGCTTATTACTGCTTGTCAGGTATATAATGTAGAGAATCGTTAAAAAATGTGCATACTAAAGTAAATTTATGCGTTTCATGCGTGTTTCATTAGGTATAATATACAGAATGTCCCTCAAAAAACGGAAACCGCTGATATAATTAGGTATGCATTAAAATGAAGTCTGCAATCCTGCATAAGATAATTTAGTCTGTAATAGCTATTTTTTCTCTCTGCTTAATTTAGTTAAATGCTAGTTTGTTCATCTTCGTTACAACTTATGGAAAATATGATTACGTTTTTGTGGCTTTTACAACTCATTTAATGTCTTATTTTACAAAGGTTTTGCGTAGTAAATTTGAGATTCAGTTTATGATAGTATTTTTATCTTGTTTTGCCTTAACGAATACTGTACAAACCATATAAAATCTCAGCTGTCATGTTCATTATACTGTTTTGAATGCTTATTACATTTTTGTGCATAATAATAACAACGAATACATAAGTAATTTATATGGTTTTTTGAGACACCGGCTGAGTAAATGCATGTGTTTAATGTCATAATAGAGTACCTGAATTTCTGATGATTACTTATGTTCTGCATGTTTACTTGATCATATATTGACCCTTACTTTTTTATCTTGTGTGTCAACAATATTATAACACAATTCCATTGTACTAAGGGTAGTGATACAAACTTCTTCAAAACTCCCGTTTAGCTCTAGTGACGCTCACGTTGCAAAGTGTTTTCTAGTTTACTAAAGCTTGCTATTACGAAACGTATTTAATGTGAAGTGTTATTGTTACTCACCTTGTTTTGAGGCATTTTTATGAGATGTTCGTGAAACATGTGAAATAACTCGGGTATTCTTTTCGTTATAGTCACGTGAGCCTTTTGTGATGTTGACAGAATGTTTACAGCTATAATAACATAACATCCGTGTATTGGTTCACATGAATGTTTACAGCTATAATAACATAACATCCGTGTATTGGTTCACATGAATGTTTACAGCTATAATTACATAACATCCGTGTATTGGTTCACATGAATGTTTACAGCTATAATAACATAACATCCGTGTATTGGTTAACATGAATGTTTACAGCTATAATAACATAACATCCGTGTATTGATTCACATGAATGTTTACAGCTATAATAACATAACATCCGTGTATTGGTTAACATGAATGTTTACAGCTATAATAACATAACATCCGTGTATTGGTTCACATGAAATATCTATTTATTCGTAGTACGTAATGCGTTCCTATTTTTACATACCTAGGCGTAGATCTGGCAGTAGGTGCATACTACTCGAATAACCATATATGTATCCACTTTTTTCATAATACAAGTAACCTTTTTTGAAATAAATATCCCATGATGATCCTACCATCTTTTTTCCGTTTGAGAAAATATACGCTAAAAGAAATTATATAATGACCATAGGAATTTAAGCAATTTTATTGGTCGAGAGCTATGAAATTGACAACGTCACAGAAATTCCTTGTTTTTAAATTACAAACGAACGGCGAAATTATTTTGATATATACCTGAATGTATCCCTGAATGGGAAAATGAAGACAATAAGAAGATTTAGTTGAAGTTGTTGACGTATTTATGCAAAAATAAATGAAAAAAACAGGTTTTCGAACGTTGATTTGTACTTCGTCTTCGATAGCACAATTTCAAAAAACTTGATCAGCCATTGCTTGTTTATTCTGTTAGCCAATCACATTTTAGCAAATGACTTAAGTTAGTCTAGCATTTCCTCAATCCTGTAGATCAAGTACGCGTAATATTGCAAAATCTTGACTTTTTTAATTTTCCAAGTGTTTAAGAAAACTAAAACAATTTGTTTGCCAGTTAAAATGGGTATTTTGTTGGTTTCATTGTATAAAATAAATAGATTACATTTTACATTTAATCGTTGTCTGTTCAGTTACAAAACACGGGTAAGACGTCATTTGTGATAAGAACAAAAAGTGATCACTCGCTTTGCCGGCCCGTGCCTCTAGGCCATTATTTTAGCTCTAATCACAAATGACGTCATTTTCCGTGTTTTGTAACTGAACAGACAACGATTGAATGTAATATATTTGTTGAATGGTTGTATAATTGAAATGTTTTTATGTCGTCCATTATATTCATGAAGATAAATGCTAAATTTAGTTAAAACTTTGCTCTCGTATAAGTTACTCTTGCATGAGCATGCACTTCTTTTGAAAATAAACAAACAAAAAGATATTGCAAATCGCAAATTATGTAAGATGATCAAAGAAATTTTTACCTGGAGTAAAGAATTCGTCCAATATTGCTGGTCTTAGATATCCGTTATTACTGTTGTTAAACAAGCCGATCTCCAACTAAAATAAAAAAAAAATATTGTATATTGTGCACTTTCTTTTTATATAGCGCAGTTGTTGTGTCTACCTGGCCTCACCGTACAAACTCAAACGTAATCTTAAGTACATAAAAAAGCCCCGTTTATATTCAAACTTGGTTTCCATGTCTATGATAAATATATCACCTTTTTATACAAGCCTTCTCATATAAAGCAGCTGTTAACACAATTTGATATTAGTCGCCATAATTAGTTCCGTACCTGAGCCAAATCATGGACTGTTGTAACCAAACCGCCTGCTGGATTAAGCCATCCCCAGTTCTTAAATTTTGGTATTCGCTTATTTACTTCACTTGGTAAATACATCTCATTTCTAAGAAATATTAGAAGTTTTTCTCGCTCATTTTGGAAAGTCGTTCAATATTATTATGTCATTTATTTTTAAACGAAATTCTCGTTCCAACAAAAGAAAAATACATTGACAAATATCTTTAACGATGTACGTCTTTGACCAATATGTAATCGTGATTTTCATTTTATTTCAATTTAATGCACATTCTTGACTTTACTTACAAGCTCTTTAGTTCGAATGTGGACCTTTTCATTCCTAGAGGTTCGAAAATTTGGTCTTGTACACATTTCTCGTATCCCCGTGGATAATTTTTGGTGACCACGTGCCCAGCCAATGCAAAGGGAAGATTTCTGGCAATGGAAAAATTTTTGTCGATCTTATAACATTTAAAACTATGCATACATGTATAAAATACGAATTAAAACTTTATAAACGTGATCAAAACCGAAATAAGCGATGAAAAATACTAATAAGTGTATTTAATTAAGTATCTTGAAAATTCAAATCATCGCTACTTCAGTTTTTATGACCATTTCAGATCAGTATTCAATAGTTGAATTATTTAGACACGCCCCATAATAGTGGTTCCATTAGCAATCGTCTTAAGATCGTACTGCATGCTCTAAAGCATTAAATCCTCTGCTGCTGATGGGTTTCTGTTAAATACGATTCATCTGAGAAAATAGAGGTGTAAAAAATCCCTCTTAAGTACTTTAACCCATCAAAGAATTTATCTTCTTGTAGTCAAAAATTTTTATCGTATGTTGCTAAGAACATTTTTCATGACAATTCACTCGTAGCATTCAACAATTTGGCACATGTATCTTTAATCTTTGTTTATCAAACGTAGTTAACATTTTTACGGAGCACGTATTTAGGGATCAATTAAGTCGAGGCTGTACACGTGGCTGTAAAATTGTCTTCTTAGCTACTAGGGAGATTAGAAGGAACATAAATATTATCATAGAGTATTACCCATATAAAATACTTGAACCAGGTTCGTACAACAGATGTGATTTATCGTTCCTTAATTGTTGCAGAATGTATGATGTATTATGTGGACAATAGTTGTGTAAATTATCAATATAACACGGGGCTTCTCGAGATAAGCCTGAAGAATACGTAATTAGCTCTCTGAATAAAAGAAACAAAACAAATGAGATTGAAATTGATGACTTATAAAATTGCAATGTAGTTGAAATAGTTCAACATTTAGACTCACCGTATTGTTATTCCACTGCCATTATCATTTTTAAAAGGATTTCTCACCCAGAACTGAGGCTCGTATTTTGTTAAAGGATCATCCAGACCAATAATCCCATAGTTATATAGCTTATAAGAGAGTAACGACTAAAAATTAAAGCAAAATACATGTAAAAATGATGTTGAGAGTTTTCGTGGTATTATTTTATCTCATTAACTGATTTAATTGTGTTTTTGGTAAGGATTGCCTTGCACTTACTGTGATTACTTTTGTTAAACTGGCAACTGGAAATAACTTTTCTTTTTTTTCTTCGGTGATTTCATTCGTCTCATTGCTGAGTTTAAATTTCACTTCCCAAATTACTTGATCATAGTACACGATGTTCGCCACAAATACACTCTATCATTGCAAATATACGAATAAAGTTTTCTTTGAAGTGGATAGAAATTTTTCCATGGTATTATGTGTAATTTTTCCATGTATCAGTTATATATATGTAGCTACTCGGTTGTTTATAAAGACTTCTGTTTTTGTATTTTCTCATTTCAAAAAATAGTTAGCTATGCAACATTTTTTATTTCTTGTATTGATTGCAGAAACTGAACAAAAATAGCATTCTGATTTCTTTCAATTCAGAAATTCCTTTTTCGCTTGTAAATCGCGCTTTTACGTCCTGACGTTACGTAACATCTTATTTGATTCCGATGAAAAATATTTGGCTTTACATCAACAAAAGCATTAATATGACCATCATTTTGTAGAAAGAATCTGTTTATTTCTTTCACCGACTTCATTAAGAAAGTTGAGGGTTGTTTTGAATTTGGCTAATAGACTTGTGTTCGTATCACAAGTTTCATAACAGCTTTCCCCGACCCGGGTCAGCTTTATAAACGTGAAATTTATATAAATGAAAATCTGTTTATATGCTGTGAGAGGCTGTTATTGAGTAGTTCGTCAATCATTTGATCACTCAAAAGCTTGACTTTTCATCCATGTGTTTTTGATATAAAAGCGACAAAATAGTGTTTGTTAAATTTCGAGTGTATGTCACAAAGTTAGACGCAACAAAATTTTTATCATAACGCTGTAATGACATGTTTTAAATTTAATCATACTTGTTTTTGAAGTCGCATTTTTTTCTTTATTTCTTCTTTCCAACTGTTTGCGTAATCCATAATGTTAATTGGTATGCTTTTTAGGCGAACAGGTTTCGTTCTCGCGAAACATTTTTCTTTGTGATTCTTGAATCAATAACACACAAAAACTATTTTTCAATGCGATAAATGTCAGTATTGAGAAGGCAAACGTACGATGTATAATAAACAAAAATAGGAAATCCATTAAAAGTGAATGAATTATATAGATTATTTACAAAATAGATTCACAATGAAATGTGAAATGGATAGATCAGAGAAAGATATCAAATAAAAATGCAGTAAATGAATTAATGATTATAAACGCAGTTAGTAGACTAACCTCATTTCGCAATTTGTTTGATTTCTCATGGATCGTTTTCCATATGAAGAGACCTGTCATCACACATGTTGATAAAAGAAGCAACAGAATGACAAGTCTAACACATCGCACTCGTATGTTTTTCACTTTGTAATTAGCTTTTCTCGAACATGTTACTTTCGTTTCTTTTTTGTGCACATTGTGTGGAAATACTTTCGGAGGAAGTAGCTCAGTTGGGCTTGTCAGTGCTTCTTCAAACGCCATTGCTGTAATTGGGTCTATTTCGTTTATATCAAGTTCCTCTGATAGTTCTGTTTTTGTTATAGATGTTATTGTCCATGTGTTGTGATCCTTAACACCATTATTGCAACATACGTTTGCTTCTTGAGCATCCATTTCTTTTTCTAATGCTATGTTATCCTATAAATTGAAAGCATTGGTAATATAACTATTTTAACTTCAAAATGGAAATGTGTTTTACATTATTGCTTCATATCGAGATCATTTTATACCTCTTCGTAATCAGCCATGTATTAAATTTTTCGTAATCATGTATTAAAAACGATAGTGGATTACTTTGAGAAAGTTTATACGCGCGATTGTTGCATTTATAGAGATCTTGCCATCCTCAAAATTCATATCACAATAACTCCAAGCTTTTTTCTGACGTGAACGAAGCAGCAAAAATTGCAAGGAACTTTTCCCTTCAAGAACGTGCGCATACCTTCATCAATATATAGCTGTATGCACTTTGGAAATGATCAGCATTTCACAAATGTGACTTTAAAAAGTTGAAACATCGTAAGCCGGATATGCGTAAACTTGAGTATGTAGCCTTCAACACAGGAAAGACGATACATTTGATCTTCTTTTCTGTTTAGCTATATCGAGTGGCAGTGAAGGCTCGATGATAGATCCACAAGCATGTGGCAAGCTTCTAATTTAAGTGTTGCATTGTTACGATAAAAATAGCACATGTTGTGTTCATGGGTATTCTCCCTTTATAACCCGTGTACGGGTCTATATGATGCATTCCGGAAAACAGAATTCCCCACAGGCATTTGACAACAATTTCAATCATTGTGAAAAATGACAAATACATTGTAACTTTATCCTTTTATATTGGCTTTTTCTTTTTTTTCCCGCGAAACATTTCAACTTTTTTTTCTCAGACCCCATTGGGCTTTTAATAAGCTAAATGTCATTAAGTATATCTCTTGCATTTGAATCTCAGCTGCAGTTGTGTTTTTCTGATTTAAATTTTCCTGACAAACATCGACTTTCTTATTTATTATAAGGTTAATCGATGAAAACACAAGTCAACTCTCAAATTAATAACACAATGAAGTATGCAATTAAGTTATATTGTCACATTTTAAAGTCACATTAAAGCTTTCGATGTCTGGCATGGTGACGTGAATAAAAATGCTAAATCTGCCGGATATTTACTAAAAGAACACACAAATAAAAAAGTATTCAACCATCTCAACACATGTCACTGTCATGAAATTCGATTAACAATTTTCACCATTTGTAACTATAGAAGTATATTACCGTTGGACGACCGATGTGACCTTTAACTTATCAGTTGAATGATATAGCTTTCGAACATGCATATTCATTTCAGTGTAATAAAACAAAACTAATGCCTGTTAATTAATAAATGATTGAGATCATGTTTACTGTGAATCATTTTATTGTTTACCTGGTTTCAGAATTAGACGTTTTTCTTCATTTCCTTTCAATTCAAACAACAATTTGTATATGCTAAAATAAGCCGTGCCTAAAAAATCTCATTTTCACACTCCAAAACATACTTTGACACTTTCCCAGATATTGTGTGTTAAAAGAGTCGACACAAATAGAGCAGCCTTTAAAAGGTACTTACTCCAGCGAACACGTCTCAGCGAGAATTTCATAAGAATTACATAATATATTAAAAATTGTGTAAGATTCCGTAAAAAGCCCCCAGTTCGGCACATTCTTTTCCATGTCAAAAAAAAGTGTAAAAAACTGAAATAGAAGAAACATCCATTTTCTTTGCAATATTACAAAATATGGACTTTGAATGGTAAAGCATCAATATTCTAATTGTTTGCTATGGAGGATTTTGGGGAAACAGTTGATCACAGCGTATATTAAATAATCAACATCTGTTTTCCATAATACAACGCTTTTTTCGCTTACCTGACTTCTTTTTCAAAGGGAAATTTTGGATTAGCTGATTTCAGCTTGCAGTTGAATTACCATTCTTTTTTGTGCAGCATATGGATTTCTACGATCAAAAATGTACGCCCTCCTCTAAGACGTGTTTGCAATAATGTTCTAGCAGTTACTAAACATTGCTGTTGTTTGCTTTTAAAGTGTTCCGGATATTAATTAATTCAAGCAGGTGCATGCTATGTTCACAGCGAAACATATATATTTACAATGTGTTATTTTAAATTTCATCAAAAACCAAATTTATTTCAATCTAACACTCCTGCATTAAAATTACTACTATTTGGGTACCGCAAGAATCAATTTTGTTGCATGCTGTCGCTAGCTCATGATAAGTGTTTTCATCAAGTGTATTAAAGTTTATGGCGAATTTATGGCACCTATAATTCGTTCGTGTCTGTCAGTTTTATTAGGCTGTCTGGAAAACTATTGAAAAACTATTTTAAACTTTGCCACTGCTATACTGATGTTGTTTTGAAAATTCACAAGCTCCTTTGGAAGACGCACGCAAAATGCAAAGTGCAGCAACATTTTCTGTGATAGGAACTTTGAATTATTAACGAGAAATCAGATTCAAATGATGTTTCTTGCGGTACAAAGACGAATTTGCTGAATCGTCAACCCCGTTTAAGTAAGATTTTTATTCCTGGGTGGTCATCTATATTTTCCCCATTTAATTTAAACAAAAAATTTTGGAATTTTGTGCTCTCCGCATTAAAAACAGATGTTGAAATATTTTAAAAGAAGTATCGTCGTACATGCTTTAATATGGTTGGAGAAATCAAAGCTTTTTACGATTTCCCGTGACCAAATAACGCTAACAAACAAATTTCACGCATATTTGTAAAATATTTCACAGTTATTTTGCTATCTCAAATAACATTAGTACTTGGATATGTAAACCAAGAGAATTTATGGATAGTCGAAATAATACTACCTGGGTAAACATTTTAATGGCCATTTTAGCATTTTATGATGAAATTGCTACCGTGATCAAAAGGAGTTATAAATCTTGTCACTTACAAATGTCTCAAGATTTGATTAATATTTCTTATTATAAAATAGTAGTATTCCATATAAATTGTTATGCAAATTAAAGTCTATTTGATTCTTAATTGTAAGTCATTTGTACGTCCAGAAAATTTTCTCTTGAAGCAAAAATCTAAAGACATGTTATCCGTTTCTTTAATATCATTATATATTCATAGGATCTCTGTGATGAGTGATGTTAATAAAAGATTAGCGACTGCTAGAATATTGTTCATTTCGAGTATATACCTAAAAAACAAAAAATAAAATTTTGCCTAAGGCAAATCTGTAAATAGATTTGTGCAGTAAATACGAAACTTTGCCGCTTATTTAACTTGGAGAAAATTAAATCAAAGTAATTATGCATGTCCTTTTGCGCAATTTTAGCTAATAATTGTTTAACAAATATATTTTGCTCGTTAGATTTTCGACCGAACAGTCTGAAATCACATACGTTTTCTTGTAGCGGAACCTTTTCTCAATTTTAAAATTTGCAAATGTTTGCTTTCAAAACATTAAGCGTTTTATTTAACCCGACGCTGGACGCATCAAAAAGAATGTATATAAGCTAATATTTAAATCCATGCGCATATGCAATGTTCATCAGTTATATTTCTATCAAGTTTTATACGGTAATCTTTGTGCCTACACTACACCTGGGAGCTTCCGTGCATGTTCTATGTATGTTGCATATATTTGCCTCACACGAATGCATGAAAGAGGTAAAATTTACGCAAGCACATACACTAATGTTTGTGCACAGGATGAACGTCAATTTTCTGCTGAAAAAACAAACATATAAATGACATAATTATTAAGAGATATTATCTTCTGACGATTTTACGTTTCAAGTACTTTGATTATTTCAAAATGCTCGTTTTACTTCTATAAACGGTTTTAAACTGGCAATTCTAGTTCAAATGTGGATTGGCATGTTCAGTTTTGACTTCGCCTTTATATATGCCATAACATTTTTTTATTAGTTTATGAAAAAAAGTGATAACTGTGATTTTTAGTAAATGATTTTTTCAAGGCAGAATTAAATTTTAACTGCTCTATAACAGACATGATTTCCTAATATATTAGCATGCATGCACCTGCAAACACATCTCTTTATGGCTTAAATGCTTACTAAAAACACCCATAGGCCACACTCATAAGTCACATAATCACATTTGCCATCTAAATGAATAGAAATTTCTATCACATTTAGACTTTTCCATCACATTTCTAGAAGGTTTGTGCTACTTTTTTTACCGTAGACTTGCGAGTGAAAGATTGACAAATATTTTATGATAGTGTAAAGAATAAAATTTATCGTGTTTCGTGTATTACTTTCGTGTGAAACATATACATTTCTGCGTTATTTGTATTATCTTGAGCAATCACCTTGGCCTATATCGGCCATTTTAAGTATTGCACTTTATTCATATTGTTGCAAAACGTACAATTTTAGGTAAAACTTTAATATATTGTTTGAAACTAAACAGTCACCCTTATTTAGTACGAAATAATATCATATATCATCCAACTTAAATTGAGATCAACAATTGTGATATTAGCCTTAATCAGTTTTTGCAATTCTAAGTAAATTTTTTGGATTTTGCAAAACTTTTAGAACGGTTTCCTACACATAAGTCTAATTGTAACATTCCATTAGTTCCATAAAGATGTATTTTGTCTGTTGTCCATGGTTTTACTTACTGTATACGCAAGCATTTAGCCTGGGCATTGAATTCTAATCTAAAATTAATGATGTTCTTTGACGATGTTATCCAGCAATATTTATTTTCAAAATGCATTTGAAAATCTACAAATTATGAGACATTTGCATGGTTTTAAAGCATCGTATAAAGTTCATTTCACTGGATTATTTTGCTAACCAGCATATAAAGAGCCTATTACTTTGTTCAAACTTTTTCGGCCAAAAGCTTGAACTTCACATTTCTCAAGAATAAGCATCTTTTTGCAATCTTCTGCAATCCTAAGATAATAAAAAGTGCAATGAAATGTTATGTGCTCAAAAAAATGCAGATAGCAATCTATTGTTATTATTAAGAGACCAAAAGAAAGATAACACTTACGCTCGTATTCTTAAAGATCACACTCATTAAGTGCGATATAAAATTTGCTCTATATCTTATCAACGGCAAAGACATTTCTCAAGAAATGACAAGAATTTTGTTAAAATATTTTAAATGAAGCAATCGGTACAGTGAAAATGCTGTCTTCGAGTATGAGCGAGCTTTTAGAATACGGGCGTTCTGTACTGTAGCCAATGTTTGAGCACTCTTCAGCTCTTTCAATTGTTGAATGTACGCCTGATTTAATAACGAAGACGAGACGGAAACAGCTATTTCATCTATGATTTTTGCTAATGTGAACTATCGTATACATCATTTATGACGATAATTTTAAAAAGACAAATTCAATTGTAACAAGCAGGTGGTACAGAAAATCATGTTCAACGAGTATATAGATGGACAAGATATAATAAAATTGCAGCATGTTAAACATATATTTTGCTGCCTGAACGATAAATTGATGAATAAGGGGCTTTTCTTCCTTTCACATAATGAATGTTGTAAAACCATCAAAGTTAACCGATGAAAATGAAGTATAGAGTCAAAGAATTATGTAAAGCAACCTGGAAATCACACGCTAATAACAACGTCAAACAAAAATCTTTGCACCACAGTATTCAACCTATGGCTGATGGCAATTATGTCCCTAAGAGATTTCACTTGTGTCTCATTTTCGAAATTAATATCTTTCATATACACCAGTGTTGTTAACGAGCTCATTTAATTATTATAAATAGTTTCTTAATAGCATTTTTAAATAATATTATATTTTCATAACGGTCTTTTCACAGCTGCATTGTCCATGAAGTATTATTTTTCAATTCAAAAATTTCGTGGATGAACGTTTTTTTCAACCAGATCTGTATTTTGTGCGGCAAGATACTCCATTATACAAGGATTTATTAGTAATGAATTAAAACGAAGTTAAAATTGTCCTCACAAATTCCTCGTTTTCATACAAACATTCGGAATGTGCGATGTACTACTCATTATATTTGTATTTTGATATAAGCTGTTATTGTAGGTGATTTTAAGTAAATTATATATACCGGTAGAAAGTGAGGCCAGGTGTTGATGACTATGTTTAATGATTCAGTTTAAAGTTAGGTTGGACCGTTGGAGCTTGGCAAACATGTTTCTTATAAAAGATTATTATACATATATTAAGACTGTAAAGAAAAATAAGAAAATATATATGGTAACTGAACAATGTATAGGTTTGCTGACAACGATCTTTGCAAGAAAGGAAAAGACAATATTTTTAAGCTGAACAAGAGTAAACACTTGCAAATTCTATATATAGGAGTAAATTATCAAAAACGGCTCTCCCTTTTCTTAGTTTAACTCAGGGGTCTCCAAACTTTACAGCCAGAGGTCCACATGAACTTTCATCCACCATGTTGAGGGCCGACGAACCGTATACCGCTGGTCAAAGAGCGAACATTTTAATAAAACGAAGTACTTTTGAAAATAGACATGTTTCGACATCTCATGATGCCATCTTCAGTATAAGTGAAATAATAAACAATACAAGGTTTATATAAAAGTAATATGATACATAAATGACAACAATAAAAAGGAAATAAGATACATTGGCGAAACTTCGCGCCATTTATCCACCAGAATCAGGGAACATACCACAACAGACAAAAACTCTCATATCTAACCCACACCTTCTTAAATCTCACTCATGTAAAACCAACTATTCACCCTCTTGCTTCAAAATCATTTACACTGCCGACACCTCATTCTCCCTTAAAATCAAAGAAGCACTCCACATTAACAGAACTTACCCTGACCTCAATGTTCAAGTTTTTAAATTCAATACAATGTTTAGTTTATAATACGCTCGGACGCTCCCCCTTAATTTTATCTTATTTCCTTTTTATTGTTGTAATTTCTGTATCATATTACTTTTATAGAAACCTTGTATCATTTATTATTTCACTTATACTGAAGATGGCATCATGAGATGTCGAAACATGTCTATTTTAAAATAACTTGTCACGTATATTAAATGCGCAAAACGAAGCACATCACACAAGCTTCATTATTTAAGAAAATATTTATTCAAAATTTAAAGGTTAAATTTCAACCAAGGGTAATATCATAACAAAATCAAAATTAGTCTGTTCAGTTTTCGCAATGTGAGTGGTGAAATTGGCTTTCTTAAGTGTCTCTGCGGGCCGGATTGAGAGTCCCAACGGGCTGCATCTGGCCCGCGGGCCGTAGTTTGGAGACCCCTGGTTTAACTAATGGACATGTGTTGGCTTTTATGGTGACAGTGTTTTGAGGCATTTCTATTTGTGAATTAATTATGAATTCAAATACAACAACAAACAAGCATTTTATCTCACAGCTCAGTAGTTCAATACTTTTTTCAAAAAAGAGCTTAGTTTAATCTGCGCTTTAGCAACTGCTAGGGACCGATTATTATTTATGACATTGGGGCCAAGGGATGAAAATGAAATTGTTTTGTATTCAAAAATTATGGATGCATTACAGGGTGAAGAAAAATGGAGTTCATGTAAAGGCGAGGGGGTGGGGGTGGGTTAGCATTTGGCAATATAGATATTTTATTTATGAAAATATGGAACTAAAACATATCTATAATGATTCAATTGACTGACATCATTTGAAACATCAACAATATTCTTATTTCTACCAGAAGCAGCTCTATGGTAAGGTATTTTTTATTTTTTCAAATTCCATTTCATACCCGTCATTTGGTTTGGTAGATACATGGTCAAATGAAGCTGGAATGAAAATTATAAACTGCTTTAAAAATTTTAGCTTTTTAGTTTTCAAGAGCTGTTTATTTTGTTATAATTGGTGTTACAGAAATCATGTGCCAAATAACGAGTTGGCGATCCAAGCAGGATTAGTCATGCAAAACTAACTATAGCCGCTAATTTAAATAAGAACAATATCGTGTTCCATTAGTGATGAGCGTTTTGAAATGTTAATTTTTTCTTAAAATGAGCCATTTCAATTCATTTTCCTGTCGATGGATGAGTCACTGAAACTCTGCACTGCGGCATGAGTCCACTCCCGCATGACATGAAAGATAATTTTTTTGGTTTTTTGGGTATAATTAAGGTATGTTTGAAATTTGACTTTTATGTTCATGGTTAAAACTCAAAATGTAACCTTGGATTCATTATGTATAGTACAATGTCACAAAGAGGAAAATGTGGTGCTTTGAAAAGTTTTGACTAACTAGAGCAAATACACGCACGAAATTATATATTTGATTGATTTGTATTGTTTAGAAAACACTTCAAGATATGTAATTTTTTCAAAAGTTTGAATGAATGATGTGCATAATCTCGGACTTACGGGGGTAGGACATTTGTGGTGTTATTGACAAACATATGTCCACACGGTCAATAGAAAATGGTTCGGACAGCTTGGTTATGAATATATTTCAACATCAATTTTCCGCAGTTGTTGGGTGTATCTCATGTAATCTGATCATGCATAACAATGTTTGGATATTTATTCCAAAGCCATCATCAGAGAATGTATAATATATTAATCCTAACACGGTTTTTAATATGCACATGAAAAACATGTGACTTGGACGAGATTTGAACTCGCACCTTCGGGATAATATATAATATAAAGACGTTCACCGCTTTCGCTTTGCGCAAAGCTCACCGTTATAGGTTTGAGCGCTCTGGTGACTCTACAATACAATCCATACAATGTGTAACCGTACATCCTGTGTCCAAAGTGCAGGAGTCACCATTTTACAATAGTGGTAGCCGGGAGGGCACATTGTTATACACTTTGTATTATATATAATATATATATTATATATTCTCTGATGATGGCTTTGGAATAAAGTCGAAACACGGTGCCATCCAGTTAACTGCTATAGTGGCGAGAATCTCTCGTCCATACGCAGTTTAAAAGAGATTTGACTCGTCTCCAATCCCTGTGGGCTTGGTAGCTCAACAGGTAGTGCGGCGGCTAGTATCTCGAAGGTGCGAGTTCAAATCTCGTCCAAGTCACATGTTTTTCATGTGCATATTAGAAACCGTGTTAGGATTAATATATTGTATGGATATGGTGGTATGAATGTCGTATGAATGTGGTATGAATGTGTGAATTTCTATTTGAACCTTTTGAGGGATGACGTACAGTTTCCCTAAAAATAAATTAAACAATTAACTTTAATCAATTTGCGCTTTTCACGCCCTGCTCTATAGTTATATCTTCACACAATACTAACTGAAATACAAGTCGTATATGAAAACTTTTTTCTTCAGCAAAATTCCTTGTCAAAATTAGGCTTATTTGGAAATAATGCATATTAAATAAAACATCCATATGTAATCCCTTTTATCCCTTGCAGCGACAACAAATCATTGGAGCGACAACGTAATGAACGTATGAAATTTTCATTGCAAAGTTCATCTTTGGGTCCAAACTGAATTTATGTCATGGTGAAATTGTAATTTTCTCTACAAGCTATGGATCACTATGTTATTGATGCAAATCGCATAGTAAACGATATAAAAGGTAGCGAAGTATTGATGTTTGAACAAGTGTTTATACAAGTTATTTCGGAAATTTATTTTTTATTTACTTAAACGTTTTATTTTGATCGCTGTGTGATGTAATTTGAATGATAAATTACTTTTCCTTTTCACATTTTTCGAATCAATATGCAAAACATGTTACAGAAAAGTAGACCAACCGCTATTCAGCTACTTTATGGCAAGTCTACAATTATTTTTTATTTAAAATACTAGCTTGACTTTAATATGAAATAATTAGTTTGGCTTTGAAAGGTTTTTTTGAGCATGTTGTTACTTGCCTGTGCCTGTGCTAGCTTTCCTAACCGCAACAATGCATCGGTAATATTCGAGAAAAATAATTAAGAAGTCATTGTTTTTGTCTTCTTTCCTTATTTGAAATTTATTGTGTGCCTCAACTACGACGTACTACGACTGTTGATTTAATTTTTGGTTAGGTTATGTTGTACAGCTGAAATCAATTTACTTTGAAAATAAAGATCCAATTGATGATAATGAATTAGTGCTGCAAAAGTTGTGTGTGAAATTGGAAACTGCATTACGGCATGGCTTGAAAGGTAATCTAGAGATATCTTTGAGAGACTTTTGGTAGAAGAGGTTAAAGTAGTATTTATATCTTCATCATGTGTTCTATCCAGTTTTTATCTTGATAAATCCAAGACAACTTGATCCTAAACTTTCTTTTAACACCTTTTCAAAGTTTAAAGAAATTGATAGGCATTTAGGCTTTAGTTTAATAGTTTTATAAGTAAATTATGTTCTGGTGCAGGGTTAATGGCGAAAACTTTAATATTATTTAGTTTACCTATAACTTAATAAATTTATATTGTATGTTAAATACAGACAAGTTCACTTTCCTTGGCGCAAGGAAAGATTACTGGAATTTTTTTGTGGAATGTCTACCTAAAGATGAAGGGACAAGATATGTGGCCTCCTTGTCTCAGGTATAAGGAAAAACATAAGGAAAAACATTTTGCACAATGCAATTCTCTGATTTACTGTTTAAATAATTTTAATCATTTTAGTTGCAAACTTCCCAAGGCAAAGGCAGAGCATTGATCCGTTACTGTCTAGTGCAAAAGACACTGGCAGATACAATACAGAGAACATTGATGCACAAAAAGAGAATGTATGTTTGATTTTATGCAATTTAATGTGACTAGTTGAGTGTAATTTTAATTTGAATAAGACATGTTTGTGTTGTAAAGCTTAATATCAACTTTGGTCAAGGCTTTTATATAAGTTGTATCTATAATAAGTTTTCATAATTTTGTCCTATAGAGAATGGTACACATCAGATGCACTATTACTCAACAGTTCACTCAGTTCTGATTTGATTGGGAAATTATATGATTTAAATGAACTGGAGTTTCATCTTTCATGTATGGGTTGTGACTTGGATATGTCATGGCCTTCTTTTGGAAGGTATGTATACCAATTACAATTCTTTAAAGCAGCTTTGTTTTATTGTCAGAAATCTTTACTCACTGCCCATTCACTTTCAGAACATTTACAGATGGATATGATAGAAAAATGAGGAGGAACAGTGGTGGAAGCATTGCTAGCACAGCAGATTTTTTTGTAAGTGTGTTTTATTAAATTTTGTAAAACTATAAAAGAATAGTTCTGTAATGTTGCTTGATATGCTGGAAACTTAATACATACATGTGTAAAGTACATTGGGAAGGTAAAAAGTGATCATAATCAACAAGCATTTTTGGATAGTCATTGTCTGTTGACTGGCACATGAACCACAGTGGTTTGAAATCAACCTTTCCGACAATAAACACATTTGTCAAAATTACAAGATCAAATTACAAAATTCGGACCATCAAATGGTCGGACATAGTATTGTGTTTGTAGAATAGTGGCGATAAAATAGAAAGAAGTTGCTCTTGGGCATTTTTAAATGTTATTTTGAAATCCAGAGCGACTAATTACAAAGGCAGAAGGTGTATGAGTAAATAAAAACCATTTTCCATCAAATAAAGAAAGCTTGGATATGACATGCAATATATATGCAGATACAAAGTTATAGAGAAAAATAAAAACATTTCTAACATTGTCGCCGATATTACGAGTGCCATAAAGAAGACAAAAAGCATGCCAAAAATATATGATTGAAAACTTGCTCACTGCATCTACAAGCACCAACTACAGAGCTCACTCTGTCACTACTTAATTGAGAATAAATCTGAGCATGCGTAGTCAACTTCACAAACTCTCCAAGTTCATGGTCATGGCAACGACCAACTGGATGTACTAGTAATGATTATGGAGTAAATAGCTCCCTCAGTCACAAATTTTCGGATAAATCATTTGCACATGCGCAGTCTGCCTGAGCTTGCGCAGTCGACTTGACCAGCTGCCTAAGTTGATGGTCATGTTAACGACCAACTGCATCTACTAGCACCGATTTTGAAGTAAACAGCATGCTTAGTAACAATTTAATAGAGAAGTTATCTGCGCATGCGCAGTCCACTCGAATAATTATTCATAGTCATGGCAACGACTAACTATATGTACTTGCACTTCATTTGTGGCAATTAGCTCACTTTGTCGCAAATTATCAAAGAAATTATCTTGGCATGCGCAGTAACCATGTCAATCATACCACAACTTTCGTAAGCCTTTGAATTTTTGTATATATATATATAAAGTAAATACTATATATAGTAGATGTCAACTAGCCGTGGAAGCTGGGTGCTATATAGTATGCAGTGGCTTATAGGGGCCCAGACTTCGGTCGCGACCGCACTCTCCCTGCGTACCCCGAGCAAAGCCTATCGCAGGTGATCTCGGGGTCTGATGGGTGGTAGCTTGCTATTGCATCTCCCAAGTAGGATAGCGTGGAGGGGCCGAAATCTCCTACCGAAACGTTAACATGCGGCGTTCTAGTGCCTTACGCTTAAGAAGGTATCGGGAAGCATAACCCGAAAACGGGGTTTTTTGCTTTTGAATTTCATATTTTGTTTACAAGAGTTCTTCTCGTAAAAGGAACTAGAACATCCAAGGATACTGCAAAGATTCAAAAAAACATCTGCCTTTTTGACTTAAATGTAATTAGTGATTATAAGACAGCGAAACCAACATGTAATAAAAAGAACAGTTCAAAAATTTGTATAGCTTGCTTTTTTGGGCTTTATGCAGCTGGAATCCGTCCTGGATATTCTTAAGTCACGCAGTAAAGGCGCATAACAAGGCGCGACAAATGCCAGTATTCAAGCTTTCTTCCGATCGTTATGCTTTTTTCTAACCCGTAATGGTTAATATTTACAGTTAGGCCTTCTGCCTTTATAAATAATCGTTCTGAATAACTAGAATCCGATTCACAAATGCCCCAAAAACTCAAAAGCATCTCCTAACCATTTTAGTGCCAATATTCTACATAAACAATAGAATGTCCGACCATTTGATTGTCCGAATTTTGTAATTTGGTACCGTATTTTTGACACGTGTGTCTACCGTCGGAAAGGGGATTTCTTGAAGGTCTTATATTTTCAAATTTTGAAGTAAACGTCGCCTTGAAAAAAGTTTAAAGGCTTACTACATTAAGCTATGATGCTAAAGTTTATATGTTATGATATTAGCTTGTGTTCTCTAACACCTTTGTAGAATCAAATTTATACGTATGTAAATTTGATCAGTTCTAGCCTTAATATTTCATGGAAATTTGATATTCTACAATTTAAAAAATTTATAATGGATCTTCTCTGTATATTTAAGAATGAAAGATCCGACCCCCTGATTGCTTTAAATGCTGAAATCTCAGCCATAAAGCTCATGATAGCAAAAGAGATGGAAGGTGAAAAAGTTTCTGCTGACGATGGAATTTGGGAATGCAGTATGTCTTCAGTTGGTGATGATGAGATCCCTAACATTAATGATCTTACGTTAGATTTATCCCGTCTACATCAAGCATTATTGAAATGGAAATCTTTAATTGATACGAAGCTCTACAAAGCTGAACACGAGATTCAAAGATTCAAACTAGAAAATGAACGTTTATCCGAAAGTTCTGATGCGCAACTAAAGCAGTTACTGGAGAAACATGAAAACTCGAGTGCTATAGCTTCCAAAGAAACTTCGTTGCAGATAAACGACATGCAAAACAAACTAAGGATTGCTGATATGTCGATCAAGGATTACCAAAGCAGTATAGAAAACTTGAAGAATGACCTTCAAAAGATGTCAATGCAACATAAGGACTCTCAAGCGACGATATTGGAATTAGAAAAACAGTTAAACAAATCACAAGGAGTTGTGAGTGATTTAGAGAATGACGTTATGAAATCAAAAGGAATTATTGAAACACAGACTATTGAATGTAAACGTTTAACTGGCGAATTAACCAGCTTTAAATCGGAAATCACGTCATTACATGAAAACGAGATTAATTATCGTAAGCGGTTGGAAGAAACAGAGTCACAACTCACAGTAAAAACTTTGGAGAAGAATAAAATACAGGAAGCGTTTGAGAGTGTAAATGGCTTGGTTTTTGCTTCTTTTGAAGATTTTGAAAATTTCTATAAATCTCAATTACTCGATAAAGAAAAAGGGTTGGAATTAAAGGAAGGGGAAAATAGAAAACTCTTACAACGCTTGAGTCAGTTGACCGAGGAAAATGAAACTCTCAAAAAGCAGATCACAAAAGAAGAGAATTTAGACACTATAGAAGAGCAAGTTAGCGGTTCTAAGGATCTTTGGAATGAAACGAACGACAAGTTGAATTATTGTTTGAAAACGATCACGCAGGTTGATTTGTACTTGTCAAATTGGCTTTCACTGTGGAAAAGTGATAATGTAGATGCTACGCTCGACAATGATGATATGGAGTGTAAACTAAACAAACTTGATGTTTATATTAAAAGTGACAAGGAAACTTTAAAGAATATGTTAAAAGAAAATAACAGACTTGATCTTGAATGTACAGCTGCTCATGAGAACAATTTAAGGTGAATTTTCTGTCTCATATTTTTTACTTCTTTTTATCAAGTTTTGGTTGAGCTAAAATCTCAACTACGTAAACCCATAAGTTGACTGAGTTAGAATCTAGACTAAAATCATGCTTCTACGTAATTTTGGCTTTCCTGGAATACAGACTAAACTTTGATTGACCTACATAGAATCTTTACTAAACTTGGTTTTACAGAGCATAGACTAGGAGAAATTCTTTGCTAAACCTTTGCTTTTAGTCAATGATGTCTTAGCTAGATGGAAGCTTTAGAATGACCACATCAAGCTTTAGAAAGTAAGTGGTTTAAACCCGGGAGTATCGTTACATGTTTGTGGATGTAGATCGTCCAGAGTAGTAGAGTCCTGAGAAGGACTGTTGTAGTTGATGTTGACTGAGGTTTCGACATCCTTAACGACTCTACTAACCTGGATGATCTACACATCCACAAACATTAAGTTTAAGAGGTGTGTCAATCATTCAATGTTAAGTTTTATTATCTTGTCCATGGTCATTGCTCTTTATCGCGTTTCAAAAGTCATAAAATGGTTGGGAATGACAGCAAGAAATATTTTCCCACATTTTACATCCAACATTTTTCTTTGATTGAGGTTTTTGAATCATTCATCGTTCAAACCTTGGACCCTCCATACATACGTTCAAACTAATATAGTTACGTATTGCCTTGCAAGTGTTTGTTCATCATTAATAAAAAAATACGCTGATTTTATAGACTTCTTCAACTCAATACAGAGTGCGAGGATGAAAAAGAAAACATTAGGGTATGTTATTTACCAGTGCTTTAATGGAACTTTCTCTTGATCACTGCTTAAATAATACTTTTGTTATGTAAGCATTTCTTTGTCTTGTATGTATCTTGTGCTTTAGTTGTGCATGCGCTTTCAACTCCATTTTAACAATTTTTGAAGCATGTGTTATTTAGCTATACTTTGCGTTTATTTAAAACTTCGTCACAATAATATTTCCATAAAGGAACTAAATTTTTGGCATTGCTTTATACGTATGCTACATTTCAAAATCAATATTTTTACAAGTATAAAATGATTGGAAGAATGTTGTTTGTGTATAGTTTACACATACACTAAATACTGCCATTATTTTTTGAACACCTTAAGAGAGAAAAGAGAGATATCGAAGATAAACTTAATGTTTTGGTGGAAGAAAAGAAGAAATTAAAGAAGACAGTTGATTCCTTACGCGAAGAAGCGTCTGCTTATGAGAACCTGAACGCGAAATTAGAAGAAGAAAGTTATTTAAAATTAGGGCTAGAAAACGAAATATCTGAGATTACCGAACTCTTGAAAAAGAAACAAACTGAACATGAAGATGCTTTGGTTGAAATTGACGCTTTGAAACTAAATGACGAAAAAGCAATACATAAATTACAGGATTTGGATGTTGAACGGATCAGATATAAAGACGAACTTGAGTTAGCAATAGCAAATTTAGATACAAGTAAAAAGAAATGCGATCAATTAGAAGACGTTGTAAACGAATCTCATTGCGAAGTAGAAACTCTGAAGGAACAATTGAAAGCGTATGAAGAAAAGCTTAGCAGTTTGAAATCAACTATGGAACAAGAAGTATCATCACTAAAATTCCAATTGAGTTCTGAAGCTCTTAAATATGATGAAGAGATAAAGGTGGATATTTTCATGAACACTGTTCATGTTTTGAATTTGTTCGATTTTTTTACATAAAAAGATGAGAGGATTAATGTGTGTAATGAGAGGATAAATAGATATACGTAGCTTGTCTTAGTGGCGTAATAATTCCTATTCATCCATTCATAGGATTTTTTAAAAGGTCAATTTTCAAGAAAATGCTCTATGTGAGGTTTTCAAAATTGTATGATTTATTGACATTATTGGTTTAGAATGGCTTAAAAGTTATTGTTTTATTCTCTTTCATTTCTGATTGCATAGCTATGCACGTGGACATTGTTATGTAATCAGAACAATAACCCACAGGACATTTGAAATGATCAATATTCCATACTGTCTTTACTGTTTCTTTTTATTGGGAATTTTTGAATCGAAATGAAATAGTACTTTATTCCTTATTGAGGGCCAACTGGGGATTTTCGTTTGCACATTGTGTCTTTTACATTCGCTTTTGGAATGCTAGTGGTTAGGGTATGGGTTAAGTAACTGTCTACAAATTGGGATTAGGGTTAGGGTTAGAGTTAGGTAACTGTTTACAATTTGGGATTAGGGTTGGAGTTAGGTAACTGTTTCCAATTTTATGCTAAATTTGTATACAGTTTGATTGTGTATTTTCAGAATGTTCACCTACGTATCAAAGAATTAGTATTTTCCAGGAGGGAATGCGTGAATATCTAGCTTCTTTATCGAATGTTACGGAATAAGGAGTTTGTGTACTAAGTGAGTCTTTTTTATTGTAGATGTTGTCTGAAGAGAAAAGAGAAGCTTTCTCTTTACGTAAAAAGATTGAGGAATATGAGGATGTCGTAACTGAACTGGAAAATACGTTGAAAGATCGAAATGAGACTTGGCAAGCAGAGAAGAAAAAAATGTCTAGTGATATAAAACTGTTGAAAAATGAGGTAAGTCATTCAGTTTAACATGCATGTATGACTGTGTTTTTATGCTAAATTTCTCCAGTTAATTTGACAAAGAAGATGAAGAGTAGTCAACTTTTGCATACCTTGTATTTTGATCCGTAACATCACCGCTGTTTTTGTTGTGATTTGATGAGAGAAACAGAGTCAAATCTGAACCCATCTTTTGCACAATTTATGCTAAAATCATATCTTGCAACCCATTAATAAAAATTGACTTTCATTTGCATACAGATGAAAAAATGTATTAAAATTAATGTGTGGGAAGCTCAGGCAAAGAAGGAAATTAAGTAAATTGATAAGACTTGTTTTAAAGTTGGTACGAATGACATGTCAAAGGAAAGTGTATGTTTGAAACTGCATTGAATTCCTTGCGATTTGTTACTAATTTTGAGATCAGTAATTTGCACGAATTATATTTGCCTGTAATATGTTCTACGTACAGTCATTTTATTTTTTTGATATTTTATTTTATGCGTTATCGGCTATTAAATCGTGTACTTGAAACCATACTGAACAAAGATTAATGTTAAAGAAACATTACATATTTTGATGGAGTGGGGAAAATTTTCTAACTGAGTCAATCCTTCAGAGATACTACTATCCTAGTATTTCATGGAATGCAAAAAAAATTTTCTCCGTGCATTACAACTATATTGTTACGACTATTACGATGGTGAGGTGTGAGTGTAACAAAAACCATAGCTTTTTATTCGCTCTTATGCTAGCTGATAGCCATTACAAAAATAAAAACGAAAATAGACATTTTTCACTGACAAACACACAAAAGATACTTAAAACTGTGTATTTCTAATTAATCTTAGCCATCATCAGCAGACTTTTGCATTTTTCATGTAAACGTTGTACCTTGAAACTCATTAATTTCAATTGTCTTTTTTGCGTACAGATGGAAGCAATGCATAAGAATTCGTATATTATATTGTGAAGTGAATGAAACTAAGACAGAATATGAAATTAATTCTGTTTATCACAGGAAAAGAGTAACAAACTGCTCAAACGAGTAAAACCGTGTCTCCTATGTCACGGCAGTGCTCACATGAACACATTGACATTGCAACTGTAAAAATGTCATTTTTATTTTCAAATTTTTATTTGTATATGTACGCATGCGTCATAAACATCACCTATTATGAACACGCTTGAAAATACCAATGAGAACAAACATGCGTGGCATTCGTTTAATTTCTTAAGCATTAAACCATTTTTGCTTCTTGAATGTATCCATTGTGTTGTTTAGTGTGCTGTTCAATACTTGATGTTATCACGTGTTGGTATTTAGTTCTGTATATAATATCATAATTATTTTTCTATTATAGATCAAAGTTTTAAATAACCATATTGACGAAGGTAAAAAAGATATACTGGCAATGGAAAATACTCTTGCCTTATCAAAAAAGAAATATGAAAAGGAACGAAACAAAAGTCTTGAATTTAAAAAGACTATCAAAGAAATACAGAATGAGAAAAGTGACAGAGAAAAGATTTTAGAGGAAGAGAAAAGTGAACTGGAAGAAGATATTAAGCTATTGAAAAGCAAGTTGGTTGCACTGTTAAGGTAAAGCTATTTACAAATAGTTGTTTTGTGAGATGATTAATCTTGTTTAATATTTTTTTATTTGTAAGCATGCTTGTCTGTTTTCGTCCGTAAAGTTGTACAAAATACGCAGATGAATGTACTGGGTCTGAATATTTACTTCAAAATCATCAATATCGTAACATATAATCCATTTTCACTTCTACAATTCCAAACTCTTATTTCTTGCTCGCTTAGGTTGGATTTAGTATAAGAATGATTTGTCCTCACGTAAAACATGTGCAAAAATTAAATTGAACGTTTAGGTGGCTTTTTGTAACCTGATCGCTTCATGTTTGCAATAAACACTTTTGTTTTTCAATACAAAATGACTTGTTTCATGTTTTCTTAACTCCTTTTTTTTGCAATTTAATAACTTAACAACTGGCCGGAAAAACTTTACTTATCAATCAATGCTATATCTCTAGTGATAAATCCGAACTTTGGAAGAAGTCGGCACAATTAGAGCATGATATGAAAAGGAGATTATCTGATTCTTGGGTTGAAGACAGAAATGCAACTCGTTGTTTCCAGTGTGAGACTGAGTTTACTTTGTTTTTAAGGAAGGTAAAGTAAACAGTTCTCATTATTTCTGCCCAATGGTAGCAAAGATTGTTGAATAAACCATGGTTTGTCACTTGCCAAAAATGTGTCAGATAACGTATCATGTCTGTCATGAATTGGGCCGTATATGGCTTATCTTTTTGGAAAGTATGTCTAGCTTTTGGATCATTTTTTGAACTGTTTTTCTCAGGCAAAAATTTTAAATGACAGCTATTCGTATTTGACATTGGTTGGATAGTCATTTATTTTTCTTCTGTTGCAGTACAAGAAAAAAATTATCGTTTATTCTGTATATCATGTAATAGAAAATGTACATGAAAATACATATTACATATAAAATGTAATAATAATGAAAAATGTGACACATAAAGAAAAAATATTATAATGTTGATGAAAGGTCTGTCCAATGACACCCCGATCTTACAATTACTATAAGGTTTATTTAATAATTTAAGTACATTTTGGAGATCAGTTTACGAACGATGGACGTATACGCAGCTTATTTACTCTATTATGGAACAACCTTGCAATTTTAGTATATTGTCAATATAAACTATATTTGTGTTGAGGAATCTTTTACGGCCTACTCTCAGCAAATTAATATAGATTATTCTCTAATCAAAAGTGTAAGTGAATACAAAACCGCTTTATATAGCTAAAACACAAGTTGTAAGTTGCTAACATAGAAATTAATAAATAATATCGCTCAGTTGATTTCTAGTGTAGCAAAGTAGAGTCACCAATAGCTGTTTGACGGAGTGCCCACCGATAGCTGTTTGACGGAGGGGCCCACCAATAGTTGTTTGACGGAGTGCCCACCGATAGCTGTTTGACGGAGGGGGCCCACCGATAGCTGTTTGACGGAGGGGGCCCACCGATAGCTGTTTGACGGAGGGGGCCCACCGATAGCTGTTTGACGGAGGCGGCCCACCAATAGTTGTTTGACGGAGTGCCCACCGATAGCTGTTTGACGGAGGGGGCCCACCGATAGCTGTTTGACGGAGGGGGCCCACCGATAGCTGTTTGACGGAGGGGGCCCACCGATAGCTGTTTGACGGAGGGGGCCCACCGATAGCTGTTTGACGGAGGGGGCCCACCGATAGCTATTTGACGGAGGGGGCCCACCGATAGCTGTTTGACGGAGGGGGCCCACCGATATTTGTTTGACGGAGGGGGCCCACCGATAGCTGTTTGACGGAGGGCCCACCGATAGCTGTTTGACGGAGGGGCCCACCAATAGTTGTTTGACGGAGTGCCCACCGATAGCTGTTTGACGGAGGGGGCCCACCGATAGCTGTTTGACGGAGGGGGCCCACCGATAGTTGTTTGACGGAGGGGGCCCACCGATAGCTGTTTGACGGAGGGGGCCCACCGATAGCTGTTTGACGGAGGGGGCCCACCAATAGTTGTTTGACGGAGTGCCCACCGATAGCTGTTTGACGGAGGGGGCCCACCAGCGATTGATTGACGGGGAGGGCCCACCAATGGTTGATTGAAGGGAGGGCCCCAGCGGTTGCGTTACCCCCTTGTCAATAAACCTCCAAGTAATGTAAATGTTACTGAACTTTGTTACATGTTTATATTTTAGCATCACTGTAGATTTTGTGGAAACGTTTTCTGTCACAATTGTTCGGATAATTATATCAAGACAATTCATAGCAGGTAAATTTTCTGCACCGTCATTCCATGATGTAAATTGCAGCATATGAAAAAAGTTATATTCTGCGGAGCTTGCACGTCATTTGCAGTCACGTTCTTTTGACTTTTGTTAGAAAACCGTATCGTGCATGTGCCTCGTGTTACAGAAAAGAAAAAGCGTTGAAGGCAGATCAATCCTTGCGCCGTACAAGTATCGATCAAGATGCAAGTAATCAAAGCATTAGCTCTCATGAAAGTGATAATGAGGAGATTTCTATTGCAACACCTAAGAAAGGCACAGCACATGAAAAAGCGTGGGAAAATTTACAAAAGACTTCGACCCCAGAGTTGACTCCAAGCGACGATATCCATGAAAGTTTTCAAATAATTGATGAAGAAGAAATAAGGGAAGCTTTTCTGCGTATCACTTTACAAAATAACGAAGAAAGCATTAAACATTCTTCAATCATAATACCCGATGAACCTGGATGTGAAAATTGGCATGAGGTAACACTACCTGCTGGAAAACGATACATTGTAAATGCTGAAACTTTAGCTGATTCTGAACTTATTGTTGAATTTACGTCGTCAGAGCAGGTATTAATACGTTTGTGTTAAAGCGGACCTCAAAAGATGTGCAGTTTTGTTTTTCATTCAACAAAGACACATCTCATGCAAGCTTCGGAGTATATAATTTACGCAGTCGAACAAAAGAATCTTTTATAATAACATATGGCCTTCAATAGATATGGAGCGTTTTCACTCATTCCTTTGAGTTCAACATGACAATGAAGGAAGCAGCCATATTAATTAAATAAATAAAATAATCACAAAAAACAAGGCGGCTATGACGCGAGGTGAAAACGCTCCACTATAGCATTTGAAATACTAAACAGTCGTACGAGCAAGCAAAATGACAAACATTATAGAGAAAACGCTTCTCATGTGAAAGTACCGCTTCTGAAAATGAATACAATCAAGATTTGAATATTTTCATAAGTGCCTTCGTGAATTAAGTATTTTTTTATTATTTTATTGCGTTTCCACCCTTTTCTAAGTTTTTTCAATGAATTTTTTTAGGCTATTCTTTTTGGTGCTTCACTTGAGGAAACAGAGAGCCAGGGCGAACCTAATGTGAGATTTTCATTTTGTTTTGTCGCATGAAATTATCTCGATTGTTTTACTTTTATTTTCAAATTCTTGATTTCAGAGTTTGAAAACGTTGATTCCTTTGTGTCAAGTGAATTCGCATGAAAGATGCGCAAAAAAGTATTTAAAAACATCAACGAGTGGCATTCTAATGCTACTCTTTGGTAACCAAGAATATCCAAAGTAAGTTATTCTTATCGGATGCTATTCAATTTTTCGATATATGTAGCTAATACTGTAACCTCTGGATCATGTTTACCAACTTTGAGACTTTAAGGGCTTTTTTGGTGACAAAAGTGCATGTGATAAAAGATAAGTTGGCAAATGACCTCTTGCCTTCAAACGCATGCCCAACCTTAGCAATCACATTTCAACCCTGCGCCCATAAGCCGCATAACCCTTGTAATCATTAATGGGAACGTTTTTATGATATTGTTTTATTCATTTGTATGTTTTTCTACTACAAAGAGAGGTTGGTGGGATCAGTAAGCAATAAACGTCTTGTTTGAACGCATGAAATCATGTTGATTTGATATGAAATGTTGCTGTCTATCAGGAAGCAAATTTTTATTCCACGATAATGATTTTACGTAAGGGAAAAACCTTTCCTTGTTTAGTCAAAGCACAAAAAATAACGTAAAAGATGGACGTTAATTTATAGAATGCTTTGTTTATCTATTTCTCGTAAAGTTAAGGTCATATTTTCTCTGATTTAATTCTGGAGCAATATTTTATATTTTAGATCATGTCAACAAAACCTGAAATTTCGGATCTGTCAAAAAGAAGCAAGTACAAAAAATGATAGCAATGTGAATTGTGTTTTATTCATTCAGACTTAGTACAGTACAAATTTGTTTGTACTTTTGTCAAAACATATGTACATACGTACGCACAACAGCATAGCCAGTCTGCATATCAGATAAATTTTTCTCAGTTCAAGAAAAAGACGAATAATAACCAACAATCTTCGTCTGAAAACATTCGACACTAATCTGGCCTAATCTAGTCAGCATACCGTTAATGCTCGTTTTAGTACCGCTCCCACTTAAGCACAGCTTTCGGTTAAGCGCCGCATTTAGAATCCAGAAAAGTTATTTAGCGCCGCTCCCTGTTAAGCGCCGCGTCTCAGATATTGATATAGTATAATTTTGGTAATAAAAGGATATATTTGGTTTTTGTTGCGCAATTATATGACATTATTTTTTGTATTGTATCAAGTAAATAGATTTTGTCTACTTGTTATTTTTGGGGTAATAAATATATTTTATGTGAGCCTTTAGTTGAAAATTATTTAATTAGCGCCGCTCCTCTTAAGCGCCTCTCCCGGATGAACGCCGCATTCAGAATCGGAAAATTAAATAAGCACCACCTCAGTGCTAAATCGAGCATTTACGGTAATATAGCAAAAATATTTGAATATTTATGCTCATAGAAGAAAAAAAACGTTTGCTATGCGAAACGAAGCATGAACGACCTCTGCATTGTATTTCGCACAACTTTTTTAGGCGCCTTTCACGCAGGCTAAGCATTATGCTACACTGCAAGAAAGTAGAATCCTTCGTTCTATACGACCACATTCAATTGATCTCTACATCAGGACTGGATGTAGTACAATAGTTGTATTTTCAGTAAGCACCCTTTTATGCACATATCCTGTATGAAGGGCTTTTAACAACATATCTCTCACCAGTAAAAAATCTTACATCTTTTAAAATAGAAGTGCAGCTGTACCAGAGAACGTTGACGCATTTAGAGTCAGTAAAAGTTTTTCATTATTTTACGCGCTTCTTTTTTGAACTTTACACAAAATTCAACTATTTTTTAAATCTGGTAGTTAGTCGTATATATTTTATGTTAAACATTAATCATTTAAGCTGCGTTCATGCAAGACTACTCGCAGCTGCAGGTACGCGTTGTGTACCTATTTTTATATTTGAAACCAACTATGTCTTAGCTATAGTCGAATGGAGAAACGTTATCAATGTTACCTGGTAGATGGTAAAAAGTTAGATAAACGCGATTCTCTTTCTGATCTACTCTAATTTAGAAATTGACTCTTTTTATACCTGCAACTCGATTTAAAATAATTGAGCAAGCGTCTTCTGCTCTTTATACAAATAAGATACTTTGAAGATTTTAATACCCTATTTATTGCATATTTCAGATTTTCAATAAATTATTTTGTTTTCTAATTTCCGTCATTTCATAGTGTATTCAACATGTTCATTATAGGGCAACGAGCCAATGAAAATGCACAATGTATGCAAGTTTCAATGTGACCAATGATAATGCGTTATCTAAATCTTTACGCTCTTACGTCATCAAGCAAGATAGTAACGAATGTTCTCAGACAAATATTCGTTATTCATCATTGTTTCTCAGGTTAATATTTGTTAAGAAATAAATAATGTCAATGATCTGAATTTACAAGCAGAATTAAAACATGCTTGGCCGGATTTAAGTCATGAAACAAGACAATTAAAACTGTGATATTTCGGTTTTGTTTCTGATGATAGTTTTGAAATAGAACCGAAATATCGCAGTTTTACTTGTTACATGTTTGTAAATGTAGATCGTCCAGGTTGGTATAGTCCTGAGAAGGACTGTTTTTGTTGTTGTTGACTGATGTTTCGACAACCTTAGCAGTAATCAACCTCAGAGTCATCTTAAGAGCGGTAGTCATTTTTTTTTCTTTTTCGACTCTGAAAATGACTACCGCTAAGGTTGTTAAAAAGTCAGTCAACAACAACAAAAACAGTCCTTCTCAGGGCTATACCAACCTGGACGATCTACATTTACAAACATGTAACGATACTCCCGGGTTCAAACCATTTACTTTAGATTTATTTGTCTGGTTTAATAACTTGAATTTAGGTTTACAAGATGTCCTTTTTCGGATTTTGCTTTATTTTATATCTCATGAAATTATCGTCTGGTCAAGGAATGCTTGGCTGGCTGCTCCTCTTTGTGCGTACGTACTTTGAAAATATTTTGGGGGATTATTATGCATTATCTTAGTATTTAACTTTAATTGGGGTATTTTTTCTCCCTGAAAAGATATTTGTACCAGTCAGTATATATCATTTCAGAGTTCTTACGACGACAAACTATTAGCTACTTAAAATCTTGAAAATATATCTTGAGATTTGTAATACATTTTGCTGTGAGACTGGAATTGAGCAGTAAGTGTCCCTCTTCCATTGACAAAAATTGCTTGATAACGTACATGAATTCCAATTGGGAGTCCGAAAGTCTGTAATCTAATCTCAATTACCTTCGTCACCCATCTACTTTGTCAGCATTTTCTAGTTATTTTTGTCACTCAACACCGTGAATTTTTTTTACAATGTTTTGCAAAATGTCTTGTTTTTTCAGAAGAGATTAAATGGTTTTTGAAATAAATAGTAGTCGTAACTGTCTAGCTTATTGCGACTTTTGCAGGATTTCTTCGTTTTCTTTCCTCAGCTCATGTTGATCTGCATGATGGTGTTCAACTTTATTCAAATCAGTGATTGCACAACACTCCTTTTTCCTTTTCAAAGGTGAAGTTCTAAAAATGTACTCAAGTAAAAAACACTAACAATTTTGATATATTTCAATTTTTTTCGGGTGAAGGAAATAAGGTTCCGGCGCATGGCTAGTTATTGGGTATGTCGAGTGCTCGTGATATTGCAGGGTCGCTGAGCCTGTTCGATAAAGTTTGCGAACCATTGCGAACATTATTTTTTGCAACATAACGTAAACTTAAAATATATAGGGATCAGTGGGATCAGGGATTAGGCGCTGGGATTAGACCATTGAGTTCTATAATAACTGGAGCGGCTATCTCAAGCGCGGCCTTAGATATCTGGTGACGCCAAAAAAATGGCGGATTTCGTCCGTTGCCGCTGAGATTTACCGAAATTGACCGCTTTTCCGAAAATTTCACAATTTCCTCCTGAGGAAAGAGTGAAGAAAATGTATGTGTATTTGGGATTCGGCAAGCAATTTTTGATGAAAATCACGATAAAAACCTACAATTCGTAACAGCGAGTCAACATAGCTTTCCAGTTATCGGCTCCTACGAGGATGTATTTATAACTATCGATGAAAGAGCTATATGTCGGCTACACATCTATGAATGCAGATATGCGTCGTTTTCTTACCAGCGTCAAACTTGTTTGATCGATTAAACTCTTTAGTCTATACAAAAAGTATATCATAGTTCATCTCCACAGTGGTTCACGAGAGATTAGCTTATTTTTATCATTGCTATTTTGCTTCTTTTTACTTGTTTCTTTAAAAAGTAAATATTAAATCTCTGGATATTTACGTATTTTCTGTAATTGAGTTTCATATTAAATTTCAAAAGACTCAAGTCTGCATAGGTTTGGTAAATGAAAACAAACAATATTGTATAGAAATTACTTTAAGTAACCTTTTGTGATGTTCTGAAGTGCAACTGCATCAAATACTTGTAAAGTTGTAGCACATTTTGATTTTGTTGTATTGATATATTTGGGCAAAATGCAAATAATCATCAAAACACTTATGCTTCCAATGGTGTTTATAATTCATTTTAGTTTTAATACTTCTACCCTTATTTTCACTTTGTTTTGTTTTCCTATATTTTCAATATAAGTGCACAATTTGAATGATTAAAACAGTTTTCACTTCAATAATAAATTTCATAAGCAGTTGTAGTGCATTTTGTTCTCTGAGTATCCACATTTGGTGTTTTCTTCATACATGAATGATGAAATGCATATGGATATGTCATAACAAGGCAATAAAACCAAATGAATTAAATACCTATAGTGTACTTTTATGCTAGAAGCTTAACAGCTTTCTAGAAATTATAAAGTTATTGGATTATATTACCTCTATATCATCAATCTCATGAAAAGAAATAAGAAGCAAAATATTTGTAGAAAAGCTTTGAAAAGTGAAAACATTTATTTAAAAAGCAGCAATGATGCATATGATAAATCCCATTCTGTACTCTAATAGGTAAATAAGCTCAAACTGTTTCTTAAAGAAATATAAGAAATATAAGAAATATACAGTACAGTAAATTTAAAGGTTTCATCACTGAATCTTTAATGCTTCAGTATAGTGCATTAGATATTAGTAACATTTAAACAACACTCAACTAAAATATTTTGATAAAGATATGCCATGATTTAAACATTATGTTATATAAAACCCAATGGCTTATTCAGTTTAATGCTTCACATCTGCATCAAGTCATCATCAATCTCAGTACAAATGTTTACATAGACACAAACTTTATGGCCTTTCCATTTTATATGTTGTGAATTGACATTTAATTAAGCATCAAAACACACAACCTTCTTGCCATCTTTTTTTGGTTCATGAACTTCAACTTCAAAGCATTCAAGGCATCATTAGTGAATCCATTGTCTCCATCCATAGAATTTGACCATGATCAAATTAAATAACTCTGGATAAGGCAGACAATAAATCAATTATCTTTACAGCATTATCATTTTTTGACTTGCCTGATCAATAACATCTTCCAGTCATCTTTAATGTTGTCAGCAAATACAACATAACAAGCAAATCATCCTGATCAATACTTTATGTCAAGTCAGTTAATTGGCGCTTGTCGGTCCAAAGGTGAATGTTAAAAATGTATATAGGGAAATGCAACGCTGAGCAATTTAAGTTCTTGGGACTAAAAGTGCATCCAATTTGAACAAAAAATATTTTATGGCAATCATGTTTTTGACCATGCGATCGTTAGGTCTTTAGAGCTCAATGGTTATTATAGAACTCAATGGATTAGGCCGATCAGCATCAGTTTAATGGCGTTCAAGGTGAGTGGATAGTGTGGAATCTAGGCAGGATGATATTCTTGTCTTAAAGTCTTAAATAATTCACTCCTACTGATATTTGTATAAATTATGGATGATGAAGAATCAGAGCGTCGTCGAAAGTTAAAAGCTGGGCGTGAAAAGGTGAGAGTATTGAGTGTTCTCACTATCTACGTGTACATATATTGTTCACACTAAGGTAGCCATGACCTTAACGACCAGAAAATTATCTTCTTTGTTGTGGTTATAATCTACTTTTACATGTCCTCAGCTTCTCCAATTTCAACAAAAGAAAAGTGCTGGAAAAAAGAAGAAGAAAGCTTCAAGTAAGCATTCTAAAAGTGAGCTTGATCAGCCAAATACGACTGAAATTGGCGGGAAGTCGACCGTCGATGAAGAACTAGAAATCGCTGACGTCAGGAGTGTTTCTGGTGCAACTGCAACAGACAAAGATGTTTCATCTATTACATCAGAGATGGAAGAAGAATTGCAAAATATATCACAGGTGACTATGTTGAAAACAATGCAGTTATTGTTGCGATAATTTTTCTCTTTTAGTGCAGAGTTATGGAAATAAATGTCTTTGTGGTCTATGCGGTTTTCAAAACAGATTTTGTCACATTTTTTATGTTGTGTATTCACAGGAATGGATGATATAATTTGTAGACCCAGGGCACAAAATAATATCCAACCAAGACAAACATTTGTCTTGCCAAACTTTTGCATGGTCAGTCATTGTGACTACCACTTTGTCTGAAATCAGCAAGAAAACTTTAGTTTCAAAAACTAAATGCACAATGAGGGGAAAATGGCTTAGTCGGTCATTTGATTGGTTATATTTTCGTGTTGTTATTTTGTAACCTTGAGACCATTTGCAGAGGTTGCCTCTACAAACCAAAAACCAGAGTATAACCACCTGTTATACTTTTTGTTGAAAAGTAACCACTAAAAACTGGCAATACCATGAGTCCTTTTTGATGATTGTGCATTAAGAAAGTACAAACCCGTGTTTAGCTACCACTATTTTTTTTGAATGATCATATTTGACAGGTCGTCACTCAGGTATAAGAAAGTGATGTGTTGAATTGTCAAATGATTAGATTTCTTCACCAAATTCTTATAAACCATGCACTTACTTGATCATAAAACTTTTGTGAGAAAAGGAGAAATACTTGGAAAAGCAACTACGTATCTTTACTTTTGTGCATCGAAGATCAATGAAAGGGGAATCTCAACCAAAACGTTTGCTGTTTGTTAAATTAATTCTATATTACACTCAGCAAAATTTTGGCAAAGGAAACTTTTGCTCAGTTTTTTAACTTTTATACTGATTGAATTACTTTTACTACATTGCATGTTCATATCTAATGTGGAATGTATGCCATATTTAGTAATAAAACTATATGCATGCCAATAAACAAGAAAATGAGGATTTATATCAGAAATCAGAAAATGTGATTGACTCATTTTGACTGAAAGACAGTTTTTGTAAGTAAATGGAATTCTATTTAAAGACCTTAGTTGAAAGAAATGTGAATAAATACTTATGTACTTTAGTACCTTTGCTATGATTGGCCACATTTGACTTGTGTCTTATGGTTAATGAAGGCCACTGAAGTCTACTTTACAGTTGTTGAAGAAATATGAGTTGATATTTACAAATTTTCACAAAATAAGTAGTTGTCTGGGTTACAATTATGTTTTTTCAAGTATTTTACTAGTGTTTTACTATGTTTTCAATTGACATCAAATTGCTATAAAAGTTCTTGTCAAGTTTTTGTGTGCTCAAGACTTCCCAAAACCTTTCTTTTTAGGAAGCACAGTTTTATCAGAGTGGTGGAGAAAGTACTGGGGCTAGTTATGCAAGTGAAAGTTATACAAGTGGTGAAGAGTCCTACTCTATTGAGGTATGTACATACGTATGTATGTAGTAATCTGGGATGATTTTGAAAACAACTCATACCTCAATGAATAGAACAGCAACATGTTTTGAAATATGCAGTATTGTCAGTACCATTTATTGTCAAAAACTAGCTAATACCTCACATACAAATAAAAAGGAGACTTTGGCTTATACTAAACTGTGCAAGTTTCCTGCATCTCTTCATCAAATTCATAATTGAGTTTGTACCACAATTGTATCATTTTCATTTTTTTAAAAAAGCAATAAAACCAACTGAACTGAGGTTTTCCCTTTCAAAACACTTGAAACCAAAAGCCTAAAATTGAATTTCTGTAACTGCACAGCTCTTCTAGTAGAATCACTAAATTCATTTCAACAACTAATTAATAAATGTTTGTTTCTTTTTAACTATTATATAGGATGGGGAGTTGATGATCTTGTTATTGCAAACTTAGAGAGGAATGAATTGAAAAATCGAACTCTTGAGCTGGAAGAAGAATTGGCTGCTAAGAAAATTGCTCTGAAAGATATCAGTAATGAAAACACAGAACTGAAATCTAAAATTGAAAATTTTCTCAAACCAGGTTTCAAGGATACTCATGCTACATCAATGTTTAATTTGAATGAGAAGATAAGCTCTCTAGAAAAATTGATAAGTGAAAGAGACTTTTTGTTGAAAGAACTGAAAGAAGAAAATGAAGAACTTAGGATTCGAAACAAAGAAATGTCTGAATCATTGCTAGTTGAAGAATTACAAAAACAGTTGAATTTTCAACAAGTAACTTTGAATGAACTTAATGAACAAAACCAAGGACTTTTACTACAAGTTCAACAACTACAGTCAAAGCTCGCTCAAGATGATCTTGCTACAGAAATTGATTCCAAAGCCCAAGATCTTTCAATAGAGCAGTTGAATGAGGAGAATGAACACCAAAAAGCCATCATAAAATCTTTGGAAGAAGCCATAAGTCAGAATAAAGCACAACTACAAGAATATCACAAAGCATTGCACTTAAAAGATCAGGAATTGCAACAGGTTGCCAATTCCTGGAAAGGCTATCTTTCACAGAATGTTGCAAAATATAATGAGCAATTGACTCAAAAAGATCAACAAGTAAGTAAACTGTTATTAAGAGATGTTTACAAATTGCTAAGAATATTACTAATGTTTGAGTGGTATCTACAAATTTACTGTGCTAACATTTTTGTGCAGGAATGTTCAGAAAGGCAATTGCTTCTTAGAGCAGGCAAATCACTTACATTGCTTCAGAAAACAATTAGAAAATATTCTAAATCATTTGCTATTTCTTGTTTACTTACATAAATGATCAATGCCATGCAATTCTAGCTGAACGACGCTTCTAATGAAATTACTAAACTGCAAAGTTTATTGAATGAGAAAAGTTTGGGAAACGATAAGGTCGACCAGATGCAGGCTAAATTGGAACAGGAGCAAAAAGAGGTAGTTAAATATGACACATGGTATCTTGAAAATAATTCTTTCATCGTCATGATTTATGTGTGTGCATGGTTGGGAATACTGAGAGCATGTACTCATTCTTGAATAACTAAAAAAAAGGGGAGAGAATGAGATAATATTGTATGAGAGACGTTATGAACATTGTGCTACGTTTGTTATAAACGTTTCGTGTATCCTTTAATTGTTGTTTTAGTGGCATTATGTTCATAATTTGATTCGTGTGAAAAAAATTCTTCGTAGGTTTCTTTACTGAAAGCGCACATTGAAACTCAAACAGAACAGTTAGTCATGATGCAAGAGTCCTTGAACGACAGCAATATTTTACATAAAGACAAAGATGACCAGATTTCGACCTTGCAGCAACAGGCGGATTCTTTATCACAAAACATTGCGGATATGAGCAGCAATTCTCAAACAATTGCACAACAAATGATTGAGTTACGCAGTGTATTAGACGATCGCAATGAAAGGATTGCAGCTATGGAACATAACCTTAATGAAGTTGAAGATGAAAAAGAACTGTTGAAGACCCAGCTGAGAGAACAGACCGAAGATTTACTGAATCAAGTGAAAGTTTTACGAACTCAACTTCAAGAGGTAAGCATGAGCAAGCAGAGAAGGTTGTGTTACCCTTAATCTTTTTGCTGCAGTTGAAAAGTCTCTTGGAAACATGACTAAGTTAATGATGATAATCTTTTATTTTTAGAGTAATACCAAAGTCCTTGAACAAACTGCTGACATGGAAAGTTCTTTCTCCGAGTTGTATGCGACTAACAATATGATCAAAGATCTTCAGAATCAAATCCGTGATAAAGATATGGCTCTAGAAGACGCAGACCGTAAACTGCAGAGCACCGAGGAGATACTGCAAGAGCTTCAACGGAAATTTGTTGAGGAAAAGGAAAGACTTCAGATTGAATTAAACGAAAAGGATGAGCTTTTCGAAAAATCTAAGTTAGCATTGTTGGAGGAATTGAAAAGTGAAAAATCTTCAGCGGAAGAATACCATTCGAAAGTCATAGATCTGTCTGCTCAAGTACAAAGTTACCAAGAGCGAGATACGCAAATCACCGATGAAATTTCTCGAAAGGATAGTATCGTGGAAGACTTAAGGCAACGTCTTGATGAGACAAAACAAAACAGCCGATATGAAATGGAAAGCTTAAAACTTGAACTCGAAAATGTTAAAGAGAAAAACAAGGAGATAAAGTCTGAGTTTGAGGGGCAGATGAACGAAGCATCTCGTAGCTATCAAGAAGAGCTTAAACAGTTGCAAGATAGTCTGGACGAAAGAGAAAATATGATAAATGCTTTGAAGGTTAAGATTGAGCAATGTAACTTTACGATATCTAATGCTGAGCTTGGACAAAAAGAAGCAGTTGAAAGAGTTAGCGAATTGGAAGCAATATTTCATGGTGCCCAACAAAAGCATGATGAGGAAATACTTCAATTGAAACAAACTGTGGAGAGACAAAACATCTCTAAGATAGAACGAGAGGAACAATTTCAAAATGAAATGAAAGTTTTAAAAGAAAAACATGCTCAAGAGTTGACTGATATGGAAAGTGAACTTTTTAATGTGAAAACATCATTCCTTACTGATCAAAATCGGCTTCAAAATGAAATAGAAACAATCAAAAAACAGTACGCTGATGAAATGGCTACGATGAATCAACTGAACAGTGACTTAACTGCACAAATATCAGGGGAATCTAATTATTGTAATGTCAAGGAAGCACTTCAACATCAGCTTGAAAAAAAAGAAAAGATCGTTAACTTATCGGAATCGTTAGCATTAGAACAGGAAAAACTTATAGCAGAAGGCATTGAAACAAAGAATGAACTTAATGTTATTCAAAGTGATTGTGATGATGTTGATGAACTGCATAAAAAAATAAAAACACTCGGCGAAAACTTGGCAAAAGCACTGGAACGTGAAAATCGTTTGATAAAAGAGAAAGAGGATTTAGCCGTCTTATATCAACAAATTGAAGAAACAAATGGACAAAAGATTCAAGAGGCTGAGTTTAAATATGACAAAATGAACGAAATTCTTAGAGATAAGCTGGAACTGTCTGAAAAATACTGAAGCTTTGCAAGCAGAAATTAATCAAATACATGAAAATTTGCAATCTAAAGAGAACGAACTTGATGTTTTGAAAAACAGCAGTCAATTATTGGAAGAAAGCAGTGTTTTAATGAAGGAAAAATGTGGTGAAGTAGAATTATTACTTGAAGAAACTAAACGAAAGATGAAAGATAACCAGAATGAGCATAATGCGAAAGTTAAAGAGCTAGAGATAAAGTTGCTAGAATATCAACAGAATTATGAAGGAGTACTGTCTCAGAAACATGAAATTGAGGAACGTATGAAAGAGGAAAAACAAGCTTACGAAAATCGAATACAAAATTATGATGATAAATTTAATGAATTAGATTATGTTAGAAAGGAGAAGGAAGATATATTTGATAAACTTGGAAAAGCCGAAGAAGAATTGGCTGTTCAAAAAGAAAAGTATGAAAGTGAACTCTCAGACCTCCGTGAAAAATTGCGCGAAGTAGAAGCTAAGCAATTGCATACAAGTGAAGTTCAGAAAATGCACGATAATTTATCTCGTGAATATGAGAAAAATAGTTCATATCTGATGGAGAGAGTCGACACACTCGAACAAAGTCAAACAAAGATTATTTTCGAGAAGGAAGCATTGCAAGAGATGTTTGATAAGTCTCAGTCAGAGCTAAATGAATTAAAGGAAGAACACGAGATTGAAGTACAACAAATGGACGAACAACTTGAGCAAACTCGGAAGGTAATTGAAGTGTTGAAAGCGGAAAATGAGGCTAAAATTCTCAAACTTACAAATAATTTACGTGAAACGGAGAATCAAAATGAAGAAATGCTTCATGCTACACAACGAGAACTACAAATCATAAAACATGAACTTGAAAATCGATGAATGAAAACGAACTTCTTCGCCAACAATTGACTACCTTAACTAATGAAAATGCGAAGCTAATTAGCAAAGAAAGGGATTTGAACTCGAATAATTTTGGCAAGCAACCAATTATCAAGGAAAGCATTGTGGTGACTGATGAATGGAGAGAGGTTCAAGGAGAGACAGGTAAACGTATTGCTTTTACTTGCCATTTTATCATCTCATAACGATTTTTCTTGTTATCTTTGATTTCAGTCACAAGAATGTATGTTTTAATTTTATGGTCGTGGACAAAAAAAGTGTCATATCATTCAACAAAGTTTAGAATGTATCATGTAAAATAGCTTTTTGATGCATTCAGACTCTTTTATCACTACCTGAAAAAATTAAGTTCCTTTTTTCATCACGCTGAAGTCTTACGTAGCTTGTGACAATCTTGTAACTTTATGATTATCTTCCTGCTTTGTCTAATGTTACATATTGAAGATAATCCTATGGAAGGTCATTGCAAAGGCCAGTAGCATTGTTGTTAAGCGATCTTTTGGATTTTGGTATTTTTAGATGATAGCTGGGACTGGCCTGTTGACGATTTGCCTCGTGAATCAAAAAAGTTGAATGAACCTGCTCAATTAACATCAATCGACGAAATGGAATCCATCAAAAGAATCACGGTATTACAAGAGAAGCTGGCTGAAAAAGAGAGGAGCGAAATGCAACTTATTGAGGAAAAAAACAAACTCCTGAGGCTTGTTAAAGAATACAACGATTCTTTGGCGAATGAAAGAGACTCCCTTAAAACAAAGATTGTTGACCAAGATGAAACAATACAGGTGCAAAACTTATGTCTTTTTTATAGATGTTAGTAACTGCATTACATTTTGAAATTATTTACTCAATGCTCAAACAATGTACTGTTTATGCTATCTATCAGTGTTGCTTTTCAGCATGATAATTATGATGGTTGATGATTATGATTCTATCACGGTTGCCAGTGAGTAGTAGATAAGCTACGTAATAGTCTCATAAATCTAGCTATCTATGTCCATCCGAAATGAATTAAAATATAATAACATGAGGGTGGAAAATAGAGCTCAATTAGACTATATATCAATGATTTGGCTTATGTAATCCCAGCAAATCCTAGTAAGTGAGCCGTGGACTACATCGTGGAATTTCTAGTTTTTCTCTTTTACAAAATGTTCAAAATTTATGTGTCGTAGTTCATGTAGTTGGTTTGCTTCAGCCTTTTGCCTTCTAGGCTACCAAAGATTAAAAATAAACTTTAACGTTCTCTCTTAATGTTTAGAAATTGCAAGAGCAACTTTCCATGTCTGAAATTGTGTCTACTGATCTTCAACAAGAATTTACTCAACAACTTATCGTTCTCGAAAAACAACGCGATTCTCTGTTAAACAAATTGAATGAACAACAAAAAGAACGAAGTACATTTGTCGACATCCTCGAAGAAAAACACTCTTTGGAGGAAAATTTGAGATCTGAGAAAGAGCAGCTTGCTGACAAACTTCGACAGAAAGAAGTTTTGGAGAAACAACTGGACGATGAACGAGCTGCTTTACAGGAACAACTTATTCGACAAGCTAGACTAAATGAAATCATTCGTGAGAAGGATGTATTAGAACAAGAACTCACTGAACAAAAGAATCAATTGCAGGTTTGTTGTATGTTGCGTAAAATTTGCCACACTAGTCGTGGGCGATGCACCGTAGATCTTCATAAAGCTATTAAATAATTAGTTTGGCCATAGACAAGCATATTCTTGTTGACAAGTTTCACTTGCTCGTGTGTTTGAAAGGTTTGCTTGCTTAACTATTACGTGTGAAAACTTCTCAATTGAAAAAAATTGTCGTCTATACGATAGCAAATAAATAAGTTCTCTTTTTTTCATCGAACTTTACAGCTTTGCTTTGCATGGCAATGCCAAATGTGAGATTTCCCGCTTATACGGGATGGTCTTATAAAGTTTGTCAACGCACTGCTACATAATTCGTCGTTAATTTTTGTGCAATGATTTTGTGTTCTCTCGTATGAAAGTTTTATTGGGTGGATTATATTCAACGACTTACTATGATTAGCATTAAGTTTTGTGGTGTATCCATTGGAAATGGGTAATGCTCGAGAAAGATTGAGAAAGAGGTTGTTAAAAATTGTTATAATGTTTGTAACTATGTATGTTTTGGTAAACTTGAACTATCTTTATATCGCTTGGTTAAAGCATGGGAAATGGAAAAATTTTAACGTAAAACGGTTGTTCGTATTTTTGCTTTCAGCTTGAACTAAGTGCTATCGAGGACAGTCTTCTCGCAAAGCAACAACGTCTTGAAAGAGAAAAAGATACTCTACGTCAGGAGTTATTTAATAAAGAATCCGAAATGGAAGTTTGGAAAGATGACTTGACTACTAAAGAGGAGAAGGAGCGAGAAGAACGTGAACAGCTTGAAAAACATTTCACAGAAACATTGCTGACAACCCGTAGTGAACTAGAGAACACTTATCAACTGAATCTAGAACATTTGAAAACGGAACTTGAAGATAACTTTAAACATCGTTTGTTTGATATTGAAGAGGATCTTCAAGTCCAACACCAGCAAGAGATAGCAAGTTTAAGTCAACAACATGAGCAACAGGTGTCGTTTTAGATTTCCTTTTGTATTATTTATTGTGTAAAATCTCCCAGGGGTTGTAGGACTATACGATACGAAGCTGTTAGATGCGCTGTTTTAAGTATGCTTGAACGTAGATAAGAGAAGTGTTGCCAATATGGCGGTTAAAGTGAATTTCCACAAGCAATTTTGATTTTCGCAAAACTGGTAGATTTATTATAGTTTTATTTCATTTACAAAAATATTTTTCTCGTCACCAAACAATTATATCTACGTTTCAACTTCTGCCTGGTGGAAACTCAGCTTTTCCGTGGCACTTTTTAATTTTGTGGTTCACATTACGCTTCCACTATTGTTAAAGACATCATTTGATTTAAATGTGAAAAAAATTAACCTGGATGTGCCATTATCCTGGTAGATAGTGGTAATTTTGTAAGATCCCAATTTAAAAGTTTTATAAATTTCGTGGAAGACATAATTGATAGTATTATATAATGGCCTACATACGTAACGATAATCAATAAATTTTTCATTGTCATAGATGAATAAAAGATAGTTTTGTTTTATAAAGTCATTAATTACTAAACGTAATGAAGTAAAAAAAAAACTAAACACTAAAGATTACTCCATAACATTATCACGTGGTCCTAAATTTTATAATCTACTCTGAATGCTGTTTTAACATGCAATGAATAACACATAAATTGCATTGTATACAGTGTGGGTTGAAAATATGCTGAAATGAAAATGTGATTAAAGTATTTATGATAGTAAATCTTACCATGTTTTCTGATTTCATTGTAAAGGAAATTTAACATGACTTATATCTTTTTCAATAGAATTGTGTTATTTTATTACGTTTTGAAGATACGTAACTTTTCTTCAATATGCATACAAATGACATCGTTTTGACATCACATTGCATCACTAGTTTTATGAAATAGTAGTTTTTGTCGACAGTTTGCATTAAAATATCAAAGTTTTCCACCTTTATAAATATCTATCATCTATTCATTAAGCTTTTGTATTTGCTTACAAAACGTTCTAACGATGGGGAAAATTGATGATCTTTGAAATGTTGTTATGCTCTGTAGTGTCATAACGAAGTTATTTCCGTAATGAATAAAGTTAAACATCTCTACAAAAATGGAAAATAAGTCAATTCTACTGAAGATGTTTTATAAAGTCATTTTACATGTTCTTTACGATATAATCAGACAAATTCTTGATAAAATTTCCCGTCATAAACACTTTCAACAAATGTGAAAAGTGAATCGGGTTTCTATGCATGACGGCAATATGAATAAATAGAACATACATTTAGAGCTTCATAGAGTGCGCGTTTATCACCACTGATGATCACGTGATGTAAACATTTTGCCACTACTTATAGCTGAACCTATAACCCATCATTGGAATTTGCTCAATATTTACTGCACTGTCGTAATATGCGTATTTATACTCTTGGAGATGTATATGTGTCATTTAATGATTTGCTTGTTCATTTTACTGTCCAATTAGTTTTTACTGCAACTTTGCTAAAACCATGCCAATTATTATGCGAATGCGTCATTTGCATTTACTCAGTCTAATGTTATTTAAGCCAAAATTACCTGTTTGTAATCTTTTAGTAGTGTGGAAGACAGTCTGGGTGAATGAGAAAATTATACAATGACTATGAATCTTGTGCTGGTCATTTACTAATTTTCACTAATCGTCGTTTACTAATTTTATCAAAACTACGTACACTATTTACATTTCCTAATCAGTTTCTAATTCCACTGTGTTGCTGTGTCGTGTCCTTTTGTCTGTCATTTTTTTGCACTCTCGCTTATGGCATTCTCTCTTATGGCATTCCATTTTGTTGAGAATCGTTGAAACTTGGAGAGCGTGAAAACGTCACAAATAATATTTTACTGAAGTTGGAGACTCTCCCAATGTTGATAACTTTATATTTTGTCAGATGGAGAAAGCCTTTGTTTAATAAAGAATTTTTCATTAAGAATGACTGTAAAACAACCCTTTTTGGACTCAACGCATATGTAGGAATTACAGACTTTGGTGACGCTTCTCATATCAGTTGAAACAAATTGAACTAAACCATACATAGTGTTTGTTCAGAGCGCTTTCCGAAATGAAACGCATTTTTGGAACGTAAATATTTTTTAAATAATTTTAAAATTTGTCAATTATTCGTTTTGAAAAATACGCTACTAATATTTGTATACTTGTTCTTTTTCATCTAGTATTGGCAAAAATGTATTTTTTGTGTAATTATATACATCAATAAAATATTTCATCGTATTCCTTACACTTGTTTTTCCTACGTTGTACATATTCTCATGCATTCAGACTGTACTTCTAACTTATTGCGGAAACGATCATTTCTAGTTTAGTTGGGAATCTAGAATATCTATCTAACGTTAATAATCGAACTTCAAGCGTCATTAAATTTCGTGTTAAATTCTGAGCGTATTAAAAGCATAAAATTATAAATTTTATTGGTAATTAACAACTTTTTGGAGACGTCCATTTGTTTTCATTTATATGCTAATTGTCATAAATTTGATAAAAATTCATGCCAATTTCCGATGTTTTTCCGAAATTCGTTTTGTTTCTCAATAAACTTCCTTTTGTATAACATGGAAATTGAATGAACGCTTCATCTCAATTTAATAAAGCCATTGTGGACCTCTGTTTTTCTGATATATGTATATCCCCATGTAAATTAGGTTTAAAACTTCCCGCTTCAGATTGGCATGTGGTATGAACTGGCAATGTGGCTTCTGCAATCAGTATCTGAACGGGAGTGTTTCCAGGTCAGCCTTTTTAGACGTGTGGTATGTTAAGCCATTCTAGAAATGAAAACTGTAGAAATACAATCATTGGCATTGTTATCAGGGCAACCAATTGAAAGTGCCTGTCTGCATGGAAACAATTTTTACATGCCCAAAGGGAATGTTCTTTGAATATGGGAATACTCATAGAATACCAGTATTTTAATTTTCGAATACTTGCTTTCTACCGCCGCGCCTACAGCATCTAATTATTCAACTACCTTACCGATACGAGACGAATTTTACCAATCTTAGATGTTGAAAACATATGGGTAGGAACTTTATCACAAACTATCAGTGACTATCAAAAACTTTTTGCTTTCTATTTTGTTCAGCTTGTGCTTTTCTTCATTTATTCAAATGAACAAGTACACGCTTCTCATGAATATATTAATAACATAACATTTCCAATTACAAACGCAGCATTCGACGTTAATAAAGTATGAAACCGCAAGTTGGCGATTGTAGATATGCACTGGATTTGTCCTTATTCTAGACGTGTTTATTAATGTGTGACACATCTATCTCAAAAATATTGTCAGGTTTGGTTTTGTAAATGTTCAGAAAAGTTGGATATTACTAACGACTGTATTAATCGCAGACATGTGTTCAGTAGTTGATATTGCTGTGCTTTTTTTCATTTGGCATTTTCATTTATTTTTAACATTAAATCGCTCGGGGTTTCATTAGAAGAAAGTAGCTGTAGAAATACTTGTCATGTCACTGTAGATTATTTTCTGAAAAACGGACGACAGTCAATTTATAACAAAATTTATCTCAATGCATCTGCATTTGTTGTGATCTGCTTCGGTTAATTTACATTTACATATTTACAAGGGATTTGGGGCATGGTTTTCTCCGAAGCATGTTTTCTCCAATGTGGGCTATTCAATTTTAACTCATCCAACTGCTATAGGTTGCTGGTGTAAAGGCAGAATATGAGGAAAAGATTGAAAATTTGAAACACATCCTGGAGGAACAACGGCAGAAACAAGTGGAAACAATGAAGAACGTATTAGAGCGTGATCATGATACTGAGGTTGAACATCTTATGAACGACCATGATAATGATTTGGAAAAACTAAGACAAGGTTTGTGTCTTTAAAGTGTATTTATATCAAATTAAACCTAGTTAACTTCATGAGATCATGTACTAAAGTCTCTCGTATTTTGAAAGCATCCTGTTGTTTGTCATTGGTGCACTTAAGAACACATCGTTTGTATTAGGTCCTTTAGTTTTATTTAGTGTTTAAATATGACCGTCTGTATTGGAGATCAGTCACTGGCCTTCTGGTGCTAGCATGCAAACACAAGAAAACTGCATAGTTGTACGTGACGTAGAGGGGGCAGGGGGAGCAGCTGCCCCCTAATTTTGAAATTAAAAATTTGAGCAAATTTTTGACTTGGGTTAAGCGGAAAATATGGGGAAGAAAGTATGACGTGTTTTGAAGTCAAGAAATGCAGTAGTTCATTGTGAGTTGGGAAAATGTTTACTCCCCCTGACCGAATATCTGAGACTATGCTTGAAATTATATGCGTGATTAAAAATAACCATTAGTATATGAAATCTAACTGCTGACAAATTTAGCAAAACTTTTTTTCGATTCCGTAGTCGAAATTGGTGTGCCGTTATATTGCTGCGTTTTGTGAACTTTATTCATGAATTTTTTGCAGAGTTGAATGTACGTCATCAAGACATAGTAAACGCTATCGTGACAAGGCTAAAGGAAATTCATATTCAGGAAATGGAAGAATGTATGGCCAAGGCCATCACTGATACAGTGTTGAAGGTTGAAGTTGTCCGGCTGGAAGTGGAAAGTGAATTCGAAAGAAAATTTTCTGAACTTTATCAGAACTCAGAAAATGAAATTAACATGGTTAAGAAGATGAACGAAGAAGAGATAAGGAATTTAGAAGAAATGTACAATAAGGAAATAAAACAAAGAGAAGAAGCTGAAAATCAACTTAAAAATATTTCGTTCGAACTACGGGAACAACACGAGAAAAACTTAGCTGAGCAAATCGCAGCAATACAAGAACGTCTTAAAATAGAACACGAAGAGAGTATAGAACAATCGAAAAAGGTAAGTTTTATTGAATCTGGTTATTCGATTGTACTACAGTGAAGTGAAGTGAAACTTTTCAATTTAGCGGAATTATACATTATATGTTACTAATGTATTATGTCTACGACTGACAGGTGATCACAAATCAGTTATCCCCAAGCGAAAATCAATTATAATCAATTATGACATTCATGTCCTTATTTTGTTTAAAAAAGTCTCAATTATAATCAATTATGACATTCATATCCTTATTTTGTTTAAAATAGTCCGTGTTTAGTGTTGCAACATTAACATAAAAGGCAGGAATCTCCAAGCTGAAGAAATTGTTTTCGTTCATTTGTAGCTAAAACTAAGCAGCAAACTTGTATAAATTACATTAACTATATGAATGTTTGTGAAGTTTAATTATACACGATGTATCAACAAAAAGAAGACCTTTAGGAATTGACATATTGTGATAATTTTCATGTGTATCACTGTACTGAGCCCACGGGTGTATAAAGTATTGTCAGCAACGTGCATATATTACACGTCTTTGTTGCAATCACAAAAGCCTTTCTGCTGCTGGGAATTTAACATAAGTTCTAACGTCAAACTATGCACAGTAATTCTCTAGTGGCATATAGTGTCAGGCATTAAAATTTTACAATAGGTTAAATACACCTTTTTTTTCATACACCCTGTATGGCATTGCATATATTTTATTTTTTTATATATCAGGATATTGAAAAGGAGTATGAACATCAAATGGAAATATTACAAAATGAACTTGAAAAGAAATACGAAATAAATATTCGAGAGTTGAGAGAGGAGTTCGATATACAAGGACGTGAGATCACCACTTCAGCTATTGATGAACTTCAGAGGAAACATTTTATTGAAATGGATAATTTGAAGAGTGAACATGAACACATGTACATGCAGATGACGATAGCTAAAGAAAAAAAAATTGATGAATTGAAAGTTGACATCCAGGTTAGTTAGAGATCGGTGATGAGGTCATATTTCCTATGAGGAAAATCGTTTAGACAAATTATTTAATTTATTCACTCTAACTTTCACTTTATGTATTAAATGCGGACTGAAGATATATGATCATTGTATATCTTTGTATGTATGTACACGAGGAGCTTTAACAATAATTGTAGAAAATATAGTGTTACGTTGAATTTTAGCTACCTCATAATGATTTTTTCATTCGTGACGTTGTACGTATGCCCAAGATATGGTATACAAGGGAGATTGGGATATTGTTGTTGCACTGGCAACATCTAATCATGTTATTTATAAAATAACTGAATAGAAAGGAATATGCGCTTTCGTTCTTTAAAATATTTGTACACAATATTTATTAGTTAGAATTAGCTGGATGGTTGTGTGTACTGTCCTGTTATTTACTGTTTTACATGCTCCACGGCGATGGAATTGTTTCCTATTTTATAATTAGACAGATGCTGAAAGATGAAATGAATTTTGTATGAAATGGCTACTATTCTCTTGTTCTAACGTTAAATATTTCTTATTCTTATCGCGTGTGTTTGTTTACTGATGTAAATGTTTTATTTTTAGTCCTTGACCGAAAAACTTGATAAAGAGAAGCAAAACGTTGAAGAATTGTCCTTCAAAATGAGAGAATCGTTGGATCAGTCAAAAGTAACCGAGGAACTTAAATACAACAAATTGCAAACAACTATGGAGCAAAAAATTGTTTTCCTTGAAGAAGAACATCAAGCAAAAATGGCGCAATCTGAAAAGGAACTGGACAATAGAGTCCTTTTGAAAGAAAACGAATTTGACGAGCAGTTGAGAACGTTACGAAGTAATTTTGATAAAGAGAAGATGGAACTAGAGTTTAAATATTTGAATGATATTCGCCAGATTACGACGAACAACGACAAAAAGTATGTTTATGCGTCTATGCTACAGGTTTTTTACCAAATAAATTCTAGTGGCTCTAGGGGGCGTAAAACAGTTATAACACAAACTACGCTACAAAAGTGGCGTTTAATTGGGAAGTTAATTGCATCCTTTACGGTGAGGTGCTCCGCATCAACCTACATCTCGCGGGATTAGTAAATTTTTCTGAATGTACTGAACACATAATTCGTGCAAAGAAATGAACAAATGCCATATCTTTAGACATTGTCATGCGTCAGATTCCATTTATATTCCACCTGATCACAAAATCTTCACTTTAAAATATTGGAATTTTTATATAGCGATGTTTTATTGTCTTTGTATGATCTTTTCCCACAGCAGGGTGAATTGCATACATATATGTAAGTTTATTTTGTCTAGGTTGTCTGATAAAGAAGAACAACATACAGCTGAAATTACTCATCTTCAACACAAACTTGCGTTAGTTGAAGAAGAAGCTGAAGAACGAATCTTCAGAGAAGTGGAGGAGACGCGGCAGAAACTTTCAGATAAATATCAAAAAGACGTAGACGTTATTGTTTGTAAGCTTAAAGCTGAACATCAGAAAGAAGTCGAGCAATTAATATCAGAGGCTGAAGAAAATCAATCCAATGTTGAACTAGATGTTTTCGAGAACTGGAAGTCGAAGGTTGTTGAAGAACACGTAAAGGAAATAAATGATCTAAAAATGAAACAACAAAAAGAGTTGGAAACAATCAAGTCGATTTTAGCTCAAGAGAAACACGAAGAATATGAGAAAATGATTTCAACAGTAAACGACAAACACGCTAAAGAACTGGAAGAGGTTCGGCGCAATCTTACTGCGCAATACGAAGAAGAGCTTAAAAAGGAAATCGAAGGACATCAGCGAAATTTTAATTTGGAAATTGATAAACTTGTGACAAAATATGAGTCTTTACGTGTACAACATGAGGCAATAGTCTACGAGCTCAACAATTCGCTAAATACTACTCTTGCAACACAGATTGAATCTTTGAATAACGAATTACGGGTATGCAAAGACATCATACAAGAAAAAGAAATGAAAATTGAAAATCTAAAACGGCAGCATGAGTCTGATATGAAAGTTATAAAGCAAAGGAGTTTTGACGATTTAATAGACGAGGTCTCAGAAGTCCGTGCAGATCTTGCTCTCGATGCTGCTCGTGAAGTAGAGATTGTAAAATTAGAAGCAGATAATAAGATGAAGGAAATTCATAGTGGACACTCTAAGGAGATTGCTAAACTGACTGCAAATATTGAACATCTTCAAAATGAAAGGACAGAAATGCAAAAAAGTTTGTGTCAGCTGGAAGAAGACATTCATAAAGTAAAAGAAAACGCGAATAATGAAAAAAACGAAATCAAATCGCACCATAGAAATGAATTGGAGGACCTCAAAATGAGGTACAGTATTTATTGACTGTGATAAAATTTTTCTCATTCCCAATAAATGATTACTCTAGTCAAACTTCTCACTACATTTTCCTCAAGAAATCAAGTGATTGTTTTTATGGCGAAGAGAAGGTTGACTGAGGTATGTAGTTATTCCAGAATAAAATTATTTGTAACTCTTACAGACTTGATGGTATCCATGAGAAAACTATTGATGAACTGCAAGTTAAACATCAGAAAGAAATGAGCGACAATGAGGAAATGTGGAAAAATACTTTAGAGAAAGAAAGAACTGAGATGAAAATAAAGTTGGCACACGAGGTGGAAAATTACGGAAGGGAAAGGCAAAAAATTGTAGACCAATTGAAAACTGGTAATAATATAATGAACGTTATTATGTAATCTTAGCAGTCTCTATATGTTTGTCTATTAAATCTACTTCCCTCTTTTATTGCTGTAGTTCTACCAATGAGCTCTCGTTATTTTCTTCAGATTACGAAAGGGAAAAGGAGGAAATAAAAGACAGCCTAAATAAAGAACACGAAGAGGCTGTAAAACAGTTGAAGGAAAGCTTTGAATTAGAAGCGAAAAAAATCGTAAAGCAATTTGACGAAGAAAAGCAAGCATTGACAAAAGAAAATAATGAAATTGTTGACGAAATGTGGAAGAATCACGAACGTGAACTAGAGAAAGTAAAAGATGAGTTAGTTAAAGCACACATGGAAAAATTTACATCAATGACAGAAGAATTGGATAAATCACACCAGGTACGTATAACTTGCTAACATTTGATTGTCTATTGTTGATTTACTCCTTTTTAATCAATCAAAATATATGAAAGGCTTGCACACTTTAGAAAATTGTACTTCTGCTGCATAACCTTTTCAGGCAGAACTTCAAACAAAATTAAAAAACGCAGAGGAGGTGGCGCGCTTTGATTTAGAGAAGGAACACCTGGAAAATCTAAAGAAACTTGAAGACGAGTTACAAAAGAAACACGAGGGACAGTTAAATTCTCTGAATGATCTTCTTGAACAACATCGTGCCCAGATACAGTTGCTTAACGATGACCACAGTCAAGAGAAGAAAGTACTTGAAGAACAATGGCAGAAGACATTAACTGAACAGATAGATGCCTTGAAAAATGAACAACAGGAGGAAATGCTTCTAAAGGACACTTTGATTGACAAAGCAGAAAAGGAAGTAAGAAGAGCCCTTCAAGAGATAGAAACTAAAGACAAGCATTTGAATGAATTGAACGAGTTCATTGAGAAGATTAGCTCAGAATACGAAGAAAGTATTAAAGAAATTCGTCGTGACTTTGAGGAAAAGCTGATCGCGATGGAGAAAAACACAGATAGTTCTCAGCAAGAGCAAATACGTAGTGTACAAGAAATGCTGTCGACGCAAAATGCTAAAGATTTGGAAAGATTGAAGATTGAAAATGATAAGGTACACTTTATTATCCATTTGAAATGAAGGACTTATTTTAAGTTTAGAATGGTATTTAATGCACGGAACAAGCCCCCAAAACATTTATACTCATGCGTAGAGTTTAGCGTCCACGATAAAAGAATAAAGCCAAGTATCGCGAAAGTGTCTGATAAATGTATTTCATCTTCCGTATTCTGATATCAGCTGTTGTGCTATTTCTTAGCTTCTTGAACTCGCAAACAAAGACCTGGAGGCTGAGCGTTCTTTGAAAAATCAAATACAAAATGAGTTGGAACAAAGACATGATGAACATACTGCACGATGGGTTGAACAGGAGAAAGCTTTCAAGAGTAAAATTTTAAAAATGGAAAGTGAAATCGCAGAATTACAGGTCCATGCATTGCAACTAACGATACAACTGAGTTTTTCTTTCTTTTTTTTAATCATATTCTTTTGACAAAAATTGACAGGAAGCGAAGGAATTAATGCAAAAGCAAGTGGAAGACAAGGAAAAAGACTTGGTTAATGTGAGTATGAGTAATTTTAGTTAACTTTCTAATGGATCTTCTGCTGCAGTATAGTGTCACCCTGGCAAGCAAGGAAAAAATTGTCATTGATTTTATCTCGTGCGTTTTATTTATTTTAATCAAGGATACAATCACATTGATGACTATAGCTACTTAAGTGACCGTAGCGTGCATGCAGATGTTTCATATATAATGTTGATCTTCCTGCTTGGTTAAGTGCTTTCTCTGTTTCGTTGATCCTATGTATCTTCATGTAAGCGAGTCTATATAAATAAAAATGAAAAAAAACGCGCGTTTTGGTAGACCTAACAAACCTTTTAACTTGTATAGTGGAGGTTGTCTTCATTGTAACATGCTGTCATGTGTAAATACTTCTTATATCAGATTTAACGTACGTAACCCTGGCGTAAGACTGTTAGTCAAATGTTCCTTGTAGCGTGCTTTATTGTAGCGTACAGATTTCTTGTGTTATCAATCGTGATTACTGCCGAACACGTTTCACGTATTGTTTGTAAAGCTTTCTATGGTTTGTTTCATTGAATCATGCAGATTTCTCATATTTTCATCTTTGGATTACTACCCTACACGTTTTCCACAAAACCGTGTCTGTTTGTCAAGTGTTTGATAAGTATTTTCTGCAACCGTAGCTTGGCGAGGTGAAGCGAACTTTGGAAATAGATGTTCGTACATTGGAAGCACATGTTCAAGATGTTCAAAACAGGGAAGAAAGACAAATACGTGAAAATAATAACCTCATTCAGATGCTGAGATCTGACCTGGATGCACTAAATTCGGAAAGGTAAGCTTTTATATTTAATGGTATTTTGAAATTACTATATCCTGTTGTTAAGATATCGAGCAGAGTATCTGAAAATGTTTTGGATCCTTGAGTTAAATCAAATTTTGAATTTTGCACATTTCTTGTTTTGAAATATTGTAACTGATGTATTGTGAAAGATAAATTTCAATTGTCACATTTCGCTATTTTTTTTGACGTCTTCAACATATCTTTTCGCCTTTAAGAGAAAGTATTGAACGTGCTAAGGCGAACTTGGTGCGACAGTTAACTTCCGCTGTGCGAAATACAATGTTATTAGAGGATACAATTGCGAGTCGTTTGGAGACTATGTTCGAACAGGGCATGCGTAACGATGATGATGAAGAAACTGTATCAGAGGTTGCATCCATACCCGAGGGCGAGGATTCCCTTGCTGAAGGTTTGAGAAGGCGACAAGCTACTGCAATGTTAGCGTCCTCTACTCCAGCTGCTCCAATTGTGGGAAGAGATCTTGGTATGATATTTATTAGGAAGTTAAATAAATGTTAATTCTGTTAATACCATTCTCTGTTAATTCTTAGCCGTAGAAAGTCTACATTTTATCTTCGACGAAGATATTCTGATAACGCGTGATCATGCTGATTAAATTTGAAAGAAAGATGTGCCTGATCTCACTTCTTTTTTGCTTGTAATTCCAAAACAATAAATGTACATTGCCATTAAATGATCTATAATATTTTTTGTTTTGTATGTTACTGAAGATGGCGAGGGGAAGACAACTCGTGAAGATAAACATGATTTGTCACTTCTTAGTGATGAAGGACTTGAAATGTCTGTTGTATTGAGTGATAATCAAGGTTCATTAGATGTTCAAAATGACGAGACTATTGTTGTTGGTAAGTACACTTTTACACCTATGTAAAAAACGTTAGTGACTCTCAAGAAGAACTATTTTTTCACTTCTCTATTTGAGATAAACACATGCGGACATTGTTTATCACCTTTTCCTGACTCTTATATTCACAGATATTTGATTACTGTTGCAAAGATCATCTATTTTACTGAATATGATGACGATCAACTTTATTTAGAAACACTAATCTCATCCACACTATCGCTGATTTCCATGAGATGTTTGTTAGTTAACTTACAAAGATATAACTCAATTTCTAAAAACATTTAATCTATTACCACATTGAAAAATGAAAAAATAATCTAATACTATATAAATACTTTTAAATGTTTGCTAGTAACTTATAATACATTACTCTAAATTAATTCACAAATAATTGAGAGAACGATGAGAAAATATTTTTACAAAATGAGTTTTTTGATGTCATTTTCCTCATACATCCGGTATTCTATTCCATAATTTAGCTTCATTTTTTAGCATTTGAGCTTTGCTCTCTATTTAAGAATAATATAAGAAAACACCGTAGTAACAATTGAATTATTCTTGTGTGTTGCTCTCAAACTCCGTATGATGTAAAGATGGGACTTTGCATTTACATCATTTATTTGGCAGATTCTGGAAATCGTTTGACTGTTGCGGTTAGGAAACTCCTCGATATTATAGCTGCAAATACAAGACAGGTTAGTTGATATGAACAGAGCACAAAATAAACGACCCGTCAACGGACAATGACCTGTCCAAAATTCTTGTTGACCGGCAAATTTTTTTACCTCGCTGGTTATTTTGCATTGCACTTTCACCTTTTTTTCTCCAAAAGCACTACAGTAAGGCGATGCATGGTAACGTCGGATAAGAAAATCTGACAAAACTTATCTTGGCTTTTATTTTGAGCCCTTAGTTAGGGAAGTATGCAGTTGAACATTTCAATGTAGTGCTTAAATGAAAAACGAAGGTGTTAAGTAACAGTAAAACTTTAAGTATTTTTTACTGTTAGGTATAAGCAATCATGGTTTGTGGTTAATTTTATCATGACATTAGTGTCATGGGAAGATATTTGCTCAAAATCTAATTCATTTTTATCGATGCAGTTAAATGATGCTCGTAAGACTCAAGATGATTTGTTGAACACAACAAGCCAAAGAACGGAAGAACTAAATCAACTGACACAAGCTCAAAATTTACTAATGTTGCGTCTTCAAGAGGAAATCAATGCTAAAGATGACATGACAAACAGGCTGAGAAATGCTGAGGAAGAAATGGAAGTGCATATTGCAAACGAAGAAAGGCTTGAGAAAATTCTTAATGAAAAGGAGAATGAAATTCTTCAATTTGAAGGAAAGTATTTTGCGGAGACGAATGAATGTGAAGCACATCAAAGGATTGAAGATTTATTGAAAGAGAAAGAAAGTCTCCAAAATCAAATAGAGAAGTTAAAAATGACATCAGAAGAAGCTGAAAAATTGTTCGAGAAAGAAAAACTACGACTTTGTGAGAAGATTGATGAGTTGGCAAAGGCATCGGAAAGTGCCCTTCGCTTACATCTGTCTGATGATTCTTGTCCTTTACCCGATCAAAAAGTTATCTTACCTGAAGAGAAGCCAGCAGACGACTCACAATCTGTAGATTTAAAATGAAGATTGACTCTCTTGAAGAAGATGTAATTAAGAAAGAAAATGAAATTGATAAACTAAAGGAAGATCAAAGAAGACTTTACGATGATGTCCAACAGGCTCAGCAAAACAAAGATCGTTTTAAAGAGCAGTTAGAGCAAAAGAATAATGAATTACTTCAACTTAAGAGTGACTTTGAGCGAAAATTTCAGCAGGTTCAAGCCGTACAGCAACATGGAAAGTTTCAGATACATGGAAATGAAGAACTTCTCAAAGAAAATGAATCTCTCAAAAAAGAACTTGGTGTTTTGAAAACGAGCATAAAAATTCAACAGTTGATTTGCAGAACATTTTATGTGAAAAAGATGAACTACAAAGAGCGTTCAATGAAGCCGAGATTGCTTGGCACGAGGAGAAAAATAGTTTACAACAAGAATTATTTGATAGCTGTCTTGAAGCATCTTCATACAAAGTAAGTTTACTTCATTTACTTTTCTTTTTTGTCACATGTTTTTGTATAACCAATCATGGTCCGTTATATTTCCTTACACACCATCGTTTATCATATTTCTTTACATACTTTATCTTCGTTTGTCATATTTCTTTACACACTTCACCATCGTTTGTCATATTTCTTTACATGTTTTATCTTCGTTTGTCATATTTCTTTACACACTTCACCATCGTTTGTCATATTTTTTTACACACTTCACCATCATTTGTCATATTTTTCCTTACACACTTTACCATCGTTTGTCATATTTCTTTACACACTTCATCATCATTTGTCATATTTCTTTACACAATTTACCATCGTTTGTCATATTTCTTTACACACTTCACCATCGTTTGTCATATTTCTTTACACACTTCACCATCGTTTGTCATATTTCCTTACTTATCTTGATTGCCAACAATTAATCATTCAGGAGCGATTAAATAAAATGAACCAAGAAACCAATAATGGAATTGTTCTACATGAAGAACTCTTTCAAAAGAACGATACATATGCAAAGTTAGAAGCAAATGCTAGTGATTTAGAAAAAGAAGTAAAAGATTAAAGGAAATTATTCGTGCAAAAGAAACTGAAATTAATCGACTGACTACCAGAGTAGATGAATTGAAAGAAAGATTGTTGACTCAGGAAAAGATACTTGAAGAACATCGTGAAATATTGAGTCTTGCTGAAAATGAAAAGAATGTCAATGAAAAGGAAATACGTCAATTAAAGGTTGCTCTCGCACGAGCAGAAGCCTTTGTTCAAGATGGGGAAAGTAAAATGCAGGAAATTATAAAAAAGTTAGAGTTAACATACAAAGATAAGACTGCTGAAGTCACTGAACATCACAAAAAGCAGGTAAATAGTGGAAATTAGTAGTTAAAATCATCATCAAGACAACACTACATTAATTTTACTATTTTACTTGAACTATGTACATGTATTTAGAGTTGCACGTGTATTTTGTTCTATTAGGTGGAATTATTGCAAGATGAACTGAGTAAAGAGAAAGAAAATCTGCTTCAAGAGAAAAAAGTAAGTTGAATTTCCCATTTATGTCGCTCTTATCGTTTGATACGTCTAATAATGAAATATGTACATAACGTATGTACAGGTTTTTCAACTGATACAATCCGTAGTTTCATTTTTGTCATAATTTTGAAGTTTTATATTTTCTTCTTAAGAACAACTGCGAACTGAGAGATAGTTTGGCTGAGCTCAAACAACAACACAGTGAGGAGCTGCAGTCTTATAAATTGCAATTTGAAGAAGATACCAAGACCATCGTTGAAAACAAGAAATTGCCAAATAATTTTGACAACGTTCATGATTCACTGGAAAAGACCAAAATTCATCAGCGTTTCTCTGTGGACGACGGTAAGAATGTTCAGTTTCCATGTAAATTGTCATTTTCATAAAGTCCAAAATCCAGGGTGTAACATTTGTCGAAAACGCACAAAGTATACTCATTACATTTTGATTGAGGGAACGCACTAACATTTAACGTTTTAATGTCAAAACAATTTGCTTGAAATCTTAAATTTTCGATAGACTTTACGATATCCCACTTACAAATAGTTTCACGTTTACGTAGAAAAATGTGTCAAATTTTATACGTAAAATATATGTTGTTCAAACCGTCAAAGTTTTTCTCCTAGTTGGTAAAGATTGTGTTATTTAAAAAATCTTTATTACAGAAACAAATGTTGAATCTCGGTTAAATGATGAGATTAAGGAGGTTGATGGATTCACGAGGACCATTGCTGGTTATTTGTCTGAATTAAAACACGAAAGTTCAGCTGATGAGCAGGATTTAAACAGTTCAACTACGGAGAAAATTGAGGTTTGCGCTACGTAATGAACATATTATTAAAATGTTGTCTTCATTATATTCCTGGGTTACTTGGTTAATGTATTCTATCATGGTGGGTTTTTCTTTTTTTGTCAACAGCTGGACCTTATTGAATATTTAGGCTTATATAAGACAAAGAATGGTGCTAAATTTGTTAAATTTACGTTATTTTTGATCATGCAACATTTTTTCAGGGTGTCCTTGATGAGCTGAGATTAGATGCGGACGCCGTGTATAAATTAGTGAATACTTTGCCATCCTTTTACGATGGAAATTTCAAAGAGCTTACAGCAATTTTGGAGGAGGAAAGCCAACAACTAAAAGAAACTATCAACATGTTGAAGAAGAAAGCAGTTCTAACTACAGGGGTAAGAAGGCCGAGAAGGAACGAGGTTTCTAGTTAACATTCATGTTAATTGTAAGCAAGTTTATGGAGGAATTGAGAGGGATCTCAATTGATTGTCAAAATTTCCAAAAAGTTGAATTCTTATTTTCTTGTTTCTTACTGCATCTTTAGAGGTTCTGCAGCATTTTTAAGTTTTAAGTAATATTTTTTTATTGTTTTTTTTTATAATCCTTTTATAATCCAAAGTCATCCAAAAATGAACAAACCTTACTTTTGAGTAAAAATTCTTTCTTAACAATTAATTTGTGTATTTCAAAGGATGTTATAGTGCATTCAGAGCACCATACCTTTTACTTGAGGATGATTATAGTGACTTCTATACAAGGGGATGACCATAGTGCTTGTGTACTTTAGAACAAAGGGATGACTATAGTGCTTGTGTACTTCTATACAAGGGGTGACCATAGTGCTTGTGTACTTCTATACAAGGGGGTGACCATAGTGCTTGTGTACTTCTATACGAGCGGGTGACCATAGGGCTTGTGTACTTCTATACGAGCGGGTGACCATAGTGCTTGTGTACTTCTATACAAAGGGTGACCATAGTACTTGTGTACTTCTATACGAGCGGGTGACCTTTGTGTATTAGAATTAGATAGGGATGACCATAGTATTTGTTTACTTCTATACCGGGGTGACCGTGTTTCTTGTGTACCTTTTAACGAGGAATGATCACAATGCTTGTGTATATTTTTATACGAGGAGAGATCATAGTGCTTGTGTACTTTGATACGAGATACTGTGTATAGTCTATTTATACGTTGATGGAAAGTAGTGACTATTAATCGTGTGTAAGCTTTTAGGCAGTATATATTTGTACGTTGATACGAACCTTTTCCATTGTTTGCGCACATTGATTGCATATTAAATTATTAAAATATTCATTTACTACGGTAATTGTTATTATAATATAGAAAGATTTTTGTACTGTGAATTATAGTGTTGTGTAGAATATATTTAAAAACAGTCTCACCGTTACTCTACAAACAGCCTCGCACAAATATGTTATAAATTTGACTAAAAATTCACTTTTTGTCGTCTTAGTTACTGAAGAAAGAAGAAGATATGGTGCAGTTTGAGATAGAAACAATTGACTTGGCTGCAAATAATGATGTGATATCAACGTCTAATGCAATTAGAAATTGCCAGGAAAGGCAGGTACGTACTTAAGTGTAAATACAAGATGTCGGAGCATTGCATGTAAATACAGGTTGATATGAACACGTGACTTAGATTTACAGTTGTGATGACGTATCACAGTCTTTTCAATAAGCGATGATATTTTTGAGAAAAAACTTGATTTATAAGCATCCATCGTAAAAACTAAAGATTATTTGTGTATTTGTAGCTTTTAGACATTGATTTTCACTTACCCAGAAATTGTTACAATACAAGAGATTATAATTCATTTTAACATTCTCAGTGTATTTGTAAGTAGTGTAGTTACTTTACTCCATTATTTGCAAGACTTCTTATGTTATTTAGAATGAACTTCACCGTCAGTCGATTGAGAAGTTGTACCAGGCTGATAGGATTTCATTGTTATCTGAAATTGAGGAACTCAAAGCCTCAATTATTGGCATAAAAGATGGACTGACCAATGAGGTTAGCATAGTAAAGTTCAATCTACATATGTATGTATAGTTTTAGTTTTTGTGTCTTTTTTTGTTTAAGCTGCTTGCGTTGATCCATTGTCAATTAACTGTATATTATCATAGAATGAGCGACTCCAAGAGCAACTGAGGGCTATACAATTACAAGTGCAAAAACGCGAGAATGAGCTTCTTCAACATAGTAAGAATTACTGACGTTTAATCGTTTTCATATATATATCACTTTGGTGCTGTAATTGTCGTTTAACTCGATTGTTTTTTTAAAACTTAATTAATTCTGCTGCTCTTATAAGTGACCAAATAAAGCTTTCTTGATTTGTAGTCTCTCTTTGATTTCATATTAAAATATAACTAACACCTCTTGTCTGTTTACAATGTTATAGTTTCCACTAAGGATAAACAACTAAAAAAACAAAACGAACTCCTTCATAAAACGCAAACTGACAACGACCACGCAAAGAAACAGTTGGATGATTTGAACAATCTTCTTGAACGCGAAAGAACTATTTCTAAAGATCTTCAAGAACTGGTGAATGAGAATAAAATGCAATTTAAGAACTTGAATTCTTTATTGGAAAAAGAAAGAACCCGTAACACTGTTATTCAGTAAGTGCACCTCACTATAGATATGTATTTAAAACGTCGTCTCTGAAGTGTTTATTATCACGATGCTTTATGTAGAACGTGCTTGGATAGTGAAAGAACACGAAGTTTGAATCTTGAACAAGCATTGAAACATGAGCGCTTGAATGTGGAATCTAGAGAGCATGAATTGCAAAGAAAAACGCAGTTGTTGCAAGATATTACGAATAAAGAACAAGACAGAACGAAGGATTTCGAAATTGAAATACAAAAAGGTTTGACTGCATTTACTTTACCATCGCTGTACATCAAAATCAGTTTATGAATGAACTGGAGATCGTACTTTTTCTTCAAACTTATACATTTCACCGCTTTTATGAAGGTGAACAATCTCTCAAAGAATTACAGATGAAACTACACGAAGAGGAAACAAAATGCGAGAAATTGGAAACAGAGTTGGCGAAAAAGAACAGTATTTTAATATCCGATAGAGGTAAATTTTATTAACTTTAATTGTAACTGTTTTTGAAAAGTTAAATGTAATTTTTCAATGACCATGCATTTGATGGTAGACGCATCATTATAAACTTCTTAATGTAGAGATGCACATTCTTTGAATTCATCACCTTAAAGTCACTTCCCTACGTATATACGATTTTCTTTTTAACATATACGTATACAATTTGTTCATGGAAATTTTTCGTAAGTCTTCAGTTATTCTATATATGTATTTCCATGCGTTTATGATTCTATTGTGATAGTGCTATATTAATGTTGCAGGCCTAATTTTATTTACTAATACAAATAATCACTGTAATGCTTGTTCATATAGCTCATTGTATGTTTTAAAGTGATAATGTAATAATCAAAAGAAACTTATTTTGATTTTCTCTCAACGTCTAATTCAGACGATTTGAATGGACTCATAACTGAGCTTCGCAATGAACTGGAGAAGACAAAGAACGAAAATGCAAATCTTATTACATCGTTAGATGAAGAAAGGAAAGTGTCTGAAGACTTAAAAAACGGAATGGAATCACTACACGGAGTGAATGAACAAATCAGCGAGCAGGAAAAGTTGATAAAACGTAAGTGTACATTGTAGTAATGAAAATATGACAACATTATTGTCTATGAAAGCATTTGATAATCTTTAATATATGATTGATGAAAAAGTTGATCAATGTAACCATTGAATGGGCGCTAGAATTTGAAGTTTATGTGATTTAGACATATTTAAACTCTATATAACCGTCTAAGCCTAGACGTGCATAACAGCCACATTGTTTCTGGTTTGGATTGAAGAACCAATAATATTGATGTTCCTTTTGTATGTTTTTCATTGCTTTGATCAAATTTATTGAATCTCGATTTGTTTCATGTTAGAGTTGAGTAATGCTCTGGAGAATGAGAGAAAAGTAAACGAAAACCTTCATTTTGCTCTGGATAACAATCATGAAAATAATACTAAATCTAAAGACCTTCAAAACAATATGGTTAAAGAACTTCAAATGTCTTTGACTGCTGTTCAGGTATACATTTTTATATATCTTACAAATCTACATCCACTCAAAAGCTTTTTTTGACTTCCTTTTGATATTTTGAAAATTTGATAGAGCAATATGCGTTGTCTGTGAGTGGAAATAATATATGCTTGAATATATTGTTGTTGTTTGTTCTTTTCCTCGTACATTTTTAACAAGTTTTATGAATATTTTTTAAGGAACAATTACAAAATCAAGTTGAAGTTGTTGACCAAGAAAGAAATCGCGTGAAACGCTTACGCAAAGAACGTGACATCCATGAAGCCAGTGCTTTGGGAGCTCGAACGAAAGAAAGGAGCCTGGAACTAGAATTAGAAAAAGAAAAAGCTGCTCGTGAAATGGAAGTCAACACCGTCAAGGACATGCTTGATAATGAGATAGCGTTAAAGAGAAATTTGGAAGAACTATTGAACTCGAGGACTGTTGAATTGAGCCGTTTAAGCGAAGAGTTAAGATATTTAAAAGAAGATCGCAAAGTAAGTACTGTTATTAAAAACAATTTAAACTGTCATTTTGAGTGCTTTCCAAGAAACTATGTACCATTGTGATGTTATAATCCTCATCGCTGTTTTGGTTGTCCTATTTGAAAACTCGTAAGGGCATTTCCAAGATAACAAAAATTTTGAGAAATCATTGTCTTTATTGTAAATTTTGTAACATTTGAATGCTAGTTGTGTAAATGATCTTGCTCTGGAACCTCTATTCTTTCTCAAACAACGTTATATATATAGCCATTTATCAGTCCACGACATGGCCGCTGGCATAAGTTTAATTCTCAGATAAAAATTAAAAATCATACCTACACAATCGTTTTGTGCTAGTAGATTCAGATAGTCGTTGCCTTGACCTCAGGCAGTTGGTCGAGTGTACTGCGCATGCTCATGTCATGTTTCTGTCATACTTTATTATGCTGGTAGAAATACTTACATTTCATATTAATTTTTGAAAACTTTTCTTATACGTTATTTTGAAAGTGCTGATTTTGAGAAAATATTTTTCAATGATTTTTTGAAGGAAACACCTCCTGACAGCCCATCGAAAGAACGTCTCAATATTTTACGACATGATCTGAAGTCCATCGCCGATGAGCATCGCGTCTTTCTTCTTATGCACAAGGAATATCTTGAAGAGCACATAAAATTTACTCAAAAGTAAGCTGGTACTTTATCAAATAATCTTTTTACTATTATTGTTCTTGTGAATCTATGTAGTTAAAATATGTGTACTTCAAAACCAAGGAATGACCATAGTGCTTTAGTATATTTTAGATTTATTAAATTCTTATTCAGGTTTACATTCGTTAGTAATTTTCATTCATTTTTCTTGTGGCTTTTAATGTTGTATCGCCTGCAAAAAGCCTTAATGGCGATTTTTGATCGCTTAAAAATTTTAAAAAGCAACAATCAGTTGGTTTCACAATTTGCGAAGCTTTCTTTCCTTCAGAAAGTATAACCGTCTTCATAAGCTTAAAAAGTCTTTTCCGGTGGTTTGCGCCATTTTATTTTCTTGTAACTGACGCGTGTTATGTTGATTAATATTTTTATTATCATGTTTTCAACCATCAATATGTTTTATACATTTATGTGTTTTATTCTGGTTTTTTTTGTAGCTTGTCTAAAGTAAATGGGCTGCATTCTCAAATCCAAAACCTAATTCACGAGGTTGACGGAATGAAACGGCAACTTGGTACTGTTTCTCAAGTAAGATTATTTACCTATGATTTTAAGAGAACAATTTTTATGTGAAAGAATGTTATATGCAGTGCGGTGTTTGAAACTAAATGAAGATATGATCTTCGCACTTTGCTGGACAATTTAAGCAACGGGATCCCGTTGAGTCACCTGAATTTTTCAGGTTCATGAGACAATTGCTTAAATTGTCCAGCAAAGTGCGAAGATCATATCTTCATTTAGAACAATTTTAATAAACATTTTAAATACACGATAATACTTTTTCTCTTTTATATTTTTAATAACAGACATGTTTCGACTTTACCTTAAGTCATCTTCGGCGCGAATTAACACGTTATTTGCAAATTACAATGGGGGATGTATAAACATAAAACTGAAAAATATTGTCTTTTATTTAAAATATTTAATAATTCGTAATTATTTTTGATAATTCATTATATTAATTAATATGCATAAATTATTTTCTGACGGTTCAAGACTATTGAGATAATCATGTGTGTATTGTGACGTTAGAAATTTCATGCGCGTGCTGCTGAACTTTATTAATTAAAATTAAACGAGATAGTTCATTACTGCTCGTTTTATTTAAATCATCGAAGTCCGAAAGTGATTACATCGAAACGTCATTGTAGCCATGGTTGACAGATTTTATAGTTTACTCAATCAAAGACAATGAGAGCAGCTTGATTAAGTTGTTTGGACAGATATTTAGCATTTCTTCATGACAACTTGATCATTATTATTTTCATTGATGAATATGATGCTGATGTAACAGCTTACATGAAGTTTGGGAATGTTTCAATGTAAAGAAACTAACGACGAATTTTTGGAGAATGATGGTCAAGAAACGTGGGCATACACAGAAGTTAGTGCCCCTAATGATTTCAGAAATCTTGATCGTCGAAGACATACTTTATCAGCGGACAGAATCGATTTAAAAACTGATAATAGTATCAAACGAAATAGACTGAGTGAACCCAATTTGTTCAAATGTGGGGAAATTTTGTACGAGGTGAAATATTGCAAAATGTTAATGAAATTCCGTCATCAGGAAGAACTGAAGACAGAAAAGTCAATGGCCAGAGTCAAGATGGGCGAAAAATTCGTTCTAATTGTCCTTCACTTATAAACTACAAACTTACCAAGATTCAAGATCTTACTTCTGCTGAAAATTTTGATACTCGTGAACAGGACGAGGTTCACACAAGTCAATTACATCGAATTTCTCCTAAGATGCATGGAAGAAGGTTAGACGGCAAACTTTCAACCAACAACAACAAGATACACACACAAAGTTACACACATGTAAGATGTGGGCAAAATAAAGCTGGTGATCTTCACCCGAAAGTGTTGAGAAGACATGCTAGTGATATGTTGCGCTATGGTAATGTTAATAATTGGAAAATGATTAAAGATCACGTCGTTACTAAAGATGGAACTTTACACGGACATATTGACAAGGCAAATGAAGAAAGGGAAACTTATAGTGATAGTAACGACGAGATAAAAATTGTCAATGCTCGTGGACAGGACGAGGTTCACTCAAGTCAACAACATGAAATTTCTCCTATGTTGCATCGTGGAAGGTTGGACGGCCATTTTCCCACCAATAACAACAAAATATACACACAAAGTGACACATATGTAAGATGTGGGCAAAATAAAGCTGGTGATCTTCACCCGAAAGTGTTGAGAAGACATGCTAGTGATATGTTGCGCTATGGTAATGTTAATAATTGGAAAATGATTAAAGATCACGTCGTTACTAAAGATGGAACTTTACACGGACATATTGACAAGGCAAATGAAGAAAGGGAAACTTATAGTGATAGTAACGACGAGATAAAAATTGTCAATGCTCGTGGACAGGACGAGGTTCACTCAAGTCAACAACATGAAATTTCTCCTAATGTGCATCGTGGAAGGTTGGACGGCCATTTTCCCACCAATAATAACAAAATATACACACAAAGTGACACACATGTAAAATGTGGGCAAAATAAAACTGGTCAGTTTCACTGGAAGGAGTTAAGAAGACATGCTAGTGATATGTTACACAACGGCGCTGTTAATAATAGAAAAATGTTTAAAGGTGCTGTTGTTTCTAAAAATGGGACTTCTAATAATGACAATCCAAATGCAGTCACTAAAATTTATTGTCATGGTAACGATGGGCGAGAAATTTACTCTAATCGTCCACCATCATTAAAAACAGCACCTACAATTCTTGAAGATTCTACTTTTTCTGAAAGCGACGAAACTTTAGGACAGGATGAGGTTAACTTAAGTCATCTACGTGAAGTTCCTCCAAATGTGCATCGGAGAAGAATCGACGGAAATTTTCTGACCAAAAGTGGGAACATGTATACACAAAGTGACACACATGTAAGATGTGGGCAAAATAAAACTGGTCAGTTTCACTGGAAGGAGTTAAGAAGACATGCTAGTGATATGTTACACAACGGCACTGTTAATAATGGGAAAATGTTTAAAGGTGCTGTTTTTACTAAAGATAAGACTTTACACAGACAGAGTGACAAGGCAAATGCAGATACAAAAAAATATTTTTATAATAATGGTCAAGAAATTTACTCTAATCGCCCACCATTGATAAACACAACACCTACCATTTTTGAAGATTGTATTTTTTCTGAAAGTGACGAAACTTTAGTGGAGAACGAGATTCCTTCAAGTCAACAACGGAAAATTTCTCCTAAGGATTATAGGAGACGGTTAGACGGTCATTTTGTAAACAATAACAGTAATATATGTACACAAAGTGAAACTCGTTCAAGATGTGGGCAAGATAAAGCTGATGGTCTTCACCCGAGAGTGTTGAGAAGACATGCTAGTGATATGTTGCACAATGGCACTGTTAATAAAAGAAAAATGCTTAAAGGTCATGGTGTTGCAAAAGATGGTATTTTATACAAGAATAATGAAAATCCAAACACAAAAGTTTATGTTCATGGTAACGATTGTAAAGAAATTTACGATAACTGTCCACCATTTACAAACATACCTACCATTGTTGAGCATTTAGTTTTTTCTGACAGCGACAAAACTTTGGAAGAGAATAAGGTTCACTCAAGTAAACTGCATGAAATTTCTCCTAAGGTGGGAAGGTTGGACGGTCGTAACTTAACCAATAAAAATAAAATATATGCACAAAGTGATACTCGTTTAAGATGTGGGCAAAATAAAGCTGGTGATCTTCACCCGAAAGTGTTGAGAAGACATGCTAGTGATATGTTGCGCTATGGTAATGTTAATAATTGGAAAATGATTAAAGATCACGTCGTTACTAAAGATGAAACTTTACACGGACATATTGACAAGGCAAATGAAGAAAGGGAAACTTATAGTGATAGTAACGATGAAATAGAAATTGTCAATGCTCGTGGACAGGACGAGGCTCACTTAAGTCAACAACATGAAATTTCTCCTATGGTGCATCGTGGAAGGTTGGACGGCCATTTTCCCACCAATAACAACAAAATATACACACAAAGTGACACACATGTAAAATGTGGGCAAAATAAAGCTGGTGATCTTCACCCGAAAGTGTTGAGAAGACATGCTAGTGATATGTTGCGCTATGGTAATGTTAATAATTGGAAAATGATTAAAGATCACGTGGTTACTAAAGATGAAACTTTACACGGACATATTGACAAGGCAAATGAAGAAAGGGAAACTTATAGTGACAGTAACGACGAGATAAAATTTGTCAATGCTCGTGGACAGGACGAGGTTCACTCAAGTCAACAACATGAAATTTCTCCTATGGTGCATCGTGGAAGGTTGGACGGCCATTTTCCCACCAATAACAACAAAATATACACACAAAGTGACACACATGTAAAATGTGGGCAAAATAAAACTGGTCAGTTTCACTGGAGGAGTTAAGAAGACATGCTAGTGATATGTTACACAACGACACTGTTAATAATAGAAAAATGTTTAAAGGTCATGTTACAAAAGATGGAACTTTACGCAAGCATGATGACAATCCAAATTTAGACACAAAAGTTTATTGTCATGGTAACGATGGTCAAGAAGCTCATTGTGATTTCCCACAACAAATGAGCTGCCATATTTCTTTTGAAGATCCTACTTCCGCTGAAAGTGCTTATGTTAGTGGAGAGGGTAGCCTAGATGCTTGCACCTTTGAGAAAGTATTAGGCAATACCGAAAATAATTATGATGGTTATAACTCCGGTAGACAGTCTACAAGGCGGCCTGTGAATGAGGGCAAGTCGAACTATGCAGAAACAGACCCGTGTTCCTCTTCTTTAAACAGTCAAGAGGATATTTCATTGAATTTTCTTAATAATTCAGTTGATGAAGATGATCCTAGAGCAGTACAAATCTATACTGGAAACAAGCCACGTTTAGACGCCAGTCGTTTTCAGTTTCCACCCGAGTCTGTAAATTCATCGATTGATTCCCAGTCAAACAGATCACAGCAACAATTTGAACGTCCACGTAGGATGATGAATCGTTCTCTTATAAGGACTGGAAGAAGTTTTAACCCATTGTGTAAATCCTTGCAGGTATTTCCAAAATCTTACAGTGATGCCAACTTCATAGCTGCACAAAATATGGGACGTGTAAATCAATTTGCTCGTGCACCAAGATCTCGTATATTCAATAAGAATACAGTGACTAGTGATGTCATGGAGGGAAAGGATTCATCACTGGCAAATGCTTTTGACAAAAAAGATTGTGAAAGCGCAGCATATTTTTATCAAGAGGACAAATTGCCGTCACATGCAGCCTCTGCTGTTGATAGTAGCTTACGAACATCTTGTGATAGCATATTATCGGCCTGTGAAGATGAAAGAATTGTAAGCCGTTTTTGCGTTCCGTCTGTTCTTCTCCAAAACCAAAATGAAACTCATGGGGACGTAATTTCTCCAGGACAATGGTCTAATCACTTGCCCTGTCCTGCAGATAATGAACATGCAGGAAAGTCCAGTTCTCAAAAAACGCTCTTCTTTTCCACAACTTCAATGGGGGCTCCTGCAGACGAAAGTCACGAGACTCACTCAAATCAACCTTGTGAAATTGCTCCTAAGGTGCATCGTAGAGGAATTCAAGTCGACTTTCCAACCAACAACAACAACATACATACACAAAGTGCTATTCATTTAACACGTGGTAAAGATAAAGCTGCTCAACGTCATGTGAGTGGTTTGAGAAGACATGCTAGCGATATGCTACAAAATGGCGTTGTTTACAATAGGAAATTGCTTCGAGGAAATGTAGTTACAAAAGATGGGATTTTGCACAAGCATGATAACAATCCAGATGCAGACGCTGAAATGTACTGCCATGGTAACAATATGCCAGAAATTTACTCCATCACAGCACCTCTAAGTAGCATCAAAGAACGTACTAGTGACGAAGAGCATACTTCTGCTGAAAGCGCTTGTAGTCGCGGACAGACCGAACTTCCCTCCAGTCAACAATGTGAAATTTCTCCAGAGGTGCATCAAAGAAAGTTTGAAGGCAATTTTTCGAACAACAAAGATAACATATTTACGCAAAGCGACACACATGTAAGATTTGGGAAAGATAAAGCAGGCCAGCTTCACTTACGTCGCTTAAGAAGACATGCTAGCGATACTTTACTCAATGATAATGAATATAAAGGAGGAATATTTGAAGGTAATGTTGTTACAAAAGATGAGATTAATAACGGAGAAAACACAGACATGGAAACATATAGTAATGGTAACGATGGGATAGAAAGTATCGATGCTCATAAACAGGATGAGGTTCACTCAAATCAATTACGTGAAATTGTTCCAAAAGTGATTCGGAGAATGAAAGGCAATTTCCATAACAACAATAATGACCAATATACACAAAGTGAAACTCATTTAAGATATGTGAAAGATAAAGCTGGTCAGCTTCATTCAATGGACTTGAGAAGACATGCCAGTGATATGTTGCACAATGGTACTTTTTGTAAAGGGAATTTACTTCAAAGATATGTCGTTACAAAAGAAGGGACTTTGTACGGGCCTATTGACAATCCAAATGCTGACGTAGAAGTAGTTGATCACTCTGGTTCACCACCTCCAATGAAGTTCAAACCTTCTAATACAGAGGATCTTACTTTTGTTGAAAGCTCTGATACTTGCACACAGAATATGGTTCAGTCAAATGAAATTTCACCTAAGGTGCATCTGAGAAAGTTTCAAGGCAATTTTCCAACTAACAACAACAATATATATACACAAAGTGACATACATTTAAGACCTGGGAAAGATAAAACTGGACAGCTTCATGTAGGTGGTTTGAGAAAATATGCTAGCGATACTTTACACAATGGCATTGTTTATGATGGAAAAATGTTGGAAAATGTAATCGTTGCTAAAGATGAGACTCTACAAGCACATAATGAAAACCCAAATGTAGACATGGAAATCTATTGTCAAGATAACGACAGGCAAGAAATTTACTCGAATTCACCAACTCTAATGTACTACCAAGATCCCCTGCCTGAAGATCCCACCTTTGCTGAAACCTCCGATACGCGTGGACAGGACGAGGTTCACATTAGTCAACTTTGTGAAATTCCTCCTAATGTGCATAAGAGAAGGTTTAAAGATCATTTTCCGACCAATAACAACATGTTTTCACAAAGTGATACTAATTTAGAATGTTGGCAAGATAAAGCAGGTCAGCTTCACTTACGTCGCTTAAGAAGACATGCTAGCGATACTTTACTCAATGATAATGAATATAAAGGAGTAATGTTTGAAGGTAATGTTGTTACAAAAGATGAGCTGAATAACGGAGAAAATGTAGACATGGAAACATATAGTAATGGTAACGATGGGATAGAAAGTATCGATGCTCATAAACAGGATGAGGTTCACTCAAATCAATTACTTGAAATTGTTCCAAAAGTGATTCGGAGAAGAATGAAAGGCGATTACCATAACAACAATAATGACCAATATACACAAAGTGACACTCATTTAAGATATGCAAAAGATAAAGCTGGTCAGCTTCATTCAATGGACATGAGAAGACATGCTAGTGATATGTTGCCCAATGGTACTTTTTGTATCGAGAATATACATCAAAGATATGTCGTTACAAAAGATGGGACTTTGTACGGGCCTATTGACAATCCAAATGCTGACGTAGAAGTAGTTGATCACTCTGGTTCACCACCTCCAATGAAATTCAAACCTTCTAATACAGAGGATCTTACTTTTGTTGAAAGCTCTGATACTTGCAAACAGAATATAGTTCAGTCAAATGAAATTTCACCTAAGGTGCATCTGAGAAGGTTTCAAAGCAATTTTCCAACCAACATCAACAATATATATACACAAAGTGACATACATTTAAGACGTGAGAAAGATAAAACTGGACAGCTTCATGTAGGTGGTTTGAGAAAATATGCTAGCGATACTTTACACAATGGCATTGTTTATAATGGAAAAATGTTCGAAAATGTAATCGTTGCTAAAGATGAGACTCTACAAGCACATAATGACAATCCAAAAATAGACATGGAAATATATCGTGATGGTAACGACAGGCAAGAAATTTACTCGAATTCACCAACTCTGATGTACTACCAAGATCCCCTGCCTGAAGATCCCACCTTTGCTGAAACCTCCGATACTCTTGGAGAGGGCCAGGTTCACATAAGTCAATTGTGTGGAGTTCCTCCTAATGTGCATAAGAGAAGGTTTAAAGACCATTTTTCTACCAATAACAACATGTTTTCACATAGTGATACTCATTTAGAATGTTGGCAAGATAAAGCAGGTCAGCTTCACTTAGGTCGCTTAAGAAGACATGCTAGCGATACTTTACTCAATGATAATGAATATAAAGGAGGAATGTTTGAAGGTAATGTTGTTACAAAAGATGAGATTAATAACGGAGAAAACACAGACATGGAAACATATAGTAATGGTAACGATGGGATAGAAAGTATCGATGCTCATAAACAGGATGAGGTTCACTCAAATCAATTACTTGAAATTGTTCCAAAAGTGATTCGGAGAAGAATGAAAGGCAATATCCATAACAACAATAATGACCAATATACTCAAAGTGACACTCATTTAAGATATGCAAAAGATAAAGCTGGTCAGCATCACTTAATGAACTTGAGAAGACATGCCAGTGATATGTTGCCCAATGGTACTTTTTGTAAAGGGAATTTACCTCAAAGATATGTCGTTACAAAAGATGGGACTTTGTACGGGCCTATTGACAATCCAAATGCTGACGTAGAAGTAGTTGATCACTCTGGTTCACCACCTCCAATGAAATTCAAACCTTCTAATACAGAGGATCTTACTTTTGTTGAAAGCTCTGATACTTGCACACAGAATATGGTTCAGTCAAATGAAATTTCACCTAATGTGCATCTGAGAAGGTTTCAAGGCAATTTTCCAACTAACAACAACATTATATATACACAAAGTGACATACATTTAAGACTTGGGAAAGATAAAACTGGACAGCTTCATGTAGGTGGTTTGAGAAAATATGCTAGCGATACTTTACACAATGGCATTGTTTATGATGGAAAAATGTTTAAAGATCAAATGATCTCCATCTCCGATAATGACATGACCAAACCTGTCAATTCACAATCCAGTAACATGGAATATGTGATTGATGATGCGCAAAATTTGGATGTTGATACCTTGACCGAAGATGAAATGTCAGTAAGTATTGGTAATAGTCAGATAATAGTCTTAATGGAAGATATATTCTCCTTTCAGCTATCTATGTTTAGGGTGCATTTGATTTTGAAAATAATAAGAATGAAATATATGTCAAAGGAAGAAATATATTGGAAGAAATCATCACATTTTTAAAACTGTACAATGATTGCTCCGAATACAAGACCAGACATATCAACTCTTAGAGTGTGGTTTTGTGAAAGAATACTGAACGTTTATTATTATTGTTGTTCAGCTTACCAAAGCTGCATAGCAGATGGTCGGTGAAGTCAACTCATCGATAATTTTCTTTGATTCTTGCCAACTTTGTCTACGTGATGATTTGTCTTCAAAGGATTCAACGGTTATTCAATGATAAAACGGTTTACCGTGGACTAAAACTATTCCAAATCAGTGTGATCCTGTAAAAACATGAAAGCCTTAAAGAGTTGAAATGACGCAAACCGTCGACCGAATTATGACTAACGCACGTAAATCAAATTTTAACATGCGATTATAAATGTACAATTTTTTGATGGATAAATTTATTTTTCTTGAATTACCCTTGGCAGAAGAGTCGGAGGAAATCAAAGGAAGAAAATTTAAGTTTTATCTGGAACTTTCTAATCATCAAAAACTAAGTTTGTAATTTGATGATCAGACTAGAACTAACATTATATACTAATGCGAACGAAAACGCTATGAAATAATGAAAGAAGATATCACACAGGCATGAAAATAATCGTGCACGTCTTTCACAAGCTTTACACGCACGCAATGATTGTAATGATAACGACATTGGTGAAACCAAAATATTTATTATGTGTGAGTTCAAATCCTTGTTTTTACATTATATGGAAACTTTCTATTTAGGGTTCACCCATTCGACTGTCACCAATAAAAGCGGCAGCGTATGACAGATTGGTGAAACAAAATCAAGAAATGTCGGAGTACTTAGCCAAAGTGACCGAGGAGAAAAGTGAACTGAGAAAAATGTTATCTCATTTGGAAGTGCAAGTTTCTGATTATAGAGATCGTGATGCAAGACATGTTGAGGTTAGTCATTCATACATGCGTAATAATCTCGTGATGCAAGACATGTTGAGGTTAGTCATTCATACATGCGTAATAATCTCGTGATGCAAGACGTGTTGAGGTTAGTCATTCATACATGCGTAATAATCTCGTGATGCAAGACGTGTTGAGGTTAGTCATTCATACATGCTTAATAATCTCGTGATGCAAGACGTGTTGAGGTTAGTCATTCATACATGCTTAATAATCTCGTGATGCAAGACGTGTTGAGGTTAGTCATTCATACATGCGTAATAATCTCGTGATGCAAGACGTGTTGAGGTTAGTCATTCATACATGCGTAATAATCTCGTGATGCAAGACATGTTGAGGTTAGTCATTCATACATGCGTAATAATCTCGTGATGCAAGACGTGTTGAGGTTAGTCATTCATACATGCGTAATAATCTCGTGATGCAAGACATGTTGAGGTTAGTCATTCATACATGCGTAATCTCGTGATGCAAGACGTGTTGAGGTTAGTCATTCATACATGCGTAATCTCGTGATGCAAGACATGTTGAGGTTAGTCATTCATACATGCGTAATAATCTCGTGATGCAAGACGTGTTGAGGTTAGTCATTCATACATGCGTAATAATCTCGTGATGCAAGACATGTTGAGGTTAGTCATTCATACATGCGTAATCTCGTGATGCAAGACATGTTGAGGTTAGTCATTCATACATGCGTAATAATCTCGTGATGCAAGACATGTTGAGGTTAGTCATTCATACATGCGTAATAATCTCGTGATGCAAGACATGTTGAGGTTAGTCATTCATACATGCGTAATAATCTCGTGATGCAAGACATGTTGAGGTTAGTCATTCATACATGCGTAATCTCGTGATGCAAGACATGTTGAGGTTAGTCATTCATACATGCGTAATAATCTCGTGATGCAAGACGTGTTGAGGTTAGTCATTCATACATGCGTAATAATCTCGTGATGCAAGACATGTGGAGGTTAGTCATTCATACATGCGTAAAAATCTCGTGATGCAAGACATGTTGAGGTTAGTCATTCATACATGCGTAAAATCTCGTGATGCAAGACGTGTTGAGGTTAGTCATTCATACATGCGTAATAATCTCGTGATGCAAGACGTGTTGAAGTTAGTCATTCATACATGCGTAATAATCTCGTGATGCAAGACGTGTTGAGGTTAGTCATTCATACATGCGTAATAATCTCGTGATGCAAGACGTGTTGAGGTTAGTCATTCATACATGCGTAATAATCTCGTGATGCAAGACGTGTTGAGTTAGTCATTCATACATGCGTAATAATCTCGTGATGCAAGACGTGTTGAGGTTAGTCATTCATACATGCGTAATAATCTCGTGATGCAAGACGTGTTGAGGTTAGTCATTCATACATGCGTAATAATCTCGTGATGCAAGACGTGTTGAGGTTAGTCATTCATACATGCGTAATAATCTCGTGATGCAAGACGTGTTGAAGTTAGTCATTCATACATGCGTAATAATCTCGTGATGCAAGACGTGTTGAGGTTAGTCATTCATGCGTAAAAATCTCGTGATGCAAGACATGTTGAGGTTAGTCATTCATACATGCGTAATCTCGTGATGCAAGACGTGTTGAGGTTAGTCATTCATACATGCGTAATAATCTCGTGATGCAAGACATGTTGAGGTTAGTCATTCATACATGCGTAATAATCTCGTGATGCAAAACGTGTTGAGGTTAGTCATTCATACATGCGTAATAATCTCGTGATGCAAGACGTGTTGAGGTTAGTCATTCATACATGCGTAATAATCTCGTGATGCAAGACGTGTTGAGGTTAGTCATTCATACATGCGTAATAATCTCGTGATGCAAGACGTGTTGAAGTTAGTCATTCATACATGCGTAATAATCTCGTGATGCAAGACGTGTTGAGGTTAGTCATTCATACATGCGTAATAATCTCGTGATGCAAGACATGTTGAGGTTAGTCATTCATACATGCGTAATAATCTCGTGATGCAAGACGTGTTGAGGTTAGTCATTCATACATGCGTAATAATCTCGTGATGCAAGACGTGTTGAGGTTAGTCATTCATACATGCGTAATAATCTCGTGATGCAAGACATGTTGAGGTTAGTCATTCATACATGCGTAATCTCGTGATGCAAGACATGTTGAGGTTAGTCATTCATACATGCGTAATAATCTCGTGATGCAAGACATGTTGAGGTTAGTCATTCATACATGCGTAATAATCTCGTGATGCAAGACGTGTTGAGGTTAGTCATTCATACATGCGTAATAATCTCGTGATGCAAGACGTGTTGAGGTTAGTCATTCATACATGCGTAATAATCTCGTGATGCAAGACGTGTTGAGGTTAGTCATTCATACATGCGTAATAATCTCGTGATGCAAGACGTGTTGAGGTTAGTCATTCATACATGCGTAATAATCTCGTGATGCAAGACGTGTTGAGGTTAGTCATTCATACATGCGTAATAATCTCGTGATGCAAGACGTGTTGAAGTTAGTCATTCATACATGCGTAATAATCTCGTGATGCAAGACGTGTTGAGGTTAGTCATTCATACATGCGTAATAATCTCGTGATGCAAGACATGTTGAAGTTAGTCATTCATACATGCGTAATAATCTCGTGATGCAAGACGTGTTGAGGTTAGTCATTCATACATGCGTAATAATCTCGTGATGCAAGACGTGTTGAAGTTAGTCATTCATACATGCGTAATAATCTCGTGATGCAAGACGTGTTGAGGTTAGTCATTCATACATGCGTAATAATCTCGTGATGCAAGACGTGTTGAAGTTAGTCATTCATACATGCGTAATAATCTCGTGATGCAAGACGTGTTGAGGTTAGTCATTCATACATGCGTAATAATCTCGTGATGCAAGACGTGTTGAAGTTAGTCATTCATACATGCGTAATAATCTCGTGATGCAAGACGTGTTGAGGTTAGTCATTCATACATGCGTAATAATCTCGTGATGCAAGACGTGTTGAGGTTAGTCATTCATACATGCGTAATAATCTCGTGATGCAAGACGTGTTGAGGTTAGTCATTCATACATGCGTAATAATCTCGTGATGCAAGACGTGTTGAGGTTAGTCATTCATACATGCGTAATAATCTCGTGATGCAAGACGTGTTGAGGTTAGTCATTCATACATGCGTAATAATCTCGTGATGCAAGACGTTGAGGTTAGTCATTCATACATGCGTAATAATCTCGTGATGCAAGACATGTTGAGGTTAGTCATTCATACATGCGTAATAATCTCGTGATGCAAGACGTGTTGAAGTTAGTCATTCATACATGCGTAATAATCTCGTGATGCAAGACATGTTGAGGTTAGTCATTCATACATGCGTAATCTCGTGATGCAAGACGTGTTGAGGTTAGTCATTCATACATGCGTAATAATCTCGTGATGCAAGACATGTTGAGGTTAGTCATTCATACATGCGTAATCTCGTGATGCAAGACATGTTGAGGTTAGTCATTCATACATGCGTAATAATCTCGTGATGCAAGACATGTTGAGGTTAGTCATTCATACATGCGTAATAATCTCGTGATGCAAGACGTGTTGAGGTTAGTCATTCATACATGCGTAATAATCTCGTGATGCAAGACATGTTGAGGTTAGTCATTCATACATTAATAATCTCGTGATGCAAGACATGTTGAGGTTAGTCATTCATACATGCGTAATAATCTCGTGATGCAAGACATGTTGAGGTTAGTCATTCATACATGCGTAATCTCGTGATGCAAGACGTGTTGAAGTTAGTCATTCATACATGCGTAATAATCTCGTGATGCAAGACATGTTGAAGTTAGTCATTCATACATGCGTAATAATCTCGTGATGCAAGACGTGTTGAAGTTAGTCATTCATACATGCGTAATAATCTCGTGATGCAAGACGTGTTGAAGTTAGTCATTCATACATGCGTAATAATCTCGTGATGCAAGACATGTTGAGGTTAGTCATTCATACATGCGTAATAATCTCGTGATGCAAGACGTGTTGAAGTTAGTCATTCATACATGCGTAATAATCTCGTGATGCAAGACGTGTTGTTTAGTCATTCATACATGCGTAATAATCTCGTGATGCAAGACATAGGTTAGTCATTCATACATGCGTAATCTCGTGATGCAAGACATGTTGAGGTTAGTCATTCATACATGCGTAATAATCTCGTGATGCAAGACGTGTTGAGGTTAGTCATTCATACATGCTCGTAATAATCTCGTGATGCAAGCATGTTGGAGTTAGTCATTCATACATGCGTAATAATCTCGTGATGCAAGACGTGTTGAGTTAGTCATTCATACAATCTCGTGATGCAAGACATGTTGAGGTTAGTCATTCATACATGCAATACTCGTGTGCAAGACGTTGAGGTTAGTCATTCATACATGCGTAATAATCTCGTGATGCAAGACATGTTGAGGTTAGTCATTCATACATGCGTAATAATCTCGTGATGCAAGACATGTTGAGGTTAGTCATTCATACATGCGTAATAATCTCGTGATGCAAGACATGTTGAGGTTAGTCATTCATACATGCGTAATAATCTCGTGATGCAAGACATGTTGAGGTTAGTCATTCATACATGCGTAATAATCTCGTGATGCAAGACATGTTGAGGTTAGTCATTCATACATGCGTAATAATCTCGTGATGCAAGACGTGTGAGGTTAGTCATTCATACATGCGTAATAATCTCGTGATGCAAGACGTGTTGAAGTTAGTCATTCATACATGCGTAATAATCTCGTGATGCAAGACGTGTTGAAGTTAGTCATTCATACATGCGTAATAATCTCGTGATGCAAGACGTGTTGAGGTTAGTCATTCATACATGCGTAATAATCTCGTGATGCAAGACATGTTGAGGTTAGTCATTCATACATGCTTAATAATCTCGTGATGCAAGACGTGTTGAAGTTAGTCATTCATACATGCGTAATAATCTCGTGATGCAAGACGTGTTGAAGTTAGTCATTCATACATGCGTAATAATCTCGTGATGCAAGACGTGTTGAAGTTAGTCATTCATACATGCGTAATAATCTCGTGATGCAAGACGTGTTGAAGTTAGTCATTCATACATGCGTAATAATCTCGTGATGCAAGACATGTTGAAGTTAGTCATTCATACATGCGTAATAATCTCGTGATGCAAGACGTGTTGAAGTTAGTCATTCATACATGCGTAATAATCTCGTGATGCAAGACGTGTTGAGGTTAGTCATTCATACATGCGTAATAATCTCGTGATGCAAGACGTGTTGAGGTTAGTCATTCATACATGCTTAATAATCTCGTGATGCAAGACGTGTTGAAGTTAGTCATTCATACATGCGTAATAATCTCGTGATGCAAGACGTGTTGAGGTTAGTCATTCATACATGCGTAATCTCGTGATGCAAGACATGTTGAGGTTAGTCATTCATACATGCGTAAAATCTCGTGATGCAAGACGTGTTGAAGTTAGTCATTCATACATGCGTAATAATCTCGTGATGCAAGACATGTTGAGGTTAGTCATTCATACATGCGTAATAATCTCGTGATGCAAGACGTGTTGAGGTTAGTCATTCATACATGCGTAATCTCGTGATGCAAGACGTGTGAGGTTAGTCATTCATACATGCGTAAAAATCTCGTGATGCAAGACATGTTGAGGTTAGTCATTCATACATGCGTAATCTCGTGATGCAAGACATGTTGAGGTTAGTCATTCATACATGCGTAATCTCGTGATGCAAGACGTGTTGAAGTTAGTCATTCATACATGCGTAATCTCGTGATGCAAGACATGTTGAGGTTAGTCATTCATACATGCGTAATCTCGTGATGCAAGACATGTTGAGGTTAGTCATTCATACATGCGTAATAATCTCGTGATGCAAGACGTGTGAAGTTAGTCATTCATACATGCGTAATCTCGTGATGCAAGACGTGTTGAGTTAGTCATTCATACATGCGTAATCTCGTGATGCAAGACATGTTGAGGTTAGTCATTCATACATGCGTAATAATCTCGTGATGCAAGACGTGTTGAGGTTAGTCATTCATACATGCGTAATAATCTCGTGATGCAAGACGTGTTGAGGTTAGTCATTCATACATGCGTAATAATCTTGTGATGCAAGACATGTTGAAGTTAGTCATTCATACATGCGTAATAATCTCGTGATGCAAAACGTGTTGAGGTTAGTCATTCATACATGCGTAATAATCTCGTGATGCAAGACATGTTGAGGTTAGTCATTCATACATGCGTAATAATCTCGTGATGCAAGACATGTTGAGGTTAGTCATTCATACATGCGTAATAATCTCGTGATGCAAGACGTGTTGAGGTTAGTCATTCATACATGCGTAATAATCTCGTGATGCAAGACATGTTGAGGTTAGTCATTCATACATGCGTAATAATCTCGTGATGCAAAACGTGTTGAGGTTAGTCATTCATACATGCGTAATAATCTCGTGATGCAAGACATGTTGAAGTTAGTCATTCATACATGCGTAATCTCGTGATGCAAGACATGTTGAAGTTAGTCATTCATACATGCGTAATCTCGTGATGCAAGACGTGTTGAAGTTAGTCATTCATACATGCGTAATCTCGTGATGCAAGACATGTTGAAGTTAGTCATTCATATATGCGTAATAATCTCATCTAGTCTCCATCAAAGAATGGAACAATAATCTTTATTTGAGGGTTTTCACTATTTATACTCAATCATGAAACGATTTCGTTAAAAAAACTTCGTGACTTTTTCCTTCAACTAATAAAATTATTCTAATTTTGTTTTGTTGATACGCCAAGCAAGCAAATTCACCTGTTGTAGAAAAGGTTTTATGCTAAATTCTGTGAAAATGGCCTTGCGGTTGCTCTATTATTCAAAGGCAGGCAACATCAGATGACATAACGTCTGTCACGATTTTTCCATCTGAAGGACTTAGTATGTGCAGCAGGGGATCATTGATGTCTTAGTAGGTGCCGGAAGGTAACACTAATGCCTTAGTAGGTGCTGCAGGGGATCACTAGTCTCTTATTAGGCGCTGAGATGTCTTATTAGGTGCTGGAGTGGGTTACTTATATCTTAGTAGATGTTCCTGGGGATCCATTGTCGTTTACACAAAGTTTAACTGTTTTTAGAACCTGCATAACAATAAAGTTGAGATTGAATCAATTCTGACAAACGAAAGGGCACGTGCATCTGAAGAACGGCTTTTGTTACGTCAGACTGTGGAAACACAAAAACGAGACATAGAGGAAATACTTGTTAAACTTCGTGAAAAAGAAGTGGAAGCTGACGAGGTCAAGCGATCGTTGAAACATGTAGAGGAACAACTGGAAAGAAGTAGATCTTCATCACGTCGATTACAAGCCTCGGAAACTTTGACTTCTCAATGGACGCCATCTAGGGTTTGTTTTTAAATTTTGTTTTTATTATCTCGCAGCAAGGTTACTTCACGAGTACATAATGTTTGATCAAAGTTGTTTGGTTCTATCCTGTTTTCTTTTTAGATTCAGAAACTGTACGCGAGATATCTTCGAGCGGAAAAATGGCGGAAATCGTTGGTTTATCAAAAGAAATACCTTCTTTTATTACTGGGAGGATTTCGTGATAATGAAACGAAAACCTTAGCAACAATTGCGAAAATGGGAGCATACCCTTCTTTTCATGAGCCAAAAACACGTTTTTCACCAGCGTTCACAAAATTCCGGACTGCAGTAAGGGTTGTGGTGGCGGCAAAACGAATGAAATTTTTAGTGTGTAAATCAAAGAAATCCGTTCAACTAGTAATGGAGCCTGTCAGTCCTTCGCGAACTATACCAAAAAAATCAGAGTACAATCAAGGAACGCCGTATATTGTGGATTCATCAAGATTTGGCATCAATGGCTCACATCGAGAAAACGGTTCAACGGAGACTGGCTTTTTAACTGAAATTTGCAATGGTAATGTACAAGTTTTTTCGCCGAAGCAAACTGACCCGGGTACTACTCAACTTTGAATCATAGGCCGGTTGATATGGCCTCAAGTCGTGCTTTACCTTACACAGATTTCACTGACAGATTAGACACACGCTCTGTTCAAAGGTATGCTTAAAGTTCTTCATGAAACGTCGCAAAAATAGCATGATATTTGATATTTTTAAAACAATTTTTAGATTTTTAAAAGTATGCCTTTGGCAATTTAAGCAGCTATTTTTCATTTTTTTAGTTTTTCTCATTCTCCTCCTGTTCGCGAAAGACCAAACATTTCAAAATCTTATCATGTAAGGAGTCATGGCTCGCCAACCTCCAATAATTCAAGACAAGTAAGAAGTGCGCTAAACTTTGATTCGGATGATCTTGATCGAAAGATACAAACTCTTGACAATCTGCAGCAAAAGTTGTCTTTGAACCGAGGTAAAAAAATCTGCCGGACACACTTATTCTTTGCAACCATTGTCATAGCTCATTTTTATGACAAGTCCATCAATGTATTGTAAACTATATTAATAAAATAGAGACTTTGTCGTGGTGACAAATCTGAAAATAGTTCTAAATATTGCAAATACCATAGTGAATGGTAAAAGTAATATAATAAGTTGATAGTTCTTAAAAGAACTGGTTTAAGTAAAGAGCACTAACCCAATAGCAACTAACCCCTAGAACTCTTGGGTAAGTGCTCTTTACTTAAAACAGTTCTTTTAAGAACTATCAACTTATTATATTACTTTTACCATTCACTATGGTGTTTCCAATCTATAAACTATATTCTTCAAAACACGGTAAAACACCTTATTATAATAAAAACACGCATATGGGTAAAATATTCAACGATTTGTTAGATTGTCATGATAACGTTTGGGGTTCATTGTTCCCGTGTTTTAAGTGGAACAACTTGCAATAAACTAATTATTATTGAAGCATGATAAGATGAAAACATGATTATGCATAATTACTAAATGTTTGACTGGACATATGTTAATTTTGTTTGTTTTGCAATATTAATTTTAGGTTCCAAAACCGCGAAAGGTAACTTTTCTTGTTTTTGACCATATGGATTTGCTCTGGAAAAACATAAAGTTTTATGATTGTGTGTGTAAGTCGATTTTTGCAATTTATTTCCTGTATTAATATATTTATTGTCTGAACATTGTAACACAGCATTTAGATTGATTTGTGTTGAAATCAAGTGACATTAAGAACAATTATAATAACATGCTTCAAATGAATCTATTATCATTAATAAAGCAAGAACTTGTTATAACATTTGGCAACAATTCTATCACAACCAGTATTGGGCACATGCAATAACTTACAATGACATTAGCAACATCTGAGGTCAACACAGCATTGTAGATTGATTTGTGTTGAAACTTCATTAGGCAACAACTTCATTAGGCAACAACTTCATTAGGCAACAACTTCATTAGCAACAACTTCTATTAGGCAACAACTATTAGCAACAACTTCATTAGCAAGAACTTGTTATAACATTTGGCAACAATATACTATCACATGAGCAGTATTGGGCAACAACTTCATTAGGCAACAACTTCATTAGGCAACAACTTCATTAGGCAACAACTTCATTAGGCAACAACTTCATTAGCCAACAACTTCATTAGGCAACAACTTCATTAGCCAACAACTTCATTAGGCAACAACTTCATTAGGCAACAACTTCATTAGGCAACAACTTCATTAGGCAACAACTTCATTAGGCAACAACTTCATTAGGCAACAACTTCATTAGGCAACAACTTCATTAGGCAACAACTTCATTAGGCAACAACTTCATTAGACAACAACTTCATTAGGCAACAACTTCATTAGGCAACAACTTCATTAGCCAACAACTTCATTAGGCAACAACTTCATTAGCCAACAACTTCTTTGGCCAACAACTTCATTAGGCAACAACTTCATTAGGCAACAACTTCATTAGGCAACAACTTCATTAGCCAACAACTTCATTAGGCAACAACTTAGGATGCTGTTGGTAACATTGCGCAACAATTTTGATAACATGGGCAACAACTTTATCATGAGCAAGATTTTGCCAAAACTTTGATAACATGAGTATCAATAGGCTACAATTATGATAACTTGAGTAGCATTTGGCAATAACTTTGATAACATGAGCAACATTGGGCAACAACTTTAATAACAAAAGCGCTTGATATTTTGGGTAAAAATCATTGCATCTTGTGACGAGCGTCTATATTCATTTATTAATCACTCGTACAGTGAATGAATTGTTTTTCAAAGTGGTATTGTATTGAAAACTTTGGTTCGATTATGTTTGTTTTTTTTATATGTAAACAACATTAAAAATTAAACATTCTTTGGTAATGCATTGTTTTATTTATTCGGTTGTTTTAGTAATGGAATCTATTCGACAACAATTTCACCACAAAAAAATTTCCTTTCAATACATGAGATGACTTAATGGCAGGAATTGATTATTACGTACCGTTCCATTACTACTTGTTTTCGTTGGTTTTTTATTGTATACGATGTACTAAATATTGTCGTGTTCACGGTCTCGTTTGTCCTAAGTATTGTTTTATTTTCCTTCTCCATATTTGTACACATGTAAAAGCATTTTCATATTGTAAAATTCTCTCGCCGGAAATTCTTAATATAGTTTTATGGCAAACTGTGCGGAAATGTATTTGCGCTCCATGTGAGAGGATAAATATTTTGGGAGTCTTTTATAGGTTGACGGCTTGTGCTTTATCCTCTTTCAATCATGAAAGGTTAATAATAGCTTGACGATGGACAATACAAAACACAAGATCCTACTACTGCCCCCCAAAAGCAAGGAATTTTTGCTTCCGAATTTCTAATGAGACTTGAACTGAAAGAGACATGTGTACTGAAAGATTTTTCAATGGATATCATCGGGTAATTTGTATGATATTGCATGGGTCTTAATGGTATTTACTGAAATGACATCAATATGATTCATCATTGGTTTATTATATAACAAACATAGTGGGGGTTTAAATTTCTTTTAAACTTCGATTCATTAATAGAAACAAAAGTTTATGGGATTACAACAATATTGTGTGAGAAATACTTATCAGATCTTCACTTAATGTTTTTATACTGCATGTGGTATATAGTGGTAATCGAGGTGGTCATTTTGAACAAAATTGTTCGTATCTCTCGAAAATTTATCTCATTTCACATACACGGTACAGTGAATGTCTCAAATCGCGAACATTTCTCGTGAATAACTGAACCAACCATTCTTGATAATTGCCACCGCCAAGCGTAACTAATTTTTTACCTTCAGCTAAGATATGCATTTCAATAATGGCAGCCGCTCCAGCGTCATAAAGACCTTTAATACGACTTAACGTTTTTGGAAAATGAAGTAATTTCATCAGTTCGCGATACAAAGCAAGTCTTTTTCGTTTACTTACGTCATGAATAAGTGTATCAGAACCATGGTCTACTATATCACAAGCCAAGTAAACATTCCAATTATGTTTCTCTCGTAATTTTTGAACTCTAGCAGCAAGTTTTTTGAAACATTGTTGAGTTATATTATCCCCTTTGCGGAAGATATGTCTTTCAGCACGTACATGTATTGATATGAAAGATTTCCCTAGTCCCGATGTCTTTACGAACGATCTTGCAAGATCTATTAATTGAGCATTATGGCGTAGGTCAGACGGTCTTAGTACTGAAGTTCTTGACAACTCGAAATGACTTCTGTCACGACCAACACCTTTCCATTGAACGATTCCAACACAATTAGCACCGCGAAGAACTTTGTTTTCCAATGACTCCACAGTTCGAATTATCTCCGGATCTATACAAAGATAACGACTGATTTTAAATTCGCCTAGCTGTTGAGCAATGTTGGATTTTTTTATGTATGGGCAATTCGTCCAGCCATCGTTTTGCCGGGCACTAGAATAAATATTTTGTAATTCGAGTTCACTGATTCTATACCATGACATTGCATCCTCGATTGATTTTCTTTTGTGATATAAGAAGTGCACGACCACGTCTAATCTGCGATTACAATTTTTTTCCATTTCATGAAAAGATGTAAGAGTACTGTATCCGTTTGACTTTAATAGTTCGTTGACTTGTTTTACATCAAAATAGGTCTGAAATGGACTGAAACTGATGATGCGTTTCTTGCGAAAATGATGACCAACTCCATATGGAAGACCAGCCATTCTTGAATTATTCACAAAAGGTGCAACAACATTTCGTTCACCATGTTTGGCTATAGCACAAAGTGCCAACAGGTTACTGGTAGCTCGACCAAGTTGCTCGTAATGTCGAAATATTATTATATATTTTCTACCCAATGATGTATTCCATTCCCCAAATCTTTCTACTGTCTCTGGATCCTGAGGGATCCACTGAAGCTCGTCATTGGACATCTGTGAAAATCCTAAATGTATGTCTTTGGAAGTCTTGAGCGTACGATCTTCAATCTTTTCGATTCCTCCAAACATCATCAACCGAATTAGTGTTGTATATAGATATAGAATTACGCATATTACTGCAAGAAGATATCGGAGCTTTTTTCTTCCTAATATATAAGCAAGTAGACAACGCCAAGTCATGGATAAAGCGATCAGAAAATATCGAGTGCCATTGCCTACAAAATGTTACCGCTACCAGTCGTTTTGACAACACATTGCCGGCCTACTGATTTTGAATCAAATGGCTGCGAATATTGGACTTCGTCTCACAGTGGGTATGAAAATGTATTACAAAGACAGACAAGTCCTACTGCTTACTATAAGGCTCGTATTTGAACCTAATATATAGAATGTTGTATTCCATAAAGTCGATTGAAGATGAGCACATTCATCGACAGATTGAGTGTGCTCAGTTGAAAGTGAGATTACTTCCATTTGTGCATTTTGCGAGTACTTCCCTTTTAAATATGAACTGTTTTCCCCTCAGCTGTTTAGATTTGAAACTTGAATATTCTAGACTGGTGCTAATTCAGGAAAGGATAAAGATACTTAACTTTGTCATGTGATCTCCTTTCTAATATTTTGGACCCAATGTTATTATTGAGCAAGAAAAAGATAAAAGGATTATAGGCGATCGCTACTGATTATCATATTCAAAGTGATCGGTATGTCGATCTCCTACCAGGCAGAAGTATTTGTTTCGACAAATTAATTTCACTACACGCTTTTCTGACTGTGAGCTGGCGGGATGTCATGCGATGCTCCCCTTTTGAATTTCAAAGCTTTTACAATATCAATAGACTTGACATTGTCTTTTATTCAAAATGCTTTAAATTATGAAAATAGACGAAAATATGTATCTTGAAAACGGTAGAAACTGATATTTGTATTCAAAAAAGCTACTTTAACTATGTCTCTCAGTCAGTTTGCTCAATTGATATTGTTCACAGCTGTCTTTTGCACTGTTCTCAAATATATGAATAAAACATGTTAAAGCAATAAAAATCTAACGATATAGACACGTCAAATTAATAATGCTGTTAGCAAAAGCCTTGACAACAAGTTGCCAAATAAATCTCATCTATGTCTGTAAGAAGACCAAGATGAAATTAAATCTTCTTAAATCTTCTTAAATCTTGCATTAGCGTGCTACGCCACTTATATAAAAAAAGTGCATGGACCCAACTTTAAAATGACGTAGGTGTTCATGAAACGTGCCAATATAGAACTTTTCAGTGGCTGAACCAAGAAGACAGCGACGTAATTATATCACACTGATGAAAAACATCAGTTGCTACAAGTTTTGAGCGAAGTCTCTACCCAGTCCTCACTACTATTTCATTGACCGCTGTACAAAATAAATACGACAGATGACTCATATAAAAAATAAAAATGGCGTAAAATGACATGAACTCATCTATATATGGGCATATCTACGCCGTTTTTATGTCTTTGGCTGGCTGTATGCAATGTTTTCTAATGTCACTTGTATTTAAGTTTTTAACCATGTGTAGGAGAACAAAAAACAACATGTAAAATGAATACATTTAATTTTCTTTCTTTACTGACAAGTGGCTGATTAACTATTGTCTCTAAAGTAATCTGGTTTAGCTACTAAAAACAATATTGTTATAGAGGGATTTTATTCATTCTTACTGCCCATTTCTGTATGAAGAAGTCAGGTATTTCTCAGATTAGCCATATATTGTATAGTTGTCTGTTGCTAATGTTGGTTCTCTAAATGTTGATAACAGTTTCTCGTGAATGTGATGAAATTTTTTCTCTGACTTATTTAAAAGAAATACCATGTTGTTTTATACGATACCCTCCAACTCAGGGTATATAAAAAAAATCTGAACAGCTTGGAAAACGTCGCTAAAGCCACGAGCTCGTAAGATTTGCAAAAACCTTTTGGTGGAAGTAGTTAGTTGAACTTCTAATGGTTATTATGACAGTAAAATTTTTGCAAATAGCTAATGACCATTTTCAGAGTAAAATTGTGTTACCAAGAAGCACTTTCAAAATAGCTTGCGCATGAAAATGACGCAGCTAAAAAGCAATTAGAACACATATAAAGTTAAAATATGGTACAATTTGTCAAAGCAAACAAAGTTTTGGGAAATTTGGCTGATGTATACCCGAACGCTGGCTTTAAAAATGTAGATTATTTTGAATTTTTCGTTTTAAATGCCAGCTTTTTATAATCCTCGTCAATTATGCTTAAGTTCGAGGGTAAATCAATCAAATATGAATGAATGATGAGGTTTTTAAGAAAATGGCATTTAAAAAATGAGAAACGCAAAATAATCCGCAATTTGGATGCCTGGCGTTCGTGTACGTGTTGGTCAAATTTGTAAGCTTGAACAACATGTGTCATATTTTAATCATTTGATTTCCAATTGCTTTTTAGCTTTGTCATTTTGTGTGCAAGCTGTGTCCAAAGTGCTTCACAGTAGCATGATTCTCACTCTAAAAATAGTTATTAGCAAAAATTTTACTGTCAGATATGAACCATTGGAACTCCAACTTCCTATTCCATCAAAAATTTTACTGTCAGATATGAACCATTGGAACTCCAACTTCCTATTCCATCAAAAATTTTACTGTCAGATATGAACCATTGGAACTCCAACTTCCTATTCCATCAAAAATTTTACTGTCAGATATGAACCATTGGAACTCCAACTTCCTATTCCATCAAAAATTTTACTGTCAGATATGAACCATTGGAACTCCAACTTCCTATTCCATCAAAAATTTTGCAGATCTTTCGCGCTGATATCGTTAGCGACGTTTTCCTATTGTTTCATTTTTTTATGCACCCTGTAGCTGTGGACATTTGCGTTATATGCTCATTCATTTGACAGATACTGCAGTAAAAACATCCATTTCTTGTCTTTCGAAACTCTCCATGAGCAAGTGTTCTTGAAATATCGCAAGAATGTATAACTGTCATTTAATGAAGCTACAGTCAGATTTATTAATAATGAACTGCTGCGCCCGCATGAGCTAAATACAGTAGAAGTCTTTTAATGCTGTTTCTCATAGACATACTGACGTGTCTGGGTTTTTTTTTGTTAGAGGTCACAATTATGTCACTGCAGTGGTGTAAAATGTCGTTTGTTTAAAACAAAAGGTCATTGAGGTTTGTTCATACAGTTATGTCGTTTAAACAGTTGTGCCCTCCACCTTTCGTATTGTATTTCAGTGCGCGCATTATATGCTGAACTTTCTCTTCTTAACCTCAATCTTTTTTTACATGTATTTCTATCCATACTTCACATGTCTTCTTGTCACTTTGTTGTCAGAATACCACATAAAGTAGCAGTTGTCAATTCTTTCAGGAAAGAGAAGAATGAAGGAAACCATTGAACAAGTCATTTTATTTTATTAATTGTGTTATGTTGCTATTCTGATGTATGTTGATGTTCTAGAGTCATCAACAACTGACATCTCACTAAACGCACGAAAAAGATTGAATAGAACATCTCTTCGTCAAAGAAGGTAATAAGTTTATGAGGGGAAAGTTTTGCAGAAAGTTTTCCCTGTTGTGATAAATGGTTAAAATTTACATCAGCCAAACATCAGATATCAATATCATAGTGTTAAACTTTCTACAAGGCGTCCGATGGTTCTTACTATTAATTTTTTTGCAATCATTTGCGTTTATATCGCTTTATCAAAGATTTCAACAGCTCCGTTTACATTTTTCATTGTACATATTTCCTAACTTTGCTCTGTCATGAATTACATTGGAGAGGTAAGCTAACTGTCTGATAAATCTAAATCAGCTTTCTTGTTCGTAATGAATTATTATTTCTTAACTTAAGATTTGAAAGGCTGTTCAATTTAGACTTTACAACGGCTTTGCTTATTATTGTGAAAACTTTGACGCCTTTGACTCGAAATTTAATGAGAAAATGAAAAAAGATTATTTTCCATGATGCCCATGGATGCTTTATTAATTAATATTACTCATGGAAGATCAAACCATCCATGTTGTGAAGGTCATCAACTAACTAAAAATGTCTAAATATGTTTAACGGCTTAAATTATAAGTCAAAAAGGCCGAAGTTTTTTGAAACTCAACAACATCTTAGAATGTTTATTTTATGAGAAGAACTCTTATAAAGAAAAGAAAAATTTTGAAACTAAAACAATCCAACTTTCGGAATTGAAGAAGAAAAGAGCGAATGCAGATCGTTTCATGTTTAGAGTGATAAAACTGTTCGAAACCTATATATAAATCATTTGTGAACCTGAAACAAGCTGCACTTAGGCTCTCTTTTTTCTCCGATTTGATCACAGCTATAGACAAAAAGATATAGCACACATTTTATCGTTGCAGTTAATGGACCTAATGCCCTAGATTCATCCTGATAAAGTAATGGAGTTGTTGTGTACAATAATGACTATATTTTAAGAAAGATGGACGTTGTATTAACAGACATATCAATATATTCATATTGAGAGCTTTCTGCCTGGTAGATCTCTGGACAGGATTAAATATGAAATTTTTATGTAATAAAAATTAAGTGCAGGTACTATGGGATGTAATAAAAGAATAATATTTTGTCCATTTGATTGAGATTTTTGTTGCTCATTAATTTTTGTACAATTGTTAACCAACAAGGTATAGTTGTTTATCTAACATTAAATGAAAGTTGATTTTCATGAATATATGATGTCCCATATCAGTTGGGCGTGCGTGCCTCCAACCCTCTACCTCCACTGATTAAAAAGTGCAAATTTCGTCCCTATGGCTGTTTAGCTTATTTCTTGACTGGCAGAAAATTTATGAGCCAGCAAATATTGAGAAATCAAGGATTACAAAAATTGGATTCTCTGGAATGAAGCAACAGATATCTCTTATGATGTTCTCCTCATCAATATCATGTGGAGAACCCATTTTATTTACACATCAACATAGCTTTAAAGTTTCAAAATAAAAAATTTGCCACTAGCGTTACAAGCTTTACAACTAAAGTTATTAATAATTTTTAGAGCCATAAGCTCCAACTTAAAACGCCGACATGCTGTAACGTACTCAAATAGTGAACGAATAAAGCAAAGTGAAATCCTTCCACTCTTTCTCCCTGCAAACTTATACTCCAAAAGTCCCGGCTTTTTATGCACTGCGCACTTAGATAATACTAGTTGAGCAGGGTATATCAAAAAACTGAAGATAAATTCATTAGTGCAAAATGGAAATAGTTGGACTTCACTGATGAAAATTGACTGAATCGAAGCACTTAAAATGGCTTGCGCACAAAAATGACACATCTAAATGTCAATTGGGATACATCGGATTGTTTAGATACTGAAGTTTCAGGAAATTTCGGCCAAATCGTACACAATGCTTCCAAATCGTGGGTTGATTTAAGACTCGTTCACTCGATCCGATTGTTTCGGTTCCGATATTTAGTTGCTTGTTCAGAGGGTCCGATAATTTTGTTGATATTTATATTCGTTTCCATATTTATAGTCGTGGGAGCTGACATTTATTTTATACAGTACACTTATCAATATATTTTGCGTATTTTTCTTCTTGTTTCTCACATCTAATGTTTTGCGCCAAATGAAATTTGGAAAGTAGTCGGCTTTCTTTAATCTTGTTGGATGAAACCTTTGATGAAATTAGAGCAAATTCTACTTCCATTCGATTTTTCAGACTGACCGATCCGACTGTCGGAAGCTCACTTAATATGTGTCCACACAATCCATTTTTTGGATCCGACAAAATGCATTAATTTTTCATAATCTTTATCAATTGGCTATGCATAAATTTGGGCATAATTCAGTTTTTATGGAAAAATTTATGGGCCACTTAATAAAGGTTTTAGAAAATGCCATGAAAATGAAAAACAAAATAAACCACGATTTGCATGCCAAGCGTTTGCGCACGTTCCTAATAGCCAAATTTCTCAAAATATTGTTTGCTAGAACATCATGTGCCATATGTCTAACCCTTTGTGCTCCATTTTTATAGGTGTGTCGTCTTTGCACACAAGCTAGTTAAGTTCAAAATTGCTTCCCAGTAACTAACCTGATTATTTGATTATTTGCAAAAAATTTTATTTTCAGTTAAACTGTTGGATAACTATTTTAATCGAAGATTTATGCATGTCTTGGGTGCTGATGAAATTAACGATGTTTTGCAAATTGTACAATTTTTTGTACTATGTAAAGCAGAGATCTTGCAATGAATGTATTTGATCACACTTGAGCTAACTGAATATTTTATTGTCGCACATGTAGCTCTTTGCAAATGAACAGTAAAACGACAACTCAAATCCGCCGCTAACGTCAAAATTTCAATTGAATTGTTAGCGGTGCTGTAGTTATTCAAAGTATTTAGGTGTGTGAGGTGCGTCAGTATTTGCGGGCTAATCACATTCCAGAAACCTCAGCGACTGCTCAATTCATTTTTCATGCCTATAATTAAATTTATATGTTCAAAATGCTGCAAGTTCTGTTGTTTGTTTGTTGTTGTTTTTCTCTTTCTTTCGCTCATAATATCGACATCAATGTTGGCCCAATTATAAAGAAACATGCTTCTGGCTCATATTTTGGTTTTAGTGCAACAGGCGTTTCAAAAGAAAGAAATACTGTTCCCTGGTTTGTACGCAATTTAAAATTTAACGTTGTATTTTATATGGTTTTACTAAATGCTAGCGAATCATTGGTGTTTGATATTTTGTTGCATGTTATTTTATGAACTGTCAATTCTATAATTTTAGGTTGGCGGTTGGAAGTCCCAGAGCGAATGATACAGCTTTTGATTATGACTCAAAAACATACCGAAACACAGGAGCGTTTTATAAATGTCCTATATCGATGGACATGGAAGACTGTACGAGTATCACCTCTTCTTCTGGCAGTAGTAAGAATAATTTATTAATTTTCATGTGATAGTATTCGTATTGAAGAACATGTCGAATGCTTTAACCAATCTAAGTGGTCTGACAGACTGACAAGCTAGAATCTTCTGACAACTGTTGTTTAACTGGCTTATATGCGCTCACAAAATCCAGTCTAGCAATCAACATGTCCATTATTTTGATGATAATTATTTCTGCTATTGATTGGTTGCACTTGTTTTTGTATGGTAAAAACTAATGGCACATTGGTGAAAAATTACTGAGGTTAAACATTGCTCATGTAGTTGTCAACAGTTCTAATTGATACTTTATTACAGTTCTAATTGATACTTAACTTTAGTTCCAATTAAAAATCAACAGATTGCACCATACAAAACTATGGAGTGCAATATTTAACTATCATTAGTCAAAGGCAGTGTTTCAACAGATCCTTGTATGTTTTAGCCATGTTCTGCAAATGTCATTATTTGTTTCTTTTTTAAAGTAATTTTTTTTAATGATTGTACATAAATGTCCATAGAATAAATGAATATCCAGACTGGTTGCACCTTTGAATATGTGAGCATTTTAATATCCCCTACAAAGGAGAAACATTACCACCCATAGATCTAGCATATAGCTGAGGTCAATAGGCATGTTTTGTTCACTAATCATTTAAAAATAAATGTTGTCAGCAAATTCAAAGAACTAGGAGTTGGAGGTTTACATTTTTTATTATTGAAAAAATTATCTACACATAATATTGCAAATCTATTTACCAAAACTGTATAATAGTATTTCACATTTGTCACACTACTTATAAATAAAGTTGTTGTGGCATGTCAGTGCAAGGGTGCAGGAAGAAAGTTGAAATTTGGACTGAGAAAAAATGTGTGAGAACAACTTTAAGAAGAGCCATAAACTAACTATACCAAATCTTGTAAATATACATGTTTAAAAAAATTTAATGTCCTTGCCTCAACATACTCACATGTCATGTGGGAGTTTTTGGTTGTATAGAAAAGTACTCATGGTTAGAAACAAAGAGCTGTGTCCACTTCTGTATGTCTTACCTTACACATTTAAGAAATAAAAGATGTTTTTCGTGTTTGCATATAGGGTTATGCAAACCCAAGGAGATGCTTGGAAGAAATTGAGAGCCAATCAGAGCAGATAAGGGTCTTTACAAACATGAAAAACATCTTTTATTTCATTCTTCTTATAAATAACAATAATATGGAAAATGAAAATTTCAAAAAATGTGTTATTTTTCTCGAAGATGTTTTCTTGATTAATTTGCAAATGCTTTTTTATTGTTTTTATTGATTGAGCTCAGATTTAAGTGTTTTTTTATATTGAGATGAAATAAAATGATCAACCCCAATAAATATTTTAGAACTTTAAACATACAGGTGTGATTTTTGTTATTATTGTTAATTGTTACATGTTTGTAAATGTAGATCGTCCAGGTTGGTATAGTCCTGAGAAAATGGATGGTTATTTTGACTCTGAAGATGACTACCCGCTTAGGTTGTCGAAACATCAGTCAACAACAACAAAAATAGTCCTTCTCAGGACTATACCAACCTGGACGATCTACATTTCAAACATGTATCGATACTCCCGGGCTCAAACCATTTACTTTATTGTTAATTGTGTTGAGCTGAGTAAGTCTTTACAAAATTTACATGCAGTATATGTGGTCAATTGATGAGAGTTTATCAACCAATAAGTACTTTATTGAAAATTTAGTATTATTTGAAGGAGCTGGGGAATCCAAAAATTGTGCAATTTTCAAAAGAAAGTTTGTAGTTTGCTGTATCAAAAACTGTATTTACTATTTTAGTTAATATTGATATTTCTGACCCATCTGATGGATGGTATGGTGTTTCGGTTGCTGGTGGTGGTGAAAAAGATCAAAGGCTTATGGTGAGTAGTAGTGTTTACCATGAATTATTTTGAACTAAACCATTTTTTGGCTAGTATTTGGGATGAAACAAATAGAAATGGTTTTAAGAAGTGTACAATATTGTTCAATGCACATGGGAATGAAATACTTTCTGGTTAATTTGGATCTTAATGATTTTCCTTACGTAAGGTTTCTTGTAAATGATTAGTTGCATCATGTCATTTGAAAGTAGAATTTCTTTTAGCTCAAATCAGAACAGCCTGTTTTTGTGGTATCAAATGGTAATTTGAGTAATTTGACCTTGATTTTTAAAGTGCATATATCATTTTTCTAGGTCTGTAGCCATAGAGTTAGTGTTCTTCACTGTCGTACATGCTGGAGACCAACTCTTCCAGGATATTGTATTATCTACGACAAAGATGGCAATATTGATGGAGATGAACTGGACGCAATTTACAAAAGCAATGAAAGTAAATCAATATAAAGCCATTTACAATTATTGGTGCTTCTTGTACGAAGTTTCTATGCAGGCAGCAAAGCTCTTGTAGTTGTAGATCAAGAGCAAAGCTCTTGTAGTTATTGGTCAAGAAGAAACGTTCTTGTAGTTCTAGGGAAGCAGTGAAGCTCTTGTAGTTTTAAGTCCAGCAGAAAAGTTCTTGTAGTTGTAGGTTATGTAGCAAAAACAAAAAAAAATATTTGAAAGACTTCCTTCTAAAGAAAATTTCTTGTCTATTGTTGGCAATTAATGAGTTTGTGTGTTTTTCAGAGGACAATGCGGGATTCGACGCATTACAAATTGCAGTATCTTATAAGCGTTCCAGATTTGGTCAAACTGGCATTGGTGCTACTGTTGGATATAAGGTGGCTATGTTGTTCCTTGTTAAACATGTCTGTTTTTTAACTTCTCAAGTGGTGGGAGAGAGAGAGAGAGTTTAAAAACTTTTCTGCAGTGAATAGCTTAGTCAAACACAAGGACTGTGGACGTCATTTGATGATTTGTCCAAACGATGTAAACAACATAGAAATTTTGGTTTTTCCTTGAACATACAGTAGGCGGCCAACAAATAAGAACTTGTCTCGCATTGATTGATCAAGACAAATTCTTTATTCATTAACAATAAACCAGTAGCTGTGGGCCGCCCGTATATTGGGGGGGGGGGTGGGGTGGGGAGAGGGCTGGCTCAGGCAGGGCTCAGGACAGGAAAATGGAAAATTCGCACTTTTGTCGCAATGTGTTAGTGTGTACAGCGATTTGTACTTATAAGATAAATTCGTGTTAGACTACGTTGACTTTTTCGGGTTCGAGTGTCCGACATTATGATTTATGTTTTCCGTTCATATATATGTTTTTCAGAGTTGAATTCGGAACATTCTGTTATGGAGATTTTTTGTAATCTAGCTATATTATTGCTTTGTTTCCGTCAGACGTGTAGCTTCGTACATCGTTTTATTGGCAAAAATTGCGTTTGTTTCTCGCTTGTCACAATCTGGAAATTGACTTGATTAAAATCATTTCTATAATAAATAATTACTACGTTTTTAACAATTTTCTACCAAAATATCTTGTTAAAATGAAAAGGGTACAAAATGAAATGGATAGCAAAATTTCTACAAATTGTCCTGCTGACATATTTTTACTTACCAATATTCTTTTATGTTTTTAGGACAGAAGTTTATATGCTGGTGCTGTTGGCGATGGGAATTGGAGAGGTACGTCACATTGTAGTCCTGTCACGCATATATACGCTCTTGCTTCTACATAATATTATCGTGACTGTGCAGTCTTGGTTTTTTGTAAACTATTGTGAAACTGTCAATGCATGGGAACAGTCTGTGCAGTTGAGCCTGTCCGTGCTGGGAAATTGGTGCAAGGAAACCTGTCTGTGCAGATCAACCTGTTTGTGCAGGTGAACCTGTCTGTACAAGGAAAACTGCCAGTTCTGTCTCCAAAGATAATGTGTAAACCACAAAGTCATGCCCAACGTTCTTTTTCCACAGATTATTGAATAGATTTCGAGCTACAATTGAGCGATTATAATTGAATAAAGCAATCATATTTGGCCCGTACTCTTTTTTATCGCTAAACGTTAGATTGTTGTCCATCTACATATAGGTTCTATAGTCACCCTTGAGGGTAAAAATGAAAGAACATCAAAACAAGTGTTTTCCTACGGAGGTATATGCTCAACTTGTTTTGCTTTGTTACTATCTAAAAAGTGTGCATTAAATTTATATTTTGATTATTTTTCATGACTCATGCAATTTTTTTTAAATAAATGTTAAGGCACATATCAAGTATTAGATTAGCATTAGTGACGTAGCCAGTCTGCAAATTTGTTCATGTAACGTAAATTTTAGATCATTTACGACTGAACTTGCGGGCTTGCTACGCCACTGGCATTAAAGATGTCGAACATTCGTTATAGTCTTTATTACGTACACGAGATACATATAAACCAGCTGAAAAACTGCCTGATCTCTGCTTTGAACTTGGCTTAGTAAAAATCTTTTTGTGCCAACAGTTTTTTTGCCAAGATAACAATGTTGGTTAACACTGCCTTTAAAAAATGCCTTTAAAGCACCTTTAAAAAGCAATTCAACCAGAAATTTGTGTAATCTGGTATCGCATTAATTGACACAGTCCACTTTATTCTTGTTTATTAGCCTGAGATGTTAGAGCCGTCCTTCAGATGTGCTTTTTGTGTGATGTGATACTGTCAAGTTTCGAACAAAAAAAATTTTCATACATTTTTATTTCATAGGTTATTCCATGGCATCCGGAGCATTCTTCATGTCTGATAGTAACGGTATGCATATTTTTATATGTGTCAGCTCGTTGTGCACGACTATTTGTGTGAAACGTATTTTTTTATGATATGCTAGTGTAGTGTCCTGCAAGCAAACCGTTATGGATGTATGCGGTGATGAAGCCAGCCCAAATTTTATTCCTACTGTTGATAATTTCTTTAAAATAATAGTTTCGTTTTTCGTGAACACAAAAATAATTGCATTGTATGAGTAAGAGGTTTGATTGAAAATATAGTAGAATTTAACAAAAGAAGATTACATGTTGAAAGCTTATTTTTCTCAACATATGATGACATACGTACTGTTTACCAATGATGACATCATACTGTTTACCAATGATGACATCATACTGTTTACCAATGATGACATCATACAGTTTACCAATGATGACATCATACTGTTTACCAATGATGACATCATACTGTTTACTATGCTTGTTACGTTTTAATATATTTATTCCATATGAATTCAAACATCAAGCGTGAACGTTTTTGAATTATGTACACAGATATTTCATACTTGATAAGAAAGAAGCAGATTATTTCTAGTCAACTGTTTTGATTATCCTGTAACTTTCATTTGTCTGTGTCATTTAGATTTTGCTATTGGTGCTCCAAGATACGATATGAATGGCGCTGTAAGTTTACCTTGTTTCATGAATAAAGTGAATAGTTAAAAAACCCTTGAGTATCGTAACATGTTTGTGGTCGTCCATATTTGGATGACTACATCTACGCCAACTCTCTTTCTCAGGACATCACTAACCTGGACGATTAGTGTGACTACATGTAAGCTTAAACACTCTCCCCCCCCTCCCCATGTTGTGAATGTTGCAACTACGTATATAAAGCAATGGGAGAATCTAAGCTCATCAGACTAGAAAAAGTAATAAAATTTGCACATATGGCCATATTGTGTGCGTACGATCTACATCTACAAACATGATTATTCCAATGATACAAACTTTTGAAGAAATAGTTAATGTACGTATTCTATAGTAAGCTTTTCGTAAATTAAACATGAGGAAAGGTTGGGATAACGCTACAGCTACTACAAAACGCGTAAAATTTGAAGTTCTTCCAATTACGAGTTGAAGTAAAATGATTTATTGTTTTCGTCTCGTGTATACGTAGGTTTTGCTTAAAAGCTCTCTTGAAATTGAAGATCCAAGATTAATTATCAAAGGGGAAAAGGTCAGTATTATATGTAGCAGCCGCTACGGTAGATGATCTTTTAAGCGCGGTCTATAGTGTAATTGTTATCCATGTATGGTGTACAAATGATAAGTTGAAAGAGACATGTATCTTGTTGTACGTTGTTATCTTTTGTAGTCATTGTTTTTGTCGTGTATTTTTTGTTTATAGGATTTTTATCCGTGTAAAGTTCTAGTGTAGATTGAAGAAATTTAACTGTTGTAACAAGAAAAACATGCAACTTGCTAAAGTGTATTTTTTAACTTTTCGTATAGTATGGTTCGTATTTTGGAATGGCCGTTGCTGCAGGAGACTTTGATGGGGATAAGTATGTGAAGAGTTCTTGTGATAACAAAAAAAAAAAACCTGAAAAGCGTAAAAGTTTTTGTGTTTGGGGATTGTTTTAGATTGTATGAAATTGTTGTTGGGGCTCCGTATTTCTCTGAATCCATTCCGAGCACTGGAAAAGTTTATGTTTACAGTGGAAAGGTATGGAAACTATATGATTCTTTGAATTCGTACATATAGTTTCAAATAAAAAATATGCTGTTCTTCGCTCGTGTATCATGGTATATGTTAATTGGGACAAAAGTAGAACTACTTGGAAACTGGACATTAGTTTTCTATAATCATGGCAAATTTGTGAGGCGTATATGTTGTATTTTGCCACAGAACAATTTCATAGCACCAATACGAATGTATACATCAACGAATCCTGAAGCGCATGCGTTGTTTGGTAGAGCTGTGGCTGCTGTTGGAGATTTAGATCAATCAGGATATGACGGTAAAATTTTTTGTTTACTGCTTGTGAAATATCTCAGTGAATAAGTTACTCTCGTCATGGTAGTTCTTTCGTGTTTTTAGATTTAGTTATTGGAGCTCCTTACGAAGGAAATGGGGGAGTAATTTATATTTATCATGGGTCAAACTCTGGTCTTTCTGAAAATTATGTCCAGGTATTTGTTGTCTAAAAACTCATTCAGATCTTTTGAAATTCGCTTTCATTTAGCAGCATTGTGATCGTGACGTATTTGTTAGAGAATTTGTCTTCACACTATTCATGTGCAGTGTTTTTTAAGTCCGATACTTTTATCTTTTTCATCTTTAGAGAATTGAAGCAACTGCTTTAATGAATAAACCTCAAACATTTGGATGGTCGATTCGTGGTGAAACCGATCTGGACGCTAATGGTTATCCAGGTTTGGATTAGATTTATCGCTATTTTAAATGGGGATGTCTAGATTAATGTATCCAGATTTATGTGTTGGGGACTGATAGAAGATAAACTGCACTGTATGACCCGTTAAAAAGATAGTTTGGCGTGAAGCTTTAACACTATCATTGGATATGTATTTTTCAAAACAACCTGTATCATTTTATATCTTTTATAACTCAATGATGAATCGTCATGTCGAACTTTACATATTTACGTTTTTCATCTGCATTCATACTTATACATAATTTTTGTTCATTGCAAAACCTTCAAAGTTGTGATTTTTAAGTTCTTTTGTGCTATTCACAAAAGGCGTCCCAGTGTGTGAACAAAAACCTGCTTTCTTTAATAAAATTGTTGCTAATGATGACTTTTCATTACTGTAACACGTGGAATATGGAAACTTGAAAGTACAGTTATCTTTGATTGTCTTTTTAGACTTGGTTGTTGGAGCATATTTGAATGACACAGTTATGATCTTAAGGTAATAAAGTTGCCTATTTGAATGACACAGTTATGATCTTATGATCTTATTTTTTTGCCATTTTCTCAAGTATATAGTTAAATCTGGCTGTTTGAAGCTTTAAAATGCCATTTTCTGGAGTGAAATAATACCTACTGTTTAATTTCAGTTGCTTTTGTCCAAGACACCTTGCCAGCACATTACTGCAAACCTTATCGTGTGTATCTTTCATAGATCAGTACAAACTATATCACTTATATCTTGTATATCTTTCATAGATCAGTACAAACTATATCACTTATATCTTGTATATCTTTCATAGATCAGTACAAACTATATGACTTATATCTTGTATATTTTTATAGATCAGTACAAACTATATCACTTATATCTTGTATATTTTTATAGATCAGTACAAACTATATCACTTATATCTTGTATATTTTTTAGATCAGTACCAGTGGTTGAAGTGGATGTCAAATTTAACCTATCTTCCCCTTCAATTGACGTCTCAAATAAAACATGCACAATGGAGGATAATAAAGGCAAAAAGTTTCAAACTGTTTGGTGAGTGAAATGTGGAAAGATATTTCACCAATCTTATGGCCTGTTTGAATGTGCTTGAACCATCGCCAATCTGACGTGCGTCATGTGAAAAGATGTAGCTACAAATTTATTAACTTATTAAATTATTTTTGTAGTTTCAATGTTACAGTTTATGCGTCATACATGGATCGAGCTATAATGATGACTAATGAAATAGGTAAATAGATTAATCATTGCGATTGTAAGACTTTCTAAACCAAAAATTAATACCAAAGAAAATTACCCCACTCCCCTTATGATTATTTGTTAAGAAATAGGTATTATATGTTTGTGGATGTAGATCGTCCAGGTTAGTATAGTCCTGAAAAGGACTGTTGCTGTTGATGTTTACTGACGTTTCGACAACCTTATCGGTAGTCATCTTCAGAGTCAAAATGACTACAGCTAAGGTTGTCGAAACGTCAGTAAACATCAACAGCAACAGTCCTTTTCAGGACTATACTAACCTGGACGATCTACATCCACAAACATGTAACGATACTCCCGTGCTCAAACCATTTACTTTAATACGTATTTATGATGTTTTTCATGTAGAGATGCAAGTGTTTGTGTGCAAGTGTTTGTGTATGTTTTCACCTTACAGAACTGACATTTCAAATTGACGCTGATACGCTTGTACGTGACGTAAAGAAAAGGAGAGTTATCTTTCAGGCTTCTAATTCTCCAAATTTGATTGTAAAAAATGCACGTGTGAAAATGGGAGAATTGAGTGATGTTGTCAACGCTCTTGCTTACATGAAGGTACTTGACAATAAAAACAGAAAGAAAAAAGCTAAAATCAAGTGTCGCATAATGAATTTTTATGTTTAATTTAGATTGAAGAAGGATATGAGTACGGCATTAATCCTTATCCAGATATTCAACTCAAAGTCACTCCATCACTTCCTGATCGAGCAAAACCGAGTCCTCCTCCAACAACTGGAACCCCACCTTCTCTACAACCTTACTTCAAACTACCTTATACTGTAGGAAGTGATCCATTAAGTAATACAGCAAACTTTTCTGAAACAATGGTAAATAACACAAGTTTTCTACAATAATTCGTTTTTTTTGCTGTAAATCGCTAGTATTTGAACTGTATTTTTTTCTGCTTTGGTTACTATCTAAAATTATAAATTGAAAATTGAATTCATTTGGTTGAAGTTGGTTAATTGATTGAATGGTGATCGGTGCAAGTGGTAGTGCATTGTTAAAACTTGAATGGTGATCGGTGCAAGTGGTAGTGCATTGTTAAAATTTGAATGGTGATCGGTGCTAGTGGTAGTGCATTATTAAAACTTGAATGGTGATCGGTGCAAAAGGTAGTGCATTGTTAAAATTTGAATGGTGATCGGTGCAAGTGGTTGTGCATTGTTAAAATTTGAATGGTGATCGGTGCAAGTGGTAGTGCATTGTTAAAATTTGAATGGTGATCGGTGCAAGTGGTAGTGCATTGTTAAAATTTGTCAATATTAGTTTGCACTAACGCTGCAACATGCCTCGTTGTAAAACAAGATTTTGACGTAGCATTTTTTATGCAATAATGTATTAATTACTACAAATTGCAAGTAAACTTAGCATAAGTACTTTCCATGTTTTTTAGATTTATGTCAAACGTGCATGTGATCCATGTAAGCCAAACCTCAGCATCAAAAATGTTGGAACCACGTAAGATTATAATTATATGCTTCCATCATTGTAGAGTTGTTTGTCTTATAATGTATTCTCCCATATTTTTGTTTATGCCTTTGGTTGTGTCAAGAATTAATGCAAGATGTTTTGTGCTAAACGACAAAACCATATTTCAAACGTGGGGTAGTCGTTTTTGATGTGCACAAGTTGTTTTAAATGTCAGTTTTTATATTGTAACGTAATGGATATAATGTGATTCTAAAGTTAGTAAGCAATGTTACCCCGTTGGCCACTAATGGTAAAGTATATCTGTACCATGGGAAACGCTAATGTCAGTTAGATTTGTTTATAAAGTTCGATTTTTTCGAGAAAAAAATAGGTCTATGTGTTTGATAAATAAATTAATTCTTGAGAAAGGGGATTTAGTGATGTACTTTTTTGTTTAGTTCGATCATGGATTAGTTTGATGAGTGGCAAAAATTCACATCTGACATATATATATCTCCTAGTATAAACATTCCATTTTACAACCTACTACTTCAGTATGTGATCTACACTTATCTGAGCTAGATAAAAACATTGTTTAGTTTACGAAAGCCAAAAAGGTCAAAAAAACTATGTATTGCCACAAATGCCCAAGAATATAAATTTCATATTCTGATTCTCTGTTGATGCCTGACATGAACGCCTTATTCAATGCAAAATGGTGGGCAAGCAAAAGTGGACCATAAAATAATACAACCTCATTGAGTTTCTTTCACTTATTAAAGTAAGCTGAAATGTCGGGATTAAGACTTTTATGCTTCGTGCTTATTTCTGTATTTGCCGGGCCAGCCCGGCTCATGTGAATCAAATAATAAACCTGCCCGTCAAAGCGGGCCAGCCCGGCTCATGTGAATCAAATAATAAACCTGCCCGTCAAAGCGGGCCAGCCCGCTCATGTGAATCAAGTAATAAACCTGCCCGTCAAAGCGGGCCAGCCCGGCTCATATGAACAGGCCCTTAGTTCCATTATTATTTCATATGTTTAAAATGAGTTTCTAATTCTGTAGGAAAATTCCCGTAGGAAAATCAAGTATATTCTTGGATATAGAAATTAGCAATACGGGAGATACAGCGTTTTCCACCGTTTTCGTTGTCAATTTACCTGTTCCACTTATTGTAAGGCCCTGTCCTCCAGATGTTAAAAAAGAGGTGAATAATTACTGCTTATGAATCGCAGATTCTGTCGTTGTATCATGTCCTTTTAAGTCTTGCTCGTTTTTTAATTGGCTTACAGGAGCACGTTAAGCAAGAATTATAAGACATACTCTATCGAAAATGAAGATCAAACTGTATTGTTTCTGTGATCAACGGCGCCCATTCTAAGATTAATCATTGAACTAAAATACATCTGGAACGATAACTCCTATAGTTTTGTCCAATGATCGGTTGAAGCCAAAATACATCTTAAATTTGTCAAACTCTCCCCCTGAAATAATGCGTATTTTTTGGCGGCCGATGTTTATTTTTCATTAAAAATGCTATTTTTTAAATTTTTTTATGAAAGGATTGGCGTGACCTGAAAAAATGAAAAAATCTAGTTTCATTTTACCCCCCTGATTTATCGTTCCAGATGTATTTTAGTTCAATGAGATTAACTAGGAATTTCCCGGGGGCGGGGAGCCAATCGACCAAATTAGCTCAGTTACACTCACACACAAAGTTTACAGATATATTTAAAGCCTTAAACGTTTATATAAAGCGAATTAATGTTTGTTTGTAGCATGATATTTATATGTAGTGGTTAGGGGACCCCCGTCGCCCTTAATGTGTGATTCTGCTGCTTTCTGCATGTGATTGATCTTTGTTGTGTCTTCATCAGCTACCTCAAAAATGCTGTTTATTCTTCAATTTAATTTTTTTAGTGTTTGTATACGAATTGTCAAGTTGAAAAGAACGCCACTCGATTAGTTTGTGAACTTGGAAACTTAAAGAAATCGTCAAAGGTAGCTATGTCATGTCGTTCGTTTTGTTTTTTACATCTCATTATAACTGTCTGCATATATTTGTTTCTATAAAAATATACATGTTGACCTTTAGTCTTTTTCATTGGATTGCTTTAGATACGTATGCATGGGAAATATAGAGAGTGTGGTACATGACGATTGTAGATTGGGTCGAGTACGCACGTTTGCGTCATGTGTGTCAGTTCCTATCCTCGAAACATATTAATTTTATCATCTCAGATAGCTATTTTTGGTTCTAGTAACCATGTGTACCTTCAAAACAGCACAAAAAACATTGTTCTGGACTGAACGCAAAAACGCACAAACATCAGAAATATAGGAAAATACAAATGTTACTCGTGCCAGTGCGAACTATTTGCTTTGGCTTCCTAAATGAAGTCCGCGTTTTCAATTTAAAACAGTCTGTTATGTGTAATCCAAGGCTCCCGGACGCGCTTTTATGTTTGCCGTCTATTGACGACGTGCGTACCTATTTTGTTTTACAGAATTACGCGTTTAAGGTTGATACAGTTAAGACGCGCTTTTATGTTTGCCGTCTATTGACGACGTGCGTACCTATTTTGTTTTTACAGAATTACGCGTTTAAGGTTGATACAGTTAAGACGCGCGTTTATGTTTGCCGTCTATTGACGACGTGCGTACCTATTTTTTTTACAGAATTACGCGATTAAGGTTGATACAGTTAAGACGCGCGTTTATGTTTGCCGTCTATTGACGACGTGCGTACCTATTTTTTTTACAGAATTACGCGATTAAGGTTGATACAGTTAAAGCATCGAAGTCTCGTAGTACCTACATTGTAACTATGAATGTTTCAAGGTATGTACTTTTCTGTTTTGACCTATTCTTCTCCTACTTCTTGTCGGCAAGTTTTTCCTTATTATACGGTTCAGGTGTTACCAATGCGTGCACTACAGTTCATACGTTAAAATAAATGAAGATTCTAGAAAATGTCATCTAGATAAACTGTGAAAAGGCATGAAGTTGCTGGGCTTGGCTCTTTTACATGTTAAAAAAATTATACTTGTTTTTTTGTTAACTCTATGTAGTATATAGTCTGAGAGAAACTCTTGTGTTCAATAGGTCCTACATATCTTTGTTTGTTGTTTGCTCGTGTTTGCTACTCTTAACCTCTAAACTAGTTTGACTATTTGCCAATTAATAGCTTAAACGAAGAAGATAAATCTTTGTTGGGCGATAATTATTTATCTTTGGAACTAAACGTTACATCCACGGCTGATATTGAATTGCTGTAAGTATCTTATAGTATTTGGTATTGTGCACATAGCAAGTAATTGACGTAAAAATGGGTGTGCATTTTATTGGAGAAATTATGCTCCAAATTGCATCACATGGTGAACTCAATTAGCAAAATTACTCAGTGAAATGCATGCGGAAAAAAGTTTTATGCCGGAATATATGAGTCGGCCTATGATTGTGGTGTGTTTATTTTTGTTACGCTGCGTTGCAACATGAACTTTTCATCTTTGACGGGAGAGGTAATGTTTACTTGTGATTATTATGTGAAATTTATGTGTATATGTGTTTCATTTTAGAGCATCGACCAGTGGAGGCAAGTTATATGGTGGAGTTGTTCGCGGCCAGTTTGCCATGGACAGTGTCAAAGAGATTGGTATAGAAGTTGATCACACTTATAAGGCAAGGAAAAAACTGGGCATAATATTTGACGTTAAACATTCATTTGTAAGCCATCGTATAAAATCGTATTAGGATATAGTTAAAGTGAATGTACTGGTAATGTGAGAAACTTGACGGGGAACTGGGACTGACTCGAGGAAAACAAAACTTGCTATTTCCGTCGGGAGAATGCAGTAAATGTATAATGGAGGTTTCTCTATATTAGCGATATTTTCTTTTGCTATAGGTTCTGAATAAAGGTCCCGACATTATGCCAGAAGTGAATATTACAATTCATTGGCCATATCAAGCAGCAAATGGCAAACATTTGTTGTATCTCGTCGATATCATGGTTATAATAATAGTTTATTGTCTTTTTTTTGTTTGACAAGTAGTATCCATTAATTTATACTTAGATATAATAGCACATAGTTGTTAATTATTCATGTTTCAATTTTTCTGTCATCTTAATTTAGTTTTTATTGATTTAGGGTAAGGGCATCAAATCAAAAAACGCAAAGTGTTTCCCTGACGAAGGTGTCGTTAACTCCCTTGCCTCCCAGGTAGTAAAAATCGAACTATGTCTGAGAAGTCACTTTTTTCTATTTTATTTTTGTCTATTGGGAGAACTTACATACTTAATACCTGTTTTTCACAAGAAATGCTTTACTAATTCTTGAATTGTTCTGATAAAAAAATACCGAGGAATTATTATCATCGTTGTTAATTCATATGATGTGTGCTTCTTGTTTAAGACATTTTTGGTAGTTGTTATCTCGTCTTTTGTAGTTCACTGAAGATAAAAATCGTCGCCGACGTCGTGCTGTTGAAGAAAAACAAGCATCTCCAGCCAAGTCTCAAGATAGGGAAGGATCTGCTTCGATGGTTGTTTTGGTACGCAATCACACCTACATACGTTAAATATGTTTGAAAAATGCAATCATTTTCGTGGGTATTCTGTACGTTATCCATATGTACGCCCCGCGTACCTATTTTTGTGTTTGTAACGTATTGCAATAGTTCTTATCTCATGGTGGTTTGTAAAATACTAAAGCCGTGATTGCGTTTTGTAAAAAATATTAATATGAGAGTTTGATTCCTACATATATGACATTTAACATTTACCAAACGGTTACTGTGTTTGAATGGCTTGGGCCGAAGGCACCGCTATTTTTAACTCGAGCAACATTCCCAAATGTTTGGATCAAGTCATCTAAACACTTGAAACCGTTTAGTAAATGTTTTATAAAGTAGTAAAAAATCGTCTTTGTTTTCAGGTTTACATGCATAGTTAAAATATTAGAACATCATGTAGAAGAAACTTAACACAACAAAAACTAAAGATCCCCCCGTTCCCGAATTAAAAACTTACGGTTTTAGTTTTTTCATATTTGCGTTAGTCCATTAGCTTCTATCTTACTCCAGGACTGTAGAAATGGCACAGCTATGTGCGTAAACATACCATGCACTTTTTACAACATCAACCCGGATGAATCAGTTGAAGTTGTGATAAAAGCAAGATTATGGAACGGAACTTTACTGGAGGTGAGTGGATTTTGCAGTTTTTCTGAAGTGTGGATTCCATTGTCGCAATTATGTCAAAGTACTTATGAGATGTGCAATACCGATTTCTTTTTCAAATTTCTGTGTATTTCATTAACTATCACATCCAAAGAAGGTAGTAGGCATACTTGTATAAAATTTTTTCTATGAATTCGTAACTATTCGATCCCGCTGAAAATAGTGACGGCGGACTGTAGGGTACATTTACGTCGATAATAAAACACGTAAATTATGCCTGAGTTTTACAGCATCAGTGCAGAGAATATTTTAAGTTTACATTTTGTAAACAGAACACAATATGTACCCGAATGCTCTTGTGATGAAATATAACAAAATGGAAGAGCTTTCAATCATGGGAGTGAGACCTGTTAGCATTACTTTTTGTCAAGGAAAGCTGCTGAATATGGACATGAACATTTTAATTCAGCCGAGTTAGCGTTTTCAACGCATACATTGAGCAATGGTGTTTTTTAGGATTACTCTGGTCGGGATGTCCATGTCATCTCATATGGTCGTATTACAGACTGGACTAGTTATGTTGTTGAAAAAGACGACAGCAATCATGAAGCAGAGGTTAATATTTAACAATTATTGATGAGCATGATATCAAGAATTATTCAGACTGAGGTCAAAGTGATCTGCCGAAGTTTTAATGCACAATTATAAATGCAGAAGCTTTCAAACTGTTTTATACGGAAGGAATAAATTTTCATTGCTTCGACAAACAATGTTTGGAGTTTGATTTCGTCTTTTTTCCGTAAATACACGTTGAAAATTCTCCTGACTGACAGTGCAACCCTTTCCGTGCTTTCTTTAGTCCGTATTCTCAATAAATTGTGCCAAATCGGTTTGTGAAACGCTTTCAAATCCCGAGGAAGATTTTGCCATAATACTTTTTTTGATTTCAGTATTTACATTAAAAAATACCTCTCGAAGAGATAATTTTCAATGTCGCTGTAAGTGGCCAGACATTATTTGTAGGCTCTTAGCCAATCAAAATCGAGATTGAACCATTTACCTTATTTGGCTTTAATATTGTTTATTCGTGTGATAAAGTTTTCAATATATTAATTCTTAAGTCTAATTTTGATGCTGTTTTTAGTGATGAACGTGATAATATTGCATGTTTACTTCAGTGACAAAGTATTTACTGTTTGAAATCTTAACCATAACGTGTTTTATCATTGCTTTATCTTTTTATCACTTCTGTGTTGATGTTTTAGGCTGTCAGCAGGTTTTTCCCAGACTCTATTAAAACAAAAAAGAGAAAAATTGCTGTTTGGATATACGTTGTATCTGCTGTTGCCGGTCTTGTACTTCTTATTATTCTCATTGTTGTCTTTAAAATGGTAGGTTGTTCAATTTCAGCTCAGGCTCATTTGTGTGCAATTTCAATCCCTATGTTTTGTCTTTAATGAGTTTTGACGTGTTTTTTTTTTCATACGCTGTTTTCAAAATCTTTTCATGTTTTAACTTTGATTTACAAAAAAATATTTCAGTTGTTGTAGTATAAAATATGTTTACCTATAACCTGTTGGATGCTTGTATTCAACCCATCTGTTTTTACTTTTGTTCATACCCCTAAAGATATTTAGCAAAGCAAAATTTCGAAAAACCAATTGATAATCTTATTTTCTCTCTCAAATACCAAATTTCTCATTCAACCCATTGGCATTGGTTTCCTGATGTAGCTGTCGACCCAATCGCCTATGGTTTTCAAATGTCCATCTTGTTATCCACCTTATAGTTTAAGTGATCATTTCCACCAGTGCTCGAATTAACGCCTTTAAAATATGTGTCTTCATTTCACTTTTTCTTTGTTTTCAGTGTGGATTTTTCAATCGTAAACAACAATATACTTCGGTACCAGATAGTTAATTATGTGAACAAATTCTGGATGATGATATTTTGTGGCGATGGCAAGTATATCTATTATCTCAATTGGAGTTTTTCAAGTGATTGACTACGGCAGTTGGTTTGGTATTTTATATAAGATGTGCATATTGTAGTTAGAACAGAGACAATATCATATTTGTAGGATGTTCAATTCAAACTTTTTGTGTGTAAATGAAATTTTAATGTATCTTTTTATGGTTTACAACATTAAAAAGTGACCCTATCTATATATTCGTTGTTATATGATAAACTTCATGTTATTTTACCTTTTCGTCGATATCTGACACTTCTTCATGTAGCTAACAAAATGTTGAATTGTTTATATAGCAAGACTTTTGAATAAACTTTTTTCAAGTTGTTGTAGTATGTACTGTGGAGTAATTTAGCCTTAACCAATCCAGTTTGGAAGGATATCAACGTTTTCCTGCGACTTGTAAACATGGCAAATTTGAAGAATGTTGATATTGGTTATAACTTCTTAGATAACAATGTCGAACAAATAAGCACTTATAGATAAGTAGGCATGATGTTTATAACATATAAATCGTCGGCATGCTGTGTACAGACAACGTCCTCTCGAAGTTGATACGCGTTGTTTCCAAAAAATTCTGTACATTTTCTCTGAAGTTTAATAAAACAAACGTCAATTAATAAATAAATGTAATGTTAGACAAAATCTTTGAGTAAAAGCGTCGAAAAAACTATGAAAAGGAAAATGAAAAAATCACAGCTACATAATTGTTTTGTTATTGATTAATGTTAATTTAGCTGAACTGATAATTATGACGCTTTTCTAAATCATTAATTACATTGCGAATGTGCAGTTGGTAAGCTAGCAGCTTTATTAGATGATTAGAACAAATAGAATTAGTCTTTAACAATTCTGTAAAATATCTTTGCAGTTGTAGAAGTTATTGAAATCAGCTGGTAATTACTGGTATCATTTTCTTTCTTCACTTTTATTAATGGTTGTGCTCTGGCCATCTTCCATTCATCAGAGTCAATTCCTTAAGAGAGTAAACGATTGAAAATGGCCGTCATTCGTCAGGGTGGAGGCAAAATGTCAGCGGCTTTTTTTAAAACTCTCGCAGGAATTTCTCTTGACCAATTGTGTTTTTTTTTTATTTTATTTTGATGTCAGTTAAACTATCCATAGTTCTTTCAACAAAGGCGAATGAACTGTTACCAGTACAAAGATAGGAAATTGGATCAGTTTCAATAAAGGTAGCTTAATTGTTAGCCAGTTTTTCGCCTATTGTTGTAAAATAAGAACTTGGCCAAACAATGAATTATCAATGTGGTTGATTTGTTGATGTTGAAACTCCGGTAACTATTCACTCGCTAATTAATACGCTAATAAACAAACAAGAACAATGTTCTAACTCTTAGGCCTGTTTCAAACGTCGCATTTTACATAAGCCGAATGCATTTAAGACAAAAGATAATAAAGAATTTTATCTCATTATCTTTTGTTTTAAATACATTCAGCGCATGTAAAATGCGACGTTTGAAACGGGCTTTTGTCACGCGTTTTCTGGACGATATTGCTTGCTTTCTTCATATTCAACATTCAACATGAAATGTCGAACATTTGAAGTTGGAGTTGAAGTACTCGATGTACGTTATTTCGAGGCTATGGACGTAATATTTATAACGCGTATCAAACTTTTGTACGATGTCCTTTCGATTAAAGCCTTATCCCCCGATACTAGCTACATTTTAGAAATTAGATAGGTTTTAATTTTAATCCTCGTTGAAAGGTGAGCGTTTGTTTACTTAATGTCGTATTGTTTTTCGAATAATCATTCGTATTTTGCATTTAGGCATTAGTGGAAAGATGTTTGCTTTGGTTTTTATGTCGTTTTTGATGTTCGAGTCCGCTCTTGGTAGATCGTTCACAATTGATTACGAGAACAACTGTTTCTTGAAGGATGGCAAACCATTTCGATACATTTCAGGTGGCATACATTATTTTCGAGTGCCGCGAATGTATTGGAAAGATAGATTAATGAAGATAAAAGCTGCTGGTCTCAACGCTGTTCAAACGTATGATGCTAACAAGATGACCTTTTTGCTCTATGTAGTTCTTATAAACTCTGCGCATCAAAACATTTTGTATTAAAGCAGACGTTCAGTTGGGTTGCTAACTATTTTGAATGATAAAATTTCAGTCCAACACAAGTTCCTGTCGTATAAACTAAAACGTCTATTTTTTAATTCAATATTTGTTAGATACATTCCCTGGAATATTCATGAACCAGAACCAGGTGTTTATAAATTTGAGGGTGAAGCAGATGTTCTTAGTTTTATAAAACTTGTTCAGGAAACAGGACTTTTGCTTATCCTTCGACCAGGTTTGTAAAAGTCTTGTGCAAAATTTATGCATAATTTATTTAATATGAGTTTATAACAATGCACGAATTTAACAACATCTTAAATAAGAATAATTTATTAACTAGGAATAATTTATATATATTAGCTAATTGCAAAGCTCGTGCTTATTTAAATCATTGGTTATTCAGGTCCGTATATTTGTGCAGAATGGGAATTTGTAAGTGCTCATCATTAGTCCTGTGAAAATCTTTTGAAATTTGGCGCAACGTTTGAAAGCAAATTTTTTCGAAATAATTTAGGGTGGCTTTCCTCCGTGGTTATTAAAGAATGCCTCTATTATACTGCGTTCCTCCAAAGATCCAGGTAATTCTCCTGTGGGAAGGATGGGCTGTTTTAAGTCAATTTTTTTAATATTGCGTATGTCTGAGTTATTATTATACGTCTTGTTTAAAGGAGATCAACTTGACAAAAACAGGCTTTTTAACAATCTCTTCGTCAAGTGAGCTCATGCTTCTGACATATTCTAGAGATATTATATGTGGAAAATTAGTATGTAACAAGCCTCATGTCAGGTAAAAATGTTTAAACAAATATGAATGACGAACACAAATAAACACGTTTGACAAGATGTTTACATTGTACTCACATGGTATTTCGACATTAAATGTGGATTATATATATATATATATGTAATGAAAAAAATGAGGAACAGTCATTAATAATGTTTAAGGAAAATATTGTAATTTTTTGAGATACACCTGTATTTTCACAAGATGCCATGTTGCCGTGCTTAAGAATAGAAAAATTGACGTTTTGCATAAAAAGCAAGTGAGCATCGGAATTTATCCAATTTCAACAGAATCATGAATTTTTTCTCTTAATATCCTAATCTTTTTCTCATAATGTTAAATGTGACATCATAAAGTAAGCCTGCAAATATTTGATATAGATGTTGATTTGCATCGTTTCTTCCATTTTCACGTACTTAGTTTATACATCAGCAGTCACATCTTGGTTTAAAGTTCTTTTGCCAATGTTACGTCCACATCTATATTCAAATGGTGGACCAATCATTTCATTACAGGTAGGAAAGGTTTGGTGTTGATGAACACATGTACAAAAAAAAACATATCCTATACCTATGTTACTTGAAAACTGATTATGAAATGATTTCGCTTACGGCAATGGTATAATATTGTTGTAGACTGCAGTTTCAAATATTTTATTAGTCCATTAATAATTCTGCTCCAGTTGTACTAAGTCTGCATCATTTAACTTGATAATCTATGGACTAAAACGTTAACTCGACAATGAGAAAGTTTTTTGGGGGGAATGTAACTAGCTTTTAATGTAGGGAACAGCTTTATCTGTGATTTGTGTAATTTGTCCAGTTGTAGGTATAAACACGTTGTAATTTACACTAAAGCTGTTATTTGAAACTAATACCAGGTGGAAAACGAGTACGGATACTACTTTACTTGCGATGAGAAATATTTGGTATTTTTACAAAGATTAATGGAAAAATATCTTGGAAAAGATGTGATTCTATTTACAACAGATGGCGATTATGAGAGTCAACTCAAATGTGGAACATTGCCCAGTCTTTTTAGCACAGTTGATTTTGGACCAGGTTTGCTGCTATGTGCTCATATGTATGTATACTTACATAATTATGTTCACACGAACTTTTAATTACGATAGAGTGACGTGTACTTCCCTTTCGTGTTTCCCCAGTTGCACTATGCAATTTTCATATTTACTCTAGAAATAAGTGTAGAGTAATAATTTTTGAAAATAGGTTTCTCGTAAAGCTAACAGCACGAAATTTCGAATCATATTCAATGCCATTCACTGTAATTAAAACAAATATAAAAGTTGCACTTTCATGTGGGACAGGAACTGATCCCAAGAAAGCTTTTGCCCTCCTGAGAAAATTTCAAGCCCGTGGTCCATTGGTCAATTCTGAATACTATACTGGATGGCTCGATGTGTGGGGAAAGAAGCACCAAACCACTGATCCCATTTTGACTGCTGCTAAACTGGACCAAATATTGGCAATGAATGCTTCCGTAAACATGTATATGTTTGAAGGAGGCACAAATTTTGGATATATGAATGGTAGGAGTTTCTTACCGACAAACTGTTTTAACAAATGGTTTTTCTTAGAGACAAGATTAATACAACTATAGTTTGGAAATCATTATTTAATCATTGTTGTCAGCTTTAAATGTATTTACGTGATTACATCATCTGTGTAGTCAGCTTTAAATGTATTTACGTCATCAGTGTTGGTTGCGAAGTCTTGAAGTATTAATTTCCTTAAAGTTAAAAATTCCTAAAAAGACTGTTTTCTTTGTTATCTCGTGTTATTTTAGCTCATCAATTATATTAAACATTTATAATATAACTCAGGTTTGCTAGTCTTCGTTGATGTTTTTGCATTTTTTTTATAGGTGGGACAAATGATAATTCTGTCTACCTCCCAGTGACAACCAGTTATGATTATGATGCACCATTATCTGAAGCTGGAGATCCTGGAGTTAGCAATGAAAAATATAACGCCATTAAGAAAATTGTCACTAAATATTTGCCGGATCCAAAAATTCCCATACCACCACCTACACCAAAGTATGCATATGGAAAAATACAAATGACCAAGGTTATGTAATTCATATGTTTTTATGCCTCTAACTTTCACTTTGTATTATGATATATCAAGGGCTATGTTTCCAAGAAAAGTCAAATAAATTATTTACGATTTTCGTTTTCAGTATACTTTCTTTGTAAACAATTCTCTAACTTCCTACTTTGCCTTCATTTTATGTTGTCAAACATATGAAGCCAATAACAGTATATTGTTAAAAACTGGATGAACGGGAATTTTATATTCTATGTCCAAAATGTTGTTTTGTGGTAACTGCTTTCGTACAACTGTGGCAATGCTCATTATTTTTGTAGATTATTTCATCACAAAATTCCAAGACAGTGACGTCGAAATATCCCAAAACAATGGAACAAATGGGCATGTACTA